AATTAAAGAAGAACTAGAGGCTATGGCTTCCAGGTCTGAGGTATTGCCTAGCACATCAGATTCTGCCCAAAATGGTTTAGTCCCTGAGGGTAGTTCAACTGCTGATGCTAATTTTGTTAATGCAACACGGGAGAAGGCCAAAGAGCTAGCTTCAGATGTAAAGAGCATAACACAGTTATATAATGAATATGCTGTTCCCTTTGAGCTATGGGAGGTACTTTCATTCTCTTATTGGCTGTTATTAATTAATTTATTTATTTATTTTGGGATAGATTTGTACAATTTCTCTTCTGCTTGTTCACATTATTTGTTAGTTTTGCACAAGTCCAATACCTTTAAGATCTTGATTATGAAAGCAATTAGGCTGTCCAAGGAATAAATTGCCCATCTTTAAAGTGTATTCTAGAACAGGAATAACTGTCACGTTGAATCTTCTAGAAGTCAGGATCAGTTATTTATTATTAGATGTATGTGTGCAGTATGGAGTAGTTGGGAGATATGTGTGTTGTTTCCTTGTGTAGCTGGGACAGAGAACTCATCTCTTGTAGGAGTTTGACTCTGGACAGCAACTACTGTTGTATTGTGTGTAATTTGTGTGATTTAATAATGATATTAATCAATCTGTCGATTGGTGTTCTATCAATTATTCAGAGCAATTTACTTTCACGTTATTTTGGTGAAGTAGGGAAGGGAAAGGGTGCATTATTTACCTTTGAAGAAATGAATGAAAATAAAGGATTCGAGGTCCTCAACACAATACTCATTTTAATAAATTTAAATTTTCAAAATTCTAGTACTACCTGTTTTATGTAAGTACTATAAATTTAAAATGATATGTAAAATAGTAAACTTTTATTTATTTCTGTTCATTTCCTTTCATTTCTTCTATGTATTTATTTTAACAAAATCAAACTGTGAAAAGATTTTATATCACTTCTTTTGCTTGCAATGATACAAAACTAGATGCTGGGAAGTTGTGACTTTTTTTTTTCTCTTCTCCTGCCAAATTCTTTCTCTTTTCTCTAAAAGTTTAAACCTAGAAAAGCAATACAGATTTTTGTTGTATCTGTCTCTGTTCCACTGGATGATTTTGTGGTTATGTAGTATGTGTCAAAAAGATTGTCAGAACACTGAAATTTCATTATGAGAGCTCCTGTTAACAGTTCTTCATTTCAACTTTTCCTTTAGATATGCCTGGAGATGCTGTACTTTGCCAATTATTCTGGTGATACTGACAGCAGCTTTGTTAGAGAGACATGGGCTAGACTTATAGATCAAGCTATATCAAGAGGTGGCATTGCTGAAGCTTGCTCAGTATTAAAGAGGGTTGGGCCCCGCATTTATCCGGGTGATGGAGCTGTTTTACCCCTTGATTCTATTTGTCTTCACCTAGAGAAGGCTGCACTGGTATATGTTCCCAATTTGTTGATGACTTGCTGATTGATTTTTACTGTAAATGCTACTTTATTATTACTCGCTAGAACACCTTTCAGTTTTTGGTAGGTAGGATTTGGTGGAATTATGTCTTTTATCTTAGATACGAACTCGTCTTTCTGTAGGAGAGGTTAAATTCCGGGGTTGAATCTGTTGGAGATGAAGATGTTGCAAGAGCCCTTGTTTCTGCTTGCAAGGGTGCGGCGGAACCTGTATTGAACGCATATGATCAATTGTTATCAAATGGGGCTATCTTGCCATCCCCAAATCTTAGATTACGGATGCTGAGATCTGTTCTGGTGGTACTTCGAGAATGGGCTATGTCTGTATATTCACAAAGGATGGGTACCAGTGCCAATGGACCTTCCCTAATACTAGGTGGAGGATTCTCATTGGAACGTTCTGTTGCTAGCCAAGGAATTCGTGACAAGATCACGAGTGCGGCAAACAGGTTGACTTCTCTTTACTTTTTTGTCTGATCTTATTAATGTTGTCCCTTTGGCATTTCTTGTTAAATTTTTACCAATTGAAAAGGGGAATTAGTTTTTTGTTTTCGTTCCTTGATCCCTATGAATTATATTGTATTAGCTGATTTCTTGAATCTTCCGTTGTTTAGGAACATTGTTTATGTCCAGATTTTTATCTGAATGACTTTGACATACAGGTACATGACTGAAGTGCGGAGGTTAGCCCTTCCACAGAGCCAAACAGAACTTGTCTACCGAGGATTTAGGGAACTAGAAGAGCTTATAAGTCATCATTCATTTGATCGATTTTGACCTTTGTTGCAATATATAGCGCTGTATCAATTGTTCTTGTCAAATAATTATTTTCAAATAAGAAGTTTCTAATTTTACATATTGGATGTGATCATACGATTCTTCCTTTTAATATAATCTTGTGTATCAATTACAAATATTACACCTCCTGTTCTATATCGAGCCTAATTTTGCGAGTCATGCAAGTCTCCCCTCCTGCTCATTTAGATGTATTGATCAAGTTGTGTTACCTAATTTTGTCAGTTCACCATTGGCAATTTGGCGTGATAATTGAATTCATCAGACTCCAGAGCAATCGTATATAACAAAATTTATACATAAGTTTATATAAAAAGAGAAAAATAATATAAAAATAATAAAATTTATTCCTAATTAAAAAATTACTTATCTTTTTAAGTTTTTGAGAAATTAAATAAGAGATTTTTTTTAAAAACAGAGCAACATAACTTTTAAGCTTTATTTTAATTTCAATTTTGAATAGTGTATCTCTTTCTCTCTCTTTCGTCCACAGGTATCTCTAGCATCCTATTTGAGGTAGGGGCACTGAGCCTCTTGTGTAGATGTTATAAAAACTATAAATTAAAATTATTTTTTGTGTATGATACTCTCTAAATTATTTTTGATTCTATAGGCGATCATTTTGGCTGATTTTCAAAACCATTATATTTTGTATTAAGTATGAAAAGTAAGCGTAATTTAAACTTGGACTCATTGCACAAAATTCTGTATTAGCATTATCAAAATATTCCTCATCTTTTACATATAATTGACTAATAAATTCATATCATAATAAAAATTTAGAGTAGTCAATGATTTTTATATCTTCAAATAATTAAAATTAATTGTCATCAAAGAAGAGTATTCCTTAAAAACTATTTTAAACACCTATAAAATAGAACATAAAGAAATATATTTTAATTATTTTTAAAATAACAAAATGTTATTTTATTTTGAGAACATAAAATCATCTACCGATACAAAAGGGTTGGAGATGCAGGGTATCGAACCCCGTACCTCTCGCATGCAAAGCGAGCGCTCTACCGTTTGAGCTACATCCCCATGTTTATATTAGTGTTATATATAATGATTACAGAAAAGCAATATAATCCTAAAGATACAAAATCACTGTTAAACAAGTCTAACTTCTCTGGATATGTTTATGTTTATAGTTTATTAAGATTACTTCACGGATACAACTTACCGATTTGTTTGAAATTATGCACTTCGGTCTTATCAAAATCTTTAGTACTCTAATTTAGAAGGAATAAACAGTGTTTTGTAGGATACAGTTTTTAGCAACTATGATATTAAAAACCTGTTTGATTTGTGAAAAAATATATATTTTTAAATATCACATTGTATATTTTTGTTTCTTATTTTTGGAAGGTTTGTAAATAAAATCATGAAAAAGTTATTATTTTTATGCAAACATTTAAAAATAAAAAAAATAAAACAAATGTGTTTTAATAATTAAAATAAAAACTAAAAACATTGTCAAAATAAATTAGGTCCTTGATTTTTCAAGGTATTTCTCATCTCAACGTTTAATACCATTAATAATTAACTACATTGTTTTGTTTTTACGCACACAGGTTCATTTTTTAATTCAAAATATGTCTTAAAATTGTTAATAATATTCTAATTGTTAGGCTGAATACTCCATTTCAACCAATTAACTTTCAGCCAATTTAATTTTCAATGTCATTTTTACCAAGTCTTTATCTGATCCTAAAATGGTCAAACGTTATCCATGACAATTTAAATTATAATTTTTTAATCATAATATATTTAAATTAATTTTTTTTAAAAATTCAAAATCAAATCAGACATGTTACTGTTTCAATTTTTTTATAATTCCAATTGTCTCTTCCTTACATTATCAAATTCTTGAACGCGCTTAAAATTGAAGTTGGGCTATGAAAAGCAACTTTAATAACAAGTCTTTGAAAGATGTAAAAACTCATTGTAGAGATATTTTGTGCTGCTAGACATTCACACAGGTTATATTATCCATATTAATGAGCAAAAGGATAAAATAAATAGTGATTGAATTTTTGTAAAAGTTGTTAAGAAAATTACCCGAATAAACAACACACTCTTTTAATATAGTTTATTAGCTTTCAGAAAAAGAAAAAAAAAATGCAACATTGGTGTAAGAAGAATGTTCAGAAGACCAACATGACAAAATCAAGTGAGGTGGGAGACGATAACCGAGTAGAAACAAATGGGTAGATGTAGATTAAGGGATATACATTATTGGGTGTAAATGTATAAGTATTAGTATAGTATTATATACATAACATTATGATTATGATGGAATGAACTAGTATAATTTAGTGTTCAAGTCAAACATCATACAAAGATAAGATGGCGTAAGCTTATATTATCCGCTTGGGGTATGGGCATGTTCCTATTCAAAATGATAATATTGCCTTTTCCTTTTAGTAAATTATTTAAAAGCATTCCTTAAAAAAAGGCGAGTTAATGATGAGAAAACTATCTTCTACGGATAAAAAGAAACATTACCAAAATGAATGGACACAAAACTTTCTAAAGGAAAATATTAAAATTGGATTTATTATCTTTGTTTCTTTCTTTCCTAAAATGCATATGAACATGACATACAAAATAAAAAATGATTGGTCAAAAGGAAGGGCATTTATGGAATTTCGTCACTGGGTTCCAAGTTTCAGCCTGCGCTTGAGCTGGTAGTGGTACTAGTAAAAAGTAGAAAGAAACAATGCAGTCAATCTCTTGTTAGATCTTAAAATAAAAATCAGAAAAAAAATAAAAGGGTTTCAATTTCAATTTTCCGTCATTTCAATTCCCGAATTTTATCAGATCTGAATCATCTGAATCCCAATTTTCCAATTCAAGTCGCTTTCCACGTCACTCATTATCCCATCCCCACAAAAAAAGAAAAGAGCGAAAAGAATTGAACTTTCGATTTCATTTGTGATCCCCAAAAGGAAAAGAGAGGGGAAACCTGCAAGAAAACGAGAATCCACTGTCAAAATGTTTCGTTTCGAGGAGGAAAAGATCCGGAAACGAATTTGATTTGTAAAGTTCTTTTCTTTTTCCCAATCAAACACTTCCCAGCTTGGTGGCTGTTGCCATGGCCGACGCTCTTTCGTTGATTCCCGCAGCCGTGCTTCGCAACCTTGCTGACAAGCTCTACGAGAAGCGCAAGAATGCTGCTATTGAGGTTTGTTCTATGCCCCTTTTTTTTTTTCCTTGCAATCCGCTCAATTTGGGGTTTTAGGGTTTTTCTTGGACTAAGGTTGATTATGGGTGTTTTGTAGATTGAGGGTATAGTGAAGCAGCTATCTACTGCTGGGGATCATGATAAGATAACGGCTGTGATTAATTTGTTGACTTCGGATTTCACTCAGTCACCACAAGCCAATCACCGGAAGGTAATTTATTTATTTGTTTTTGGGGAAAATATGTTGATTTCATTTGATTTGGGTTGTGTATATTGGTGATATTGTATGCTGAGTGAATTTATTTTTTCTCTAATTTTCAATGAAGGGAGGATTGATAGGATTGGCAGCTGCAACTGTTGGGTTGACTTCTGACGCAGCTCAACATCTTGAGGTGAGGAGGAGTTACTTATTAGTTTTTAAATTTGTCTTTTTCGTCCGGTTTGTTTATTTGTTTGTCATGGCTTACAATTTGAACTCTTTCCACTTGAGAAATTACTGTCAATTTATTGTACTAGTGCTAAGAAGTTTGATCATTGGCCAATGGCTCTAATGGTACTTCTACCACCCTTAATGTTGCACAAGTGTTGTGAATGAACTAATAACCGGCGCAATTTTCCTGTCCTTGTCATGGACCCTGAACATACCAACCTTTTGATAAAGGAACATCAGAAAGAAAAGTGGTTTCATCTTAAGGGATAGAATTGAAATATGTTGAATTTTAGCTAGCTAAATTATATCTGACAGTTGTAGATTGAAATGTACTATCTTGAAATGAATTTATTAGAAGCATGCATTAATGTTATTCTTCACTTTGTTGTTGAACTTATTTCCACATGGCTAAGCCTGGATATGCTTTTCATTATTCCTCTTACCTGCATATAATTCTTGTACTTGACAGCAAATTGTGCCCCCTGTGTTAAATTCTTTCTCTGATCAAGATAGCAGAGTTCGTTATTATGCTTGTGAGGCACTATACAATATAGCCAAGGTGAGGATTTTATTGTGCTGACATATGTACAACTTGAATCTGAGCATCTACTATCCTCTAATGCACATTTTTTCAATTTTATGTCAGGTTGTGAGAGGGGATTTTATTATTTTCTTCAACCAAATCTTTGATGCCTTATGCAAGCTGTCTGCGGACTCAGATGCCAATGTACAAAGTGCTGCTCACCTCTTAGATAGGCTTGTGAAGGTATATGTTTTTCCTGAAGTACAATAAAGCCTTTGTGTACCTTTATACTTGTATGCAAATAGCAAAATATGCTGAATAGATTGATATAAGTCTAACAATGATTTGAGTTGCTGTTCCCTTTAGATCAACTGATGATTTAACATTGCTTTATTGGGACAGGATATCGTGACTGAAAGTGATCAGTTCAGGTGCACCATGCTCTCAAGTCTATATTATTTGTGTCTAGTGTTTTAAATTTTCAAAAGACTTGTAGGTAAAGAGATCTCTGAATATAATTTTTGAATAGAGCTATGATAGGCAAGAAGTGTGAACACCACAAGGTGTGAAGCAATATCTTGTATTAAATGAAGCGACTTTCACTTTTCATAACCAAAATGAAATAATAAAGTCGACCTTTCTTTATGATTCTAACTTGCACTCTCTTATCCCTTTCCTTTTTCTTTTTTGATCTTTAGCATTGAAGAATTTATACCTTTATTGAGGGAGCGCATGAATGTGTTGAATCCATATGTCCGCCAGTTTTTGGTAGGATGGATTACTGTGTTGGACAGTGTCCCAGATATTGATATGCTGGGTTTTCTGCCTGATTTTCTTGATGGTGAGTGATAGTTTGAAGGATGTTTGTTTTCTTTCTCAACATTTTATACAAAAATGAAAGTCTACCACTTAATCATATATAAATTTCTCAGGCTTGTTTAATATGTTGAGTGATTCAAGTCATGAAATACGTCAACAGGCTGATTCAGCTCTTTCAGAGTTTCTTCAGGAGATTAAGAACTCCCCAGTAAGGCTCCTGCTAATGTATTTTCCCCCTTTTATTTGAATTGTAAGGCTTCTGGTCTTTTCAGAGTCTAATTCTTCTTCTGTGCCATTTTTTCCCTTTTTATCTGCCTGAGGAATTTATGGAAACGATTATATTCATTTTATTGTTTTCCCAATTCTGATTTTATATCATTGGATTCCCTTGTTATCTGCAATTCTGCATGAGTATAATTTATTGCAGCCGTTATCCACTTTTATATCTTTCTCCTTATCCATCTTTTAGGGTTGATATACGCATTTGTGTTGACTAACTGTGCTGTGCTTTCATCTAATACCTTGACACAAAAGCAACGTTTTTTGTTCATTTGTCATTTTCTGACTCGAGCAGTGCTACTCTTGAAGTCTGTAGATTATGGTCGAATGGCTGAAATACTGGTACAAAGAGCAGGTTCTCCAGATGAATTTACTAGGCTAACCGCTATCACTTGGGTAAGTGATACTGCAATTATTTGACTCGACAGTCAATTATTTACTGATATCATCCTTTGCTTCGGGTTGGCATCTTCTCAAAATTATTAATTATTTTTATATCAGAAGTAAAATTATTAGTTATTGTTTTTTGTTTCATTTGCATTTTGTTAAATTATGTCTACATTCTCATTTTAACAGATAAATGAGTTTGTCAAACTTGGTGGAGACCAGCTTGTTCCATATTATGCTGATATTCTTGGAGCCATTTTGCCTTGTATATCAGATAAAGAAGAGAAAATCAGAGTTGTAGGTTCATTTGAGCTTTCTCTCCTTTCTTTCCTCTTATGTTATTTTGCTATCTGTTTTCCACCTTTTTAAATTACATTGCTTCCTTCCATGTAAAACAATAAATTTGAAATTATCTATGGATTATGTGTAAGGTTGCTCGTGAAACCAATGAAGAGCTACGGGCCCTCAAGGCTGATCCAGCAGAAGCATTTGATGTAGGAGCAATCCTCTCCATTGCCAGGAGGTTTAGTTTTCCTGACCTGGGTGGTTTGAACCCCTGTCGAAGCTATAATGAAATGATTGGGGGTCCTTTTTGTTTAGCTAACTAATCTATTTTGCACCAATTATTCTGTGGAATGATTTTGGGATGGTTTGACTGATCAGGCAATTATCCAATGAGTGGGAGGCTACTCGAATTGAAGCATTGCACTGGATATCAACTCTTTTAAATAAATATCGTTCTGAGGTAACTAGATTGTTTGAATTCATCTTTTTTATTTTTTAAAAAGTTTTAGGTCCATTTGCATCTGTTGGGTTTATCTACTTTCTTAATATGCCCGTTGGGGTTCCATGTCATCGCAGCTTTGTTGTATGACCCATTTAGATATCTCTAAGGTCTGTGGAAACCATATATTGTTATTCTCCATATCAAATAGGTTTTTGGTTAGGTAGACTGAGAGCGGGAGCTCTAGTTCTATTGATGGTTAATGAGTGCTACTTAGATGTAACCAGCAAACAATGCTATTCTGCTGCTTTTTTATTTGTATCTTCTATCAATGTTGTCAAGATCGGATCTTCCGATCCAGGGGTAAAAAATCATAAATCGTGGAATCGTAAGATCCTTCAAAATCCTATATTTGAGATTCAATATAACACATAATTAGTAAATTATCCATGCTAAGGTGAGAGAACATATAATAGAAAATAAATAGAAGAATATTTTTTTAAAAATTAAAAAGATCAACAAGTTGTCCAAATTATAATACTTTGCAATAAATAATATTAAAGTATTAGCTCTAGTTAACATTGTTTAGATTTATAGTTAAATACGTGAAACTTAGATGCTTGTAATGTTTAATAGGTTTTTTATAAAATATGATATTCATTAATTTTAAAAAAAATATTAGAAAAAATAATTTTATACCATTTTACATATAAGTTAATGTCTTATTACACTATTTTATTTTAATATATAATATATTATTAATAAAATTGAAAATTAATTTTAATAAAATTATTTTTAGGTAGTAGCACTATTAAAATGTTTATTTAAATTAACCTCACTCACAGGTTTATATTGAAAGGTGTATTTATTATAAGACATAAAAATTCATCTCTAGTGGGAAACAAAACTGAAACAGTAGCTCACGGTATATCTAGAGAATAGAAAACACCCAGAAAATGTGAACCACTAATTGAAACAGGCAAACAGCAGCTCAAGAAACACCAAAAAAGAAAATGCGAACCACCCATGCAGAGAATGGAAGGATGGGTGTCGCTGGAAGAGAGAGAAAATGGAAGGATGTGTGTCGCGAAAGAGAGAAGAGAGAATGGGGGTTGCGGAAGAGAGAGTGGGAAAGAATTTGGGGAAAAATAACCTAAATAGGTTTTTTAAAACCGGGTCAGAAAAACCCGACCCGGAAACCCAACCCCCCCAGAAGCCTAACCCAAAAAAAACCTGCCCCTGTGATTGAATCGGATCGGCGATCCTGACGGAAAAGATTGTGATTTCATCCGATCTTCCATATAAGCGATCCCAAGTCCGATTAAGATCGTCCAAGGGGTATAAGATCGTAAAATTGTACAATCCTGCGATTTTAACAACAATGGCTGCTATAGCTTTCCGAAGTATCAATTCACATGAGGTAACATGTTTTCATTTTGCTTATTACTGGAATCAGGAATCTAATATAATTAGTGTTTGATGTGGTTTAATTTTAATACAATTTTTTCCACTCTTCTGATTTAACTTGGAAATAACTATGATATTTTCATGGCTGACATATAATACTATTTACCTTATAATTTTTATTTGGCATTGAAGCTTTTGTGCAAAAACTCAAAAGAACATTAGTCAAAGTTATTAAAAGAGACATTTTGATTAACTAGTTTTCTGAAAATTTAGTTTTTTGACCGAGTTTAATGGTGTCGTGTGATTCATGTAATTGATTTCCCCTAGTGGGATAAGACTTGGTGGTTGTTGTTGTTATATGTTTATTACTGTCAGCCTCTCTAAATATTGCTATTGCTGTTTTCTTGAAATGCTGTGCAAAGGCTTTTGTGTGATCTCCTTTATGACAATGAGAAATTTTGTTTTTCATGCTCATATATTGATTTTAATGTCTGAAACAGGTTTTGCAATTTTTGAATGACATATTTGACACCCTGCTCAAGGCACTTTCAGATCCATCTGACAAGGTAGCATTGCTTTCCTGATATCATTTTTTTTTTAATCTCTGCTTGATCAAATAATTCTTTTCAAAATCTTTGTGCAACTGTGGTTTTTAATTGTTCACTTGTTTTATAGATAAGTTACTGTTTTCATCATTTTCAACTTCAGATGCTCGGGTTCACTCCTCCTTCCACCCTTTTTTCTCTCTGGTGAAAATTGCTGTGACCAGTTGTTGAAATGCTAAACACCATTGTTTGGCAAGAATGAGGAGTGACCTGAGCATTATTCTCATTGATTCTTGTCTGTGTAGGTTTCATGCATCAATTTTACTTTGTGGCATCCACTAGAATAATTGGTAGATATTTAGAGGTCGAAATATGACAAAATACTTGGTAAAATTAGATGTCATGCAAAAAGATAATAATTTTTTAACCATTTGGACTTTTTTTTTCCCCTTATTGTTTTCCTTTTTAGGATGATTTCCCATTCTCCCTCCAAATGACCCTTATTATCTTCCATTTTAGTAATTCTTTTCTCTGGAAAAAATTTAGTGCTTGTTTTGGTTTTGTTATAACCATTTCTGCAATCCTACCCCCAATAGGTTTTTTATATATGCCTTTTTGACTGTTGATTCTTGACTATGTAATAAAAAAAATGATTTTTGAAGTTTCTCCTATCCTTATTTGCAATATTGTTCACTATGTGCAAATCAAAACTAACTTGAATCAGTTGATTAATTACAATTTTTTATTGAATAGGTTGTTCTTCTTGTTCTTGATGTTCATGCATGCATTGCAAAAGATCCTCAGCACTTTCGGCAGCTTGTTGTTTTCCTGGTGCACAATTTCCGGATAGATAATTCCCTTTTGGAGAAGTAAGCAGCTGTTTTCCTTCATCCAATATATTCTTAAATTATAACATTTTGCTAAATTATTTCTTTTACCACTAATTTCCACTATTTGTTAATTTTCACTATATATAATATTCTAGGCGTGGTGCTTTGATAATTCGTCGACTTTGTGTGCTTTTGAATGCCGAGCGAGTCTACCGTGAACTTTCTACCATACTCGAAGGGGAATCGGACTTGGATTTTGCATCAATTATGGTTCAGGTTGGTTGTGATTTTTCTGAGAGCTAAATAAAAAGCTGTTTATACTTCTGATCCATAATCTTCACTGGTCCATGTCCTGCTTCACGGCAAAAAGAAAAGAAAATTCTAGTGAAACTGCTGCATGAAGCTTGTATTTTATATATTTTATTTACTTATATTTATGGGCTCAATTAAATGGTTTTTATGTGAACTGTTATTCCTTGGCCAGCTATCTTTTTTTTTTTGTGCTTGGAACTTTTGGGCATCCCTAAATATTTTGCTCTTGGACAGTATGCATATACCTGACTTCCATGTTTTTTATTATTTGATGTTGTACTCAAAATCTCAAATGAATTTTGATACTCAAATGTTTCATAGGTCTAACCTTTTGCTATTGTTGGGAAATTAAATTGTTGTGCTACCTAGTAGTGCTGAACGGTTCTTTGACAGTATTAAGTGCAATTATTATTTTGATAACAGGATTGAATCAATTGTTTCTACTTTCTCAATTATCAGATACTTGTGGTTCAATTACAATTTAACCAGCTATTATTGCTTTAGTATAAAAGGGCCAATAAACCGGCAGGGAGTTTTTTGAAACAGTTGAGAAATTAAAGACTGGTTAATTGTCTAGTTGATGTTGGTTTAAAAGTTTTCTTGTGACTCTATGCTCAGAGTTGTCATTTTTCATTTTTATGGGTGTGATCTATAGCCTATCCAATTTGGTGAAGTGGCATTCATCTTCTTTTTGATTTTCCCCTTTTTAAAATTTACAGGCTTTGAATTTGATCTTACTTACATCATCAGAACTATCTGAGATTCGAGATCTTTTGAAGCAATCACTGGTAAATCCTGCTGGGAAGGATTTATACGTTTCTTTGTATGCCTCATGGTGCCATTCTCCAATGGCAATTATAAGTCTATGCTTTTTAGCTCAGGTAGGTATCTATAAGTCAATTTTGATTATTGGTTTTAATCTTAACTCTTGCACTTGAGCACACAGACACATTTAAGCTCCTACTTTTTAAACAATGTGTATTTTTGGATTAGACCTTAGCTTTATTTGGATCATGTGGCCCCTCTTTTGTAATATAAATTATCTTCGTCAACAGACTTACCAACATGCAAGTGCTGTAATTCAATCTCTGGTTGAGGAGGATACTAATGTCAAATTCTTAGTCCAGCTGGATAAATTGATTCGCTTGCTGGAAACTCCAATCTTTGCTTATCTAAGATTGCAGGTGCTTAATTGAAACCTATAGATGTCTTACAAGCTTGTAAAGGAATAAATATCTTGCAATTAGTCTGAGAAAATGTGATTAACATGGAGGTGTTGGCTTTGTGTTTGCAATGATTAAGGCTAAAATTGGAAATCTTTTCCTTGCTAAACTGTTATGTTAATCTGCATGTCTTGTTGCAATTTTCATTTATCTTGCCTCATACCAAAATTAATGGTTCCTCTTTGGATGAAACCTCAAGAGTATAGAAATTTAGTCTCATGTTAATCATATTTTAGATGCAATCATTTTATTTTTTTTCGTTCCCCCCTCCCCCCCAAATTAAAATTTTGAACTATTGATGGGATGAATAATATCCTAGGCACTTGTATCATTCATTCTGCATCTTGTATTGTTATGGTAACCTGGGAGAGGATTCCTTGTGAAGGCATGTCATGTGGCATCTTTGAATGGTGTTTCCTTTTAATTTTAAGGGAAATATAATAGTGGGGAAATTTATTTGTTTGTGTTACAATTTGAATAGCTGTTTGTTGCTATTTATTGTGGCTCTAAATTTCCTTCATAATGAATCCTTTTTTTTTATTGTTACTTTCAGGTCTCACCTCCTACCAAGCATATACTTGATTCTCATTAGTTTTTATCCTTTCTTTCTTGTGTTTAATATACAAAACATTCTCTTGTACGAGATAAATCAAGTAATGATCGATCAGTCAGTCCTTTGTATCAATGTAGTGATGGATAGTTATATTTTTTTGTCTTATGTGCCTGAATGATTATTTAATTTTGCAGCTTCTTGAACCTGGAAGATATATATGGTTGTTTAAAGCATTGTACGGTCTTCTAATGTTGCTGCCTCAGGTCCGTGCAATTGAAACTGTTTTGTTTTATTATTTCAAAAACTATTGAGGCATCCAAATTCTTGGAACTTTATTTTAATTCCCTTTTTTAATCATTCATGAATGATATTTGGCTTTGTATCACCGTGTTTATTGGTGTACATCACATTCTTAAACTATTTATCATATAGTTTATTCTATCCTCTAAATCTATCTATTCACTTTTGTGCTAAAAGAAAGAATATGCGTTTGTAAGTTGTGTAATTTGTGTCTTATTCTTTCTTGATTGTATCAACTCGTAAATGTTGATGACTCATGGATTGTCGCTATATTTTGACACTTTCATTTTGTACCTTCATATGCAGCAAAGTGCAGCCTTCAAGATACTCAAAACTCGTTTAAAAGCTGTTTCATCGTACTCTTTCAACAGTGAGCAATTAAAGAAAACATCGTCCGGGAATCCCTATCAGTTTCTCCATCACATATCTGGTGGATCTCAAGTCACTGAGGATGGTGACATAAATGGGGATGGTGGGAACTCGCACAATGGAATAAATTTTGCTTTAAGGTTACAACAGTTTCAGCAAATGCAGCATCAGCATCGTGTGCACTTGAAAACACCGGCACAGTCACAGAAAAATTCCACCTCATCATCTAAGGTAGCTACCTCTTTATTGTACTTGTTACTTCTTTAAGCATGAAAATACAGAGATTTGGTAATGGTGCCTGTTCTATCATTTCATAAACCATATTATTTATGTCATGAGTGGTGTCCTTGTATATGCAGGAGACACAAAAACAGGAAGAAGCAAGGAGACCCCAGTTGAGTGAGCCTAACGTTGCTCCATCAAGATCATCCAAGAGAGCCCTGGGTAGCTAGAATGTTGCTTATTGCTCCATATTGAGTCAACCTTATTGTGCACTGATCCCAGTGTATGTGAACTTTGAATGGGATCAGGTATTGATTTGTAAAATTGTAAATCATAATAGCTGTTTTTATTGTACTTATCATAGAAGGTCGGGGTGGTGCAAAAGTGGGTTTTGGAATCATGAATATAAAGCTTGGCTTTGCTGGGCTATATTCTTTTGACCTTGTAAACGAGATACATACCCACGTGGTTCTGTTGTTTTTGTTGATAACCATGTGGGCTAGAGGGGATATTTTATTTAGAAAAATTGCTTTTTGTTATCATGTCATGTGCTGCCATATTATATAATATAATAATAATGAATTAGCTGCTTAGTGTTCGAATTTGCGTACAGCAGGAGTTGTTTTGCATTTTGCTTGGTTTCATTAGTTCAATACAATGTGATTGCCTGTTTAAATTGATTCATAAGTTACGGGTTTTCACTTGGCTAGTTCAAGATTCGAAAAAATACGTCAAGGAATAAAATTTCGTTCTAAAAGCGTTGAGTTTGCCAAACAAAGTTTGGTATAGTAAGTGCAGTATAATTATAAATTGAATCTAATACATTGAATTTATGGTCTTCTAATGAGTAGAATGCTTTTCAATTAATGCAAGTTTATTTTCATTAGCTATAGTTTTGGCTCTATATTTACTCATACAACCCCCAATTGTAATGACAGAAAGCGAAACTTTCGTACACGAAACAATATAAATTTAAAGGAAGGGAAAACTCATTTTCGTTTTGTAATGATAATACCTGTTCCATAATCAAAACTTAAGCAGTGCTTTTTATTCATATTTCTTATTACATATACATAAATCTACAGGTGCTGATTATTAATTATAATTTATAATCACAGATATTAGTATATGCAAACTCAACCAACTTGACTAGTAGTACAACCTGAAACCTCAAACTGCAAACTCGAGATGAACGATGAAATCACGATGAGCAAACATTATCATCACTTAGGAACAACCTCCGCAGTGTAAAACCAGTTTCAGTTAAAAAGTTGAAACATTGCTCTTCTGTTGTGTGCTTGGCTCACAGGGCATATATCTTCTCAATGTCAGAATTATATTCATCCAAATCTGATATATTTGCAGAATAAGACCATGAAAATGATTTGCTTCCACTCGCTCTCTTGATGCGTCTCTGCGAATCGCTACGGAAAGTTCCAAAATGTTGTCGAAAAACAAAGTAGCACATGCTTGCTAGAGTCCCAACTAGAATAGGTGCTCCCAAAACAGTGATGGTAATAGCCATCCATGTTTTCTCTCCAACAACCTCAAAAGCTATTGCTAGAAAAGCACCACAAGTGCAAGCACATGCAGCCCACATCAACTTGTTAACGACCGACACAATCTGCCTTTGAGCCCTTGTGTCCCAAGCTACCAAAGTGATTTGAACTACAACAACTGCAAGAGAAATGAAAAGGGAGGTAGAATTCAGAAGGCAGAAAACTTGGAAACCAACATGGTGGGCTATATTAGCTTCTCCAGTATCTGGTCCTGTCATTATATATTGACCAGGCAAATTGAAGATGGCCAAGAATGCTATTGAGGCAAAAAGGACAGCAACGACTGTGACAGAATTAATGGTGTTTTGAACTGCTTCTCTGTGAAGTTTCTTCAATTCCTTAGCAATACCAGAAACTCGCCGACGGGTCTTTTCATTTTGTATGAGTTGTGATTGCACCTCATGTTTTATATCACTCACAGTTCTTTTGAGTTCCATTGCTTCATCCACTTTGCCAACATTCCTGGCATGCTTGGCACCATATTCTGCAAGGGCTCCCTTGATTTCTAAAGCTGAATCTCCATACGGCAGTTTATCTGCCAAATCCAAGGCAGTTTCCTGCTGCTTATTGATAGCATTAACATCCATGGCTGAATAGATTAGCAAAAAGCTCACGATCTGAAAAAAGAACTGAGTCAGTAAATAAGTGAAAATAAAATGAGTGTTGAGGAAAAATTCATTGCAATGAAGGGAAGGCAACAATTATGAAAGGAAACAAGCGCAGTCATTTTGTTCGGTTTATTCATATAAATAAAATTCAACTCATCTAGAATGAAGACAGCTTGGAATAAGAAAGTCACATGTAAAGTTTCTTAAACCATAGGTTAAATTTAAATAGCCCATTCCTTAAAAAGTCACGAGATCAAAACCCCTTAAGTTGCTAGTTGTTTACAATCATATTTGATTAAGAAATATTAAATTGCTTCTACTCAAAAGACCTCACTGCATAGATATAAGAATGAAAAATGATCTACTATTACCAGCTGCTGTAACTAGTAAGATCTTCACAGGACATGACATGTTATGCATCATAGTCATAGTAATGACAACTACCCAATTCACATATACTATTCACAGCAAAACTCGTAAAACTGATGATTTCATAATGAGAGATACAAGGTATTTATAGAGATGGAAAACTCACAGTAACTAACTCTATTGCAGTAGTTTGTTATACACTGACTGATAATGATAATAACTTAGCTACACAGTAGGATGGGGTTAACATCAAAACAGCCAATAGCCATAGTTGTAAGACCAACGACACAATGGTGTTTTTATATTCTCAACAATTTCATAGTAGTTGCATTGTCTCACTATCACGTATCATCTCATGCCATCTTGCGTTTTCCCATCATCAAACTTAGAAACTTGGTCGTAGCAAATATGGTTTAAAAAAAAAAAACTACACCTATAGTTCAATAGAATGTGAAATTAACCTGTGAACGGCCTTTCCTCGTAGCCATATGAAGAGCCGTATTACCCTTCTTATCTCGCTCATTCATTATAGAAGGATCAGCTACCAATATCTCCTCCACCACTTCAGTGCTCTGTCCCTTGACAGCCATATGCAGTGCAGTTTGACCTTTTTTGTCTTTGATGCATACTATTCCTGAATCCCGAGCAATAAGTGCTTTTACAATGCGAAGGACACCATATCTAGCAGCATTGTGCAGTGCAGTTTTGCCATTTTTCCTAACTATAAACATGGAACCGACATCAACATCCAATATAGCATTCACCACATCCAAATGGTCTTGACCTGCTGCAGCATACAAGGGACTGGTGTTTGACGAGTCACACAACTTGCAAACCTCAGGCCAAGTATTCAGAAGCTCCCTCACAATATCTGAAACAAGATTAACAAACCTAATATATCACAATTTAAATCCTTGTTTATAATCCAATTTTTCTAACGTGCGCCAATTAATTATCAATAAGTAATAAAAAAATAGCAAGTTTTTATGTCAAATTACAACATTTAATGTTATTAATGCATTAGATCAGGCTATTATCAATAAAAACTTACTATTTATATAAGGTTTTTATTGTATGTCATTGGAAATAGATTAAAAACCCGGTTATGCTAAACAACTGAAACATGATAATACTCCCATAATGAAAGTTGAATTAACAAATTAATCTATGAAAATTAAAAAAAAGTTACTGACCGAGATGGCCACGTTTGGAAGCAACGTGAAATGGGTTCATATCAGACTTTGAGCGAATCTTGACGACTTGAAAGTCACAGAACTTGAGCAAGTAGCAGAAAATCTCGTGCATATTATTCTCTGCAGCGATGTAAAGCGCGGTTTCTCCAGCATCGTTCTGAAGGGACATCACATCAGAAAGCGATGAGCCTTTATCGCTCTTCACTTGCTCCACCAGTTTTTTCACCCCATCAAGGTCTCCAGATCCAACGCTCGAGAATATCGATTGGAACGCTATGAAACGCACGCCCTTCGACTCCATCTCTCTCTCAGACAACACCAACACAACCAACTCTTTCAGCTTCCTTCCATCACAAACCTTTCTCTATCTGAAGCTTTTTCTTCAAACCAGATGAGACGCGGTTGCACAGAGAGTGAAAGCGTGAAACTTTAATTCTGGGTATCAAAGAAGAGAGAGAAAATGTAGTGTAAGGGGATATGGATGTGAAAGAAGGGATAGTGATTCCCCGTTGAACTCAATTATTAAAGTGTTTTTATTTTATTATTTATCTTAATTAATTAATGATGTTGAGATTGATAGAGAAATCTTTTCATTTGCACAGAAAATCCAAGTGGGGTGATGCAATTGACTTTCACTTGGCGACAAGACGCGACTTCTGATGACACAACCACCGTTCTGCTGTTAACAAATGATTGATCTAAGTTACGCCGCCGCGTTAATCTCAAATATAATAAAAACTGCAGCTGAGAAAAATTAGGATTTCACATTTAAGATTTCATCATTTCTATGCTCTTTACAAAATAATTTTAGAGTATATGATGACAAATTTAACCTTTATAAGAGTAATTCTAAATCACGTATCTAACTTGATGTTAGAAATTAGAATCCAAGATTCTTAGATTTCTGTGTGTTATCTTAAAAATGAAAAATTAATGTCAATACTAGTGTTAGTAATTAGATAGTATTTTCCAATCTTACAAATTTGAGTTTTTCTTTTTAAATGAATATTTAAAAAATTCATTAAATCGTTCACTTTTTATGTTATATATTTAATTTTATTTTTTATTTTTAAAATATAATTTGATTCACTATTTCAAATTAAAAAAACTAAAATTTAAAATTACTATAGTTTTAATCAATTATTTTATAATTCATTTCTTAATTGTAAAAATTTATCGCTGTAATTTTTTATTCAATGTAATAAATTTATTGTTACTATTTCACCAGTTTGCCTTGTGGAGGGTTAAGAAACGCTTACATTACTCACGGAGATCAATCCTTACAAACTCACTTTTTATCATATATTTTTTAAATAATTTTTTATTAATTTTATTAAAAATAATAAAAGTATGCAACAGTTAGAAAGGTTGAATTGTTTTTATTAACAAAGGAAAAATACTACTGCAGAATTTTTATTTTTATTTTTTCCTTGAAACCAAATCAGCATGATCCTAGAATATGTTTGGAGGAAAAAAGAAATGAGATATCTTTAAATTAAAAGAATTATATATTATTTATAATAATAAAAGTATAATTAATATATTAATTTATATTAATATATAAATTTATATTTTTTAATATTAATTTTAAATATAATTATTTAAAATGTAAAATTTATCTTTTTTCTCTATTTTCTTTTAAAACTTTCTTTCTAAACAATTCTTTAAAGCTTAAAATTATTTTTTTTTTTAGCAAAGCATGACACTAATATAACATTACGTAGAATTCCCTTGTTATCATACTATAAAGATGAAAGTGTAACAGGTTTCACTTTTTGCATGATATCAATATTACTTATTAACTTAGAATTTAATGGTTGTTACAATTAACAATAAGGATGACTATAAATAGTCTTTTATTTTTAATTAAATCATTTTAAAAAATAATGTTAATAAAAATAAGATTCTTAAACTTAACTTATCTACAAATAATGTGTTTATGCCAGACAAAATTTTATTCTTATCTTTGATTTAAATTAAATATTTCTTAAAAAATTACAACTTCAAAAGAAAAACCCTTATTAAAATTTACAAAAAAAAAATAAAGCCACTAATATCCTAAAAGTACTGATTAACAATTAAAAATATGTATATTAAAAACATTATAAATGCACACTTATCATAATTTTTATTATATTCTCAATGTGATTGTTAATAATTTTTTTTATTCTTTAATCAATATCTTAAGATATTTGTTAACGTAACCTATAAAAATATATTCAATAAATAAATTATCAAATTATTATGATAATGACAAATATATTAAGGTAACAACTATAATAATAACAAGGCCTAATATTAATTTTACTCCCTCTAATTTAAAGTATGTATAATTTTAATCTTCTAAGATTATTTTTGAAACAATGAAGTCACTCTACTTTTAAATTTAGCAAAGTTGGTCCCTCTATCAATATTTTTTTTTCTTAAATCTCTTATTTTTTTTATTTTCTGCTCAAAATCTATATAAATTGAATCAATTAATTTATTTTATGCTCAAATTAATCAAATCATTAAATTCACCCAAAATTAACATTAAAAAAATTCTTCAAATTCTACTAATCTCACGTTTTATAAAACTTTCAAACTGTATCAATTTTTCATTAAATTTCTAACTTCTGAACTTTTAAAACCACTTCATATTTTAATTCCATTACAAAACTCTCAAAATTTTCAAAAAAAATGAGGGTTTATTGTAAAAAAAAAATTAATAAAAGATTAAATTTACAAAATTTTGAAAGAAAGAAAAATAAATTAGCTCAAAAAATATTTAAAAAATTAAAATCACATATAAATCAACAAAAATGGCAAGTTCGAGTAAATATTACTCTTTTTCTTTTAAATTTTGAATTGAAATTCTTTTAATTAATAATTCGTACCTTCTTTACAATTTTATGTTTTACATCAATATATACTTTTTATATTGCGCCTTAATTAATAATACACATTTCTCTAAAACTTCTAAATATTTTTTCTCTGAAATATTTTTCTTTTAATTTATACTTACTAACTTAATCTTGAGCTTTAAAAAATAAGATACTTACTCCCTAGTACAGGTAATAACAAAAGCCAGTTAAAATTTTAGTAGTATCGCATTCCTTTGCAGCTGATACGTAACATAAGAATCCGAGACACCATTGCAAAGAGCTTCATTCAGAAGTAATTAAGGTAACTTCCAAGTATTTTCTGTGGCGTCTACGGCTCTATCTTTTTTTATACTACAATAGAAAAATGAAATACAAGTTTTTGCAATAGACTTGGATCCATGGACAGACCAACGAAGTAACTTACATTAAAAGTTAAAAAGCATTTAATTTATATAAACTAACCCCGTAAAGAATACTTCTTTCCTGTAAAAGGCTGAAATTTCGCCTCTTCTTTCTCTTTAAGTGGTTCTTGTTTTGACTCTTTTGCCTGCAGAGACGGAAGATGTAAAACTCAACAGTCCATCAATTACTATCTAAAGGAGGAAAGGTGGAACACGTGAAGTAACGATAAGCATATGATTTGAAATATTTGCAAGTAGCAGAATTACCTTTTCTGTCTCTTTAGTACGGTTTGCATTTGACCCAAACACAAGCTTTCCCTGAGATTGACGAGCATTACTTTGTGAACTAGAAGCTGTAGAAGACTGTGCATTAACACTCGGAACATCAGGTTTCGTGTCCTTGGACCCTGAAGAAGAAACTGGAGGGGGCTGATACTTCAAAGGTTTTCCATCCAAGCGTCTCCCAGTTCCAGAAAATGGGTTGAACTTGGGCTCAGTTTCAGCAGGAGTCTCCTCAGCTGTAAGGAGGAACAAGAGGTGTTAATCTTAACAAAGCAGCACTAATAATATGGCCTTGAGGAGTATCACTCTAATATACCCAGTACCTTCAACTTTAATAACGCATTGTTACAGCAAAATTTTTAAATCTCACTTAAAATTTGATAGCCAAGTGATACCTCTTGATCGTTACATTTTCCACATTTCCAATTTTGGAAAATTACATTTCTTTCGCTACAACACAACTCAACACAAACATGAATATTGTAGAGTCATTAACAGCAATCATCACCTAAGAATATCAAATTCAGGCAAGTACAGCAACTTGGTCATAAAACTGACTTGCAGACAAATGATCAGCAACCCCATCCAGAAAAAAAAAAAAAAAAAAAAAAAGCCCACTCTTCAATGTTAAAAGATGGCAGGCATTCCAGTGCTATAGCTAACCGATCGAGCACATTTAATATTCTCTATTAGGAGCTTTAGTACCTTATCTACAATTTATAACTAAGCTTCCAATAACATCCATAAAAACAACACATACACACAAAAACAAAAGCAGAGAAATTCCTTCCCACAAGACACAAGACACAGCATCAGTCAGTCAATTACATACCAGCCTCGGATGCTTTTCCTGCAGAATGTGGAGCAATGGGCCTTTCAGGTTCCTTGTAATCTAAGGGAGGAGCAAAGTCCACCTCACAGTCGGTTTCAATTATGCTTATAGCATTGGCAGGCTTAGTTTCTATAATATCTATGTAATATTTCTTGTTGTTGTACGCCACCATAATACTATCACCAGTAGTCAAGCAGGAAAAATTCCTCAATGTTGTCTCTAAGCTGCACAAAAAAATACAGTCACATATCAACATGAAGATCTAACCTCAGTCAGCAAATGAAAATAAATACAGAACTAATAGAGGATGTGAAGATAGATTTAAAACAACAAAAACTGACTACTTCCAAGGACCATTAGGGGACTGGAATTAATATGTTGTATCTTGCTCTAAACCATGTTAAAAATAGTTTATAATATTGAACAATTAGTTCTTATATCTAAGATTGTATACCATATTACCACACATTAAGGAACACTGTAGTTGCATAGTGTGTGCGCGTTCAGTCCTTAACAGTGAAGACATGGCCAAATCTTTCCTCCATTGCAATTTATAGGTGTTGTTTAACTTCAGTATGACCATCTCTATACACCAAGCTGATTTAATACAAAAGTAGATGTCTAGACTACAAATACAAACCAATCTAATAACAAATCAAACTTTCAACAAAACCACATTTCTGGGAAACAATTAAGTTATTGATGTAGGCTGCATTTGTATTCATTGCAGTTGAGAGACCAACGCACCATCTCCAAGACAAAACCAACAGCTAAAATTGAATCATGCATGGGTTTCCTAAACACATTTAATGGAAGCAATAATTTTTTTGTTGTCACTAGAATCAATTTCTCACTTTCCAAAAACGGAGCTGTAGTAGCCTAGTAGGTGAATTCAATTACCATGTATTCTTTGGAAATGGGAGAAACAACGTGTGTGTAGTTGAAAAGTCATTGGCATACAAATATGGACAATTAAAATTTGGGCATAATTTCACTTTTAATACCTTTAGTTTGGACTGGGTGTAATTTTGGATTTTCTAAGGGTTTTTTAGCCCCCAAGTCTCTCTATTTTTAAAAGTAAATTTGGTCTTGCTGTCACATTGAAATCGATTCAATTGGTCTGAACCTTTTTTCTACTGAAAACATACCAACCAAAAACATCAAATTTCACCACACACATAATTTTTCCTCTTCATACCATATAAAGTCCTTAAAAGTTTATCAAATTATCATTTAATTTTTTATTTCTAAACTCTTAAAATCATTCATATCCTAAATTCATCATAAACTCTAATATTTGGGTAAAACAATAATTTGAGAGTTATAGGCATCAAAGAAACCAGATAATAGGATCAAATCTGTTTAATTTTTAAAAAATAGAAGAATTTAATTGGTTAAAAAAAATCTTGGGAAACCAAAATCACAAAGTCCAAATTAAACAGACCAAAAATGAAATTAAGCCTAAAATTTAGTTATCTCCGTGTAAATACCTATCAAAACTCTATCAATATACCAGCTTCTGGCTGGGTGTTAGGTCCAGCCAGAGCTCAAATCAGAAATTTTGCACTGAACCAGTGAAAAAAATTCCTATCATCCAATGAAAACTAAAACCGCAAAGTACCTGATGGTTCCTTGGAAAGAAGAACGAGTCCACTTAAACTAAATCAGGATTCTGGGTTCAGTTGGGGGATTAGAACAGCCATAATAACAATAACTAAATTGACATAACATTAAAAAGAATGCATATACTGGAAAGATGATCTGAGAGGAAACATCATATATAAAATTCAGAAGCTAAAACATAAGTCAGCTAGAAAGTTGCATTTTCCCAAGAGATACTCATTTGTAGGGAAATATCATAGCTTTAGCAAACTAAAAACTTAAGAAATGTCAACTCACATAGCTTTTGGATTGGAAATATCCAAAAAGTCTTTTGTGTGGGGCTGTAACTTAACATATGTCCCCTTTGGAAGTGTCACATTTTTCACTCTAACAATGTCCCCCTCTTGTAAAAGCATGTTCTCCATCATCTGTATAAGAAAACAGCAATAATTAAAAGAACACAAAACTCAAAAGCCAAACCAAATGAGTGAAACAAGCTGACAGTCATATTCACAAACAGTTACTTTTGAATGCCTACCCAGTATGGCATGTATATCATGCCTTCTTCTGCGATGAACTCCAGAACCCCACAATGAGAAACCCGCTCAGCAGCATCATTACGGAGTTCAAACAACATTGGGTAATCAATATGCAGAGATGCTGCAAATTGAGCTTGATATTAGAAAAGAAAACTCATAAAGTAGATATATATTCACCAGGAAAATAAGTGTGAAAAATGGAAACAGTGACATAACTAACCTAGACGGTCAAGGGCTGATGGAGGCATTATAACTGAAGCAAAACAAAATTTGACATCAGACGTGGAGCAAATAGAGCATGATATTCCAAAAACCAAAATTAGCAAGGACATAGAAACTTACTTTTGTCACCACTTTCAATTTGGGGCTGCAGGATTAAGAAGGTGAAAATAAAATTAGAAAAACTTAGATTATTTTATGAAATATGTGGTTTCAACTTAAGAATTTCACAATTCTCACGCATTAAACACTAGATTAGGGGCACTTTAGTTGAGTAACTTTAGTTTCTCTATATTTGACATTTCATGCTACAACATATAGTTATCAAGAGCATGTTATAGCCATACAAAGTGGCCATGAGCAGCTGCAAAGTTTGAATTGCAGCATGTTTCAAATAGTAGTCATAGCTGGGGTGAATCTTAAAAAACAAAATTTTTGCCTTCAAAATAGTTTTGTTTTGGGGGATTTTTTAGGGGCAACATCGATATTTTCCTCTCCTATTTTAGAATTAAAAAATCACTAATTGTATGTAGTTTTCCATGCATCTTATCTATCTACCGTGTAACACCCCCACTGCAACCAGCAACATAAATTTGTTTGTTTCCTTGACTTTTATTGTTACTTGTATGTTTAGCTTGATAATTATAACTTTTTACGGTTGCTTATGAGTGTATCATGAATTTTGAGTTTTTTAAATTTAACTTTTGAACATTTGCAAATGTATATAATATAAATTATTTAAGTTGTATATAAAAATTCTAAACAGCAGTTGTCTGCTGTGTCCAATCCCATTGCAGTGTTTTTTGGGTCAGCCACTACATGTTGCTATCCAAAATTGATAACTATGCTTCAATATTCTACATTTCCTACCTGTGTCTAAATCTGTGTTCTACTATCTTTTGGTATTAAGAATATGAGGGGTGGTAATTTTGAACTTTCAATCAAAACAGGATTCAATCTGCATTAACAAAGTTGACATTCCGATCATAATACCATTTTCCTATATTTAATGTACGCATACTGTTCCCCAAACAAGGCAAAATTTTGGGTCTATAGGGGCAGAGCACATAGCGGGGGACCAAACTAGTACACTCACAATTCGTGTCTTGCAGATTAATTAATTGAGCTGAGCCGAGGGGTAAATTTTTTTCTTCTTGAATTTACGATAAACACAACCAAATTACTGGATGAGGAAAGTAACTTAAAATACCATCTATAGCACATGATGTAGATAATTAGATCTACACTAGAAAAGAAATGTCAAAAAATCATAAATAAGAAATAACAACATAACTCATGGAAAATTTATTTTATTGGAAGCAATATATTTAACAGTGGATTATGATCACAAAATGGAAACTAACTGTCAATGAGCTTTTTATTACTCTATGTTGCTACACAAGATTAGCATGAATGCCTGAAAGGAAAGCAAACCTTTTCAATAAAAGAAGCAGGGTAGCATCGATATGTCTGCTCAAATGATGTCCCATGATATCCGTATCCATCAAAAAACTGTGACAAGTGTACAGGAAGTAGATAAAATTATCACGAGTGACAAAAATCATTATCATCATGGCATCAATATCGTATACAACTAGGGTAGTAGAAAAGTAATAAATTAATCAACATGTTAGAAGGGGAAAAGTATAATTAACAGGAGAATAATAAGGGCATATTTGGCTTATGAAAATATTTTCTAATTCTATTTCACGTCTTCACCCAATTACAAAAATCTCCTCGTTTTTCACTTCGTATATTGTTTGCAGAGAATCGTATTAAAAATAAATAAAAGCAACATATAAAATCAGAAGATAGAATTGCAAAACGTTTTGGGAAGCATACCATTTTCTTTTGTGCTGATTGTCGCACCAGAGGATCAACCCTCGAAGCTCCCTGTAAGAGTAAACAAGCATATGCCTCAAATAACAAAGATACCGAACCACAAAATTTGACGAGCCAAGGTCATAAACCTCGAAGTGTGGACAAAAACAATTATAATGATGTGCATAAGAGTAACTTTTACAAAGCGAAAAGGATATTACATTAACATGAAACAAATAATTAATCAAAATGCATTTCCAAACATAACCAACATTGTCCACAAAACTTGTGAAACTCGAGCAGTGGAATCAAAATCAGAAGAAGAAGAAGAAGAAGAAGAAAGAGAAATTGAGGAAACCCTAAGACCCTGGGAGCAGTGGCAAACACGGCGATACAGTTTGTAATAGAAACACAATCATCCTGGGAAGGAAACATTCAATAAAGGGGGAAAAGAAGCGGTAGTTGAAGGAAACACGAGAAAATTCTGAGAAAACAGTGTAAAAGTTAAACCAATAGAACAATTGGGTAGGATCCATAATTGAAGGTGGATAGTTAAGAAAAAAGAGAAGAGAAGAACCTGAGGCTTGATCTGAGAAGAAAGAACAGAGAGAAAGGAACGAGCTAGGAATGGAATATAAAATAGTATTTGTGAGTGTTGAAACTTGAAACTTGAAACTTGAAACTTGAAACTTGAGCAGTAGGTACCTATGTGGTATATAATAGATTGCGCAACAGGTAACCCAACTAAAAAGGGGTTTGTTTCGGTGCGTAACGCCCACGCTGTCTACTGCTCTGCTTCAAGCCTTGTATTTGGGTTATGCTTTCATTCGGCCCAAGCAATTAACAATGCTTTATCACATACATAGGCCCTGTTTTGATACAGGGTACATTTATTTAACATCATAACATTTATTTTCTTTTATATACTTCTTCATATTAGATGTAAGTTATTTTTTTAAAATAAAAATGATTTAGGAAAATATTTTGAATAAGAGTATTTTCAAAAACTATTTTATTTGTTATGTCATGTAACTTTTTCTGCATTGCTGAGGTTTCCATCTTACCCGAGTTGAAGATGCCCAAATTCACTCTATTGCTTCCAAAGTGTTTGTCCTGTTAATGTTGGAGTGGCCACTTAATCTTGTCTCATGCAGACAAAACGTATAACAACCTTATCTCGACAACATGCCAACATGCAACAGCTTCGTATGTTATCCATTTTGTTTCTGTACTATCTTATTATGCATCTGAAATCAAGTTGAACATCACCCATAAATTTACCTCTTTGTAGAATGAAAATTTGAGAATCAAGGAAGATGCTGAACACTCGGTAAAGAAAATAACTATTTGATCGTGTTTGTGATTTTGTTTTTGGTTGGTATGAACATTGTTTGTTAAATTGTAGATATTTGGGCCTCGCTCATTGGTCCAACCCATTCAGCCCAATTGTTTTAAGTCATTTTGTAGGGTTAGACCTGATAAAACAATGTACACTCTTCTATCATTTTTTTTTTTACTTGTACAAGACAGACACACACTCGTCGAGTTGAAACGCGACATCAAACAAAAAAGAGATCCAAGAACAGATAAATATTGAAGTAGCAGAGTTGAAAGATGTTTAAATTTTTTTTAATTGAGTTGGATGTTATTTTTAACTTATTTGTTTTTAAAACGACGTATTAAATTTTTATTTAATTAAAATGTGTGTAATAAGTTTAAATATAAATACATAGGTACTCACAAGATATGAATATAAATTCGAAAATTGTCATGTGCACAAGTATAGGTTCGAGGATTCTTTTTAATTGAACCACGTTCACGAGTATGAAAATAAATATAATAATATTTTACATCCACTTACTTATTATCTTCTTTACATGCAATCGTCAATGTCCATTATACAAAAATAAAATCTTTTAGACGTGTGTTTTCTTTAACTCAATGACAAAATCCTAGATTAGAAAGTTCGGTTTAATAAATTTAATTATAAAATTAGTTATTGTTTTCAATTTTGTATGTTTTAATATTAAATAAAGATTGATGTTTAAAAAAATTATATAATAATTGATTTACAAATTAGTTCTTAACATGAATTGAAACTGTAATACTATATTTTATCTTTACATGTAACACTTTTTTTATGTTGAGACAATGGAGGAAGGTGTAACAACAGAGATTCTTAAAGAAGAAGGGACTTTTTAGAAGCTATGGAACAGTGAATGGAGCAATTTATAAGGTTCCGATTCTGACGGTGAAATAACTGAAAATCCCCTAAAACGCCTCTCTTAATATAGCAAGACAACATATTGGGCAAACATCAGATACGAAATGACACCATTAGCAATTTTCGCAATCTCTTCCCCAATTCTTCCCAACCCAAAGAATCCAATAACAAACACTCGATCCAAAAAATAACCAAACCAATCGTTAGTATCGATCGAGTTTGTGTATTTGCTCGCTACATTAGCAATTCAACGTTTCACATTCCGTCAGCAACATCAAAATGGGTTTGAAATCACTCTTTAACCGCAACAAGGATCAGATCCCATCAGCCACGCCCTCCCGATCCACGTCAATGTCCGTGCGCTCACGCGCGCGTCTCGCGGCTGAGCTTGAACAAGTCTTCAACAAATTCGACGTTAACGGCGACGGCAAGATCTCGGCGTCGGAACTCGGATCCATCATGGGGAGCCTGGGCCAACCCGCCACCGAGCAAGAGCTCGACAACATGATCCGCGAAGTTGACGGTGACGGTGACGGCTGCATCAGCCTCCAAGAGTTCATCGAACTCAACACCAAAGGCGTGGATTCCGACGAGGTTCTCGAGAATCTCAAGGACGCTTTCTCCGTCTTCGACATTGACGGTAACGGCTCCATCACTGCCGAGGAACTCAACACCGTCATGCGGAGCCTCGGCGAAGAGTGCTCACTCGCCGAATGCCGGAGAATGATTGGCGGCGTCGATAGCGACGGTGACGGGATGATTGACTTCGAGGAATTCAGAGTGATGATGATGATGGGTTCTCGCCATGATACTACTGATAGAGTTAAACCCACCGAAGTTTGACACGTTCATTCTTCGCTTATGTTTGCCTTTATCGTGTTCCGTTTTTTCCCCTTTTCTCTGTAGAAAATATTATATGCCAAAGTTAAACACTAATTGGTTGAACAGGGTTGTTTGTTTATGCAGAAGGAAGACATGTACGTAGAATTTAAGGTTTTTCGATCCAATTTGTAATTTTGTACGACGTTGACGTTTCTCCCAAAAATTTCTCTATGCACGAATTATTCTATTTTTATTGTTCGATTTACTGTTTGTATTTTTTATTTTTTTTTATGAATTGTATAATTCATATGCCTTCTATATATCTCATGAAAGAATGATGTGTATCCATCTTACAATGGTGAAACGACGCATTTGATGAATTCGAATTAAGAATAGATGAGCCTCTAATGTTTATAAACAGTCTAAGACATAACATTTGTTAAAAAAATTGTTAAATCGTAATTTTAAATGGTAGCATATGACAAGTTTAATAATAAAAATGTCATAATCCTTATGCATAAAGTGGAGGACATGCATGTAATTAACTTGTCAGTGTACAAGGTGAACATGCATCACACATCTATAAATACTCTGAATTTTTTGTAGAATATGGAATTGGCAACAGCGTAAGCGTGAGAATGTAATGCGAAACATGACTATTTTTCGTGCTATACAATTAGCTAGAAAAAGTGTGATTTTAATATTCCAACGTGACCATTTTTCAAGCACATTATTGTACTCTTGAAAGTTTTATCGTATAAAATTGATAAATTTACAGATACTAATTAAACAATATGTGTGTTAGGGGATAAGTAATCTAACTTCTTTTAATCATTAAATTAACTCATCAAATAATTTTTTTTATCGTCACTAATTTTTAAAAAATATAAATAACTAAAACAGTCTTTCAAATAAAATATTTGTCACGAAGTTAGTTCATAAGATGCCTTACCTCTTCATGCTTCCATCTTCAATAGCTCTGGTTAAAAATATAATAATGAAAATGGTAAAATAATATTAATAAGCACTACAATAAATAAATTAAAATAAATATATATAAATAAGACAAACTCATAACACATTATTTGTTTGGTTCATACAAAATAATTTAATAAATACTAATATACATTAGATGTAAATTATTCTTACTGACGAAAATATAATACTATTAATAATAATAACAATGATAATAATATCAGAATATTATTATTATAAATGGTAATAAGTTATATTATATACTACATGTATTTTTTAATAAACAATTTTATTTGAATTGAGTAAAATTATTATGAGTAATAATTTGTTAATTATTTTTATTTTTTTAAACAAATAAGATAATTTTAATTTATTTTATTAACTCCTCAAATAATAAAATAAAATAATATATAATAATATATCTCATTCTATCATATTTATTTTAATAATCAAATTTGACTTTTAAAAATAGAATGACCACAAAACCTTCAAAATCCGATGCGATGGTATTCAAAACATGTTTAATTCTAAATTTAGTTCATTAACATCGTTTTAGATTTTATATAAAAATATTATACATTTTTATATTTATATAAAAATGATCTATAAATTATTTTTTATTTATTTAAATTATTAACTATGATATTTATATTTGATACCTTTTATTTAAATTTTTTATACTTTCACTCTATTCTAGTCTTGTACAAAAAATTTATATTTTCATTTTTAAACATCGCGTTTTTTCATCACTGCATGAAAAGTACATCGACACTGCTATAGCCTATAAACAAAACTAAAATCCTTATAACTCAAATAAACAGTAGAATTTAATTTGTATATATTTTTTAAATCAAAACCAAAATATATTATTTTATATAAAAACTAAAACCAAGAAACGAGTTTCGAATGAAATTAAAATTACAAATAAACTTTTAAATATTAAGAAATTAATACAGTGACTAAAATATTTGAAAATTTACGTGTTGATGCATGTATTTTGAAGAATAAATTAAATAATCAGGATATATTTAAAAATTAATTTGTATATATATTTAAATAATTCACAGTCTTTATAATTTTAAATTTGTTTTAATAAAATTATCAATATGATTTATTGAAATAATTTTTGAAGTTAAATTAATATTGTAAGAAATATTGAAGAGTAGAAAATGTTTTATACTCGAATCCTGTGGCGCTGGTGGTATAGCCTTGCGAGTTGCGAGTTGCGGGTTCCCCCAATATCTCGTGAAGGCAAAAGCAAGAGCAGTGAAGAAGATTGGGTCATGGCTACATCCAAGGCTTTAACGTGTTCGTTGACACAGTTGCATCCGCTAACATGCGCCGCATCGGCATCGGCATCGGCATCGGCGTCGGCGTCACGGTTGGTGCCCCATCCACCCGACCTAATAAAATGGGTAACGAGAGAAGGTGGCTTCGTGCACCGCGCGGTGAAGATATCACAGGTCGACTCCTCCAATGGACTGGGACTAGTGGCCAAGGAACAAATTCCAAGTGGCACCGACCTCATTGTTCTACCACACCACCTTCCCTTACGCTTTACCTCTGCTCAACCCGACCCACGCGACTCTCTGCCCGTTCAATTGATGCGCCAAGTTCCTGGTATTCATTCCTTTATTCTCCTTCTCCTATTATCTATTTCAATTGAGTTTTCAATGTAAATAAATTGGACACTGTGGTAGCTTTTGGCAGAGGAACTATGGGCAATGAAATTGGGTTTGAAGCTTCTGCAGGAGAGAGCAAAAGTTGGATCGTTTTGGTGGCCATATATCAGTAATCTCCCGGAAACATTCACTGTGCCTATTTTCTTTTCTGGGGAAGACATCAAGAACTTGCACTATGCTCCTCTTCTTCACCAGGTACTTTACTTTAGTTTGGAATTCCAAGGAATCTATTAGGCTGCGGATAAAGCTAGTTAAGAACTGATATTGTATATTTTCACTTTGATAGGAGAAATGAATGTAGCATACTTGGTTTATCTTCAATTTCACAAGGTTGCTCATACTGATAAATTCTTAGATGCATTTCTGTGTGTAGACCTCTTATTTTTCAAGTTTTCTGGATTTTGTTAAGTAGATATATGAATATCATTTGAAGCACCTAGTCAACAATCAACATGTTTTACTACTGCGCCAATGTATCTATCTACTTTCATTTTGCTGTTGGGGATTTGAGAGATATGCACTTTGATTTGAGCCGTGTAGCTAAAAATTGAAGATGCATCTGTAACCAATATCAGAAGCTGAAATTGTTTATATTGTCATTTGTAAAATATTTTGAGTGCCTCGCATGTGTTGACCTGCGGTATGGAAGTTAATTAGAAGTCAATTTCATGAGGCAGGTAAACAAAAGGTGTCGGTTTCTTCTTGATTTTGAGCAAGAAGTCAAGCGTGCCTTAGTAGGTCTTACACCTGATAAGCATCCTTTTGGTGGTCAAGAAGTAGATGCATCGTCTCTTGGATGGGCAATGTCAGCAGTCTCGTCTAGAGCATTTCGGTTATATGGTGACAAGCATCCCAATGGGACGCATATTGACATACCCATGTTGCTCCCTCTAATTGATATGTGCAATCATAGTTTCAGTCCAAATGCTAGAATTGTTCAGGAACAAGATACCGGTAGCATGAAGCAAGTGAAGGCATGTTTTCTTGTTTTCTCATACACATTCCCATATTAGCACCCCCCCCCCCCCAAAAAAAAATAAAATAAAAAATCCCATGCCTGCTTTTAAGAAACAATTTATATCTGAAATTATCTTGGACGGGTAATTCTTTCCTTTGCATCAGGTTGTGGCTGAGACAGCAATCAAAGAAGATGATCCTTTATTACTTTGCTATGGCTGTTTAAGCAATGATCTTTTCCTTCTTGATTATGGATTTGTGATCAAATCAAACCCTTATGACTGTATTGAACTCAAATATGACGGTGCTCTTTTGGATGCTGCAAGCATGGCAGCTGGAGTTTCTTCACCAAACTTCTCGGCACCTAACTCGTGGCAGGAACTGATTTTATCTCAGCTGAATCTAGCTGGAGATACTCCAGATCTCAAGGTTAAACTGCTATTGCATGTTACATTAGTACCCTTCTTCTATCTTGTATAAGCTTAATGTATATTGTAGCAAAGATTTAACGATTTCACTGCTCATATATCAATATCTCCCCCTTTTTTTTTTGTCTTCCCATTCTCCCAAAGGTTCATGTATGCCATTGAGTGATAAAATGGCCAAACCCTAGGATCACCAAGACTAAGTGACAACTTCCATGATAATTGAATGATCATAGCAAAAGAACCATAATGTATTCCTCATCCCAACCATCGCACAAGTTCATTTATTTGTTTTCTTGCAACAGGTGAGCTTAGGTGGTCAAGAAACGGTAGAGGGCCGCTTGTTGGCTGCACTGAGGGTACTCCTTTCGAGTAATATGGAAACTGTGCAGAAGTATGACCTCAGCACGCTCAAGTCTTTGGATGCTGAGGCTCCTCTTGGTGTTGCAAATGACATAGCTGTGTTTCGTACCCTAATTGCTTTGTGTGTCATTGCACTGGGACATTTTCCCACCAAAATAACGGATGATGAATCACTGTTGAAGCAGGGTGCTTCTGGTTCAACCGAGTTAGCCATTCAGTACAGAATCCAAAAGAAATATGTGATTATAGATGTGATGGGAAATCTCTCAAAAAGGGTAAAGCTTCTATCATCAAAGGAAACAGCAACTGCCGAAGGTTAAGTGATAGCGAACAATTAGTTATTAGCTTGCTATCATGAAATCTCATCCTATCAATTGTCGAGAACATATTGTCATTAAGTATCCTGTTGCCTTCACTACAGCATACATTTTCCTTTTCCTTGTTCTTTTCCATTTCCCCTTTTACTCTCCTTTTGCTTTATCTACATTCCTAACTGGCGAGTGTAATTTTGGTTAAATTTACATGTGTTTTTGCCATTTGCAATCTTTATTGAACTATTAGTGCTGACTATCAACTAAAATTACATTATCTGTGCTGATAAAGAAAAAATATATTATGTTCTCTTTCAAGTTGGTCATTATATTTTACTCTTACATTACTTCTTTTTGTTGCACTCAATCATTGATATTTGATCACAATTGATAGTTTTCAACTAATTAAAATGAAGACAGAAAACGTTAAAGATAATCTTCTCTGTTGTAACAACCAGGTAGTGTAATCCGATACTGAATATTCTAATGCCAAGTCAATGAATATTTATTAGTAGTAAATACCGATGACAGAAAATAACAACTTTAATTTTATAAATATGCGAATATTTATTCTCAATTTTCGATAAGTAATTACCATTTGAATTTATTCTCTCAATTGTATATGCAAATTCCAATGTTTTGTGGTTCAGATTAATATTTCTCTCATGAATGATAACCAGACAAAGTATTAGAATCAGTTGGGCTAGAGATTTTCATCTTTTTTTTTTTTTTTTTTGACGTGGCATACAACAGTTTGTAGTAGTGTGTCGTTCCGTGTTAGATTTAATCTTTGCGCAGATAAGGAAGCGTTTGGAAATAACACATGTCATGAGAGGTCCAACAGTGACTAGCGCTGTCCATTTTTCAGCACGACCGAAACGCTAGCTTCAGACCTCGTCACATACAAGAAGATAACCAAAATCCTTCAGAATCAAAAATCTTGGACGATGTTGTGGATGAGACTTGCGTCTAACTTGTTAAGGTTAACCCTACCCTTTGCCGACAAAATCAATAAAAAATAAAAATAATAAAAACAATTTGTGAAGTCGCAAGATTCGTTTTAGGACAATGCTCCCATGCGCGACGCCATTCTCTTCGTCGAAAAAATCAAACAAATAAAAATAAAATTAAACTCTTTGACCAAAAAAAAACAATAAGAAAGATTGCATTAATCATCTGAACGAAGCCGAGTAAAAGAAGTCATTTGTTGGTGTTTAGGCAAATGGGAATGCGAAAAAAGCATTAGAATTTCCTTTGGCTTGATAGCAATTAGCAAACCATAAATTGAACAAGTTTCTTTTTGCTAAAAGACATGGAAAATAAAGAGAATTACGAAGTTCATGGATTAAAGAAAAGGGAGAAGAGACTTCAACTAAACAAAGTCCGAAACTTTACCACCAAAATCATGTACAAGAAGTCGACAAGCACATAGAAACCAGAAAGCAAAAACACAAAATTACTATAGTTCCAACTCCCAAGGGAAGTCTCTCTGAGATTATACCTATCATATATATATATATATACATGCCTGTAACTATAAGCTTCTTTGTGATCTAACATCTAGAGTTACCAACTAGGATGGCCCTCTCTGCCAATCCCAGTGGTGAGCGAGAGCGAAGACGGGTAACATCTCTAAGAAAGACACGCCTCATGTGTAGCTGAAGTGAAGGGTGCTTTATTCTCTCAATTTCTTGCTTAATTTTGATGACTTGGCTGTGAACTGCAAGACCCATGAGGCCCTCTCCACCCCTTATGCTAGTTTGCTTCTCGTTATCACAGTTGAAGGTGGAGGTGATGCTGATGGCGGTGGGGTTCTTCTCCATCTTCCTCTGCTATCTCTGAAACAGACCCTTTTAGACAATAATATGTGAAATATAATTTTGGCGTTATGAATGGCAATTGAGGGATATATATATATATATATATATATATACACACACCCCGGAAGAAGGATAAAAATATCACATTTTAAGAGAAAGGAAATGAGGGAAATAATATTTTATTTATTTATTATTAGAAAGGAAGTTTTATTAGGGCTCCCACCTTCTCCATTTGGATGGATTTGAAGCAGACATCTGCAACCATAACTTACTGATATATGATTTCCTTCCTAATAATTAACAAATCATTCGTGCATTAAAGATAAAATTAAATTCAAAATATATAATATGTTAAATTAAATATTTCAGATATAATACAAAATTTAATAAAATGTATGATAAAACATAATTATAAGGAGAAAATAATTTATTTGTAAGCAAATATAAATTATTAAAGTGCTGTTAATTATAATATAACTAATAAAAAATATAATTATTTATTATTGTAAAATAAATAATTATATTTTTTATCAAAATATAATTATTTATTTTACAATAAAAAAATATACAAATTAAGAAGATTGACATGATTAGCTTTTATCAAAATATAAATAAATAATTTTATTTTCTTACAGTATGATATGTTAAAACAAGCATGCGTGGATTAATTGGTATGTTCCTTGGATGGAATGGCAATATGAGAATATTAGTGCAGGATCTTTTCTTTAATCTTAAAAACAAATTGAAATATCAATGACGTAAGATTGGGATTGGAAGTTGATCAAACACGTGGAGGAAACCCGTCACGCTTACACTGGAAATTGGAAATGATAGGCATCAATCCATTTAATATTTGATGACAATGAAAAGTCATTAAATTTCACATTTGTTTCCCAATTTGGCTCTTTAAGCTGTCCCTTTTCTACCACCCTCTATCCCTAATCCCTGCCCATCATCATACCTAAAAACGACAAAGAGGTAAGCCACCCAAGCCAATAGAAACTACCCAAGTTTTATTCTTCCAATTCATATTTTACCATCTATTCACACCCACTTTGCTTCTTCTTTTCTATTCCCAATCTCCAATTTTGGGTCAAATCTTTTGAGATTTTTCAAACACTTTATTCTATTTTCTATTCTTTGGTGCAAGCAACTACTAAATCTTAGGCTGCCAAATTAGTGCTTCTATGACTCCCAATATTCTTTGTGATTTGTGAGATCTTCACTTTAATTTTATGGTCTATTGCAACGCATCAACTTGTTTGTGGTCAATGATTCATCAACGTGTAATAAGTTATTTGGAAGACCGCTCAACTTAAAAAATAAATAAATAACAAAGGCGTACAAATCATAAGCAGTTGACCTGCATAATCTAATCACCTATATTTGCTGCTGAACCTTGACCAAAATTAAGTTCAATTCAACTTGTTTCATTAGTTTAGTTTACGCTAAACAATTAAAAACATGGATTTTTTATTTTAAAAAAATATTTATTATATAAAAAAATGGGTATAGTAAATATTCTTTAAAATAAATAATTAGTACCGTTTTAAATGTTTAAAATTAGGGATAACTATGAGTGTAATTTGAGTAAATTATTCAATACATGTCTCCATAGGACATGCCCATTTACGTATTCCCATACTTATCTTCATTCCCGCATGAAGAACAATTTTGATCATTATACTTACATACGTTGAGTATCTAATTCTTATACTTGTCTTTGTTATTAACAATTTGTTGGTGAAAATATAATACTTTTACCAATTTTTAATAAACTAATAAATCATAAATATCACGATAATTTTTTGAAAAAATACATCAAATAAAATTATTTTTTTAAAATAAAATACAATGAAGTATAAATATATATATATATATATATATATATATATATATACACAAAATTAGGTGCTACAATATTTATGCTCATACTAGTCAAATTTTACAAATATCCAGTCATATAAACAAAAACATTACTTTCAAGAGTATTACTATAATATTTCTTTTATTTTAAATTTTATTAACTTGTAATTAATAAATTTATAACATACCACCCAACTCAATCACAGATTGCAAAACCAAAACAATATTGCTATACTAATAAAGAAAATAGAAATTAAAATTGGTTTGAAATCTTCAAATTATTTTCTGTATTATCAATTAATTTGTTAAAATTCCTTTTAGCATTCCTAATTAAATGATAAACTATTAATGTTTTTTTTTTCTATAGATGTAAACAAGTGAATTGATAAAACTGGTAGGTAATAAAAGAATAATTAAAAGATTGCACGATAATCATAAAAAAATATTACGCAAACAAAATTTAGGAGGTAATTAATTAATAAATTATATATTTTCCAAATATATTTATTGAATCATAGTTTTTAATTTGAAGTTATACTATATTCGACATAAAATTTTACTTTAAATGTATCTGGTCATATATTGAAAATATAATTTGTAATGGATGCTGGGATAAATTTCTTAGACGATATCGCATGTCATAAAAATTAAATATTTAAACTACTGATATAATTCTAGTTTAACTTGTAATTTTATATTTTTATTTTGTTCAATAATTTTTTTCTTTTTATTTTTTTAACTATTTCATCTTTTACCTATTTGATAATTTTTTTTATTTCTCAATGTGTGTAAGTTTCTATCTTCTATCCTCTTTCTATGTGTCTTTAATATTTTCAACATATTATTGCAATTAAATATGTAAACTGAATTAATTTTACTACTTTATCTATTCAATTGATTTACAATTATCGTTATTCAAGACTTTTATGAGTCTACCACTAATCTTATATTGATAAAGTTGTCAATTGAATCCAAACTTTTTTTCCAGATATTTTCTTATATTTGTTAATATATTATTATTATTTTGTTGTTATGCTTTTTTTCTCTCCTAAATTGCATGCATTATTTTAACCCAACTGCATTTATTGATGTTTAAATTCAAAATCACAGGTCAAGTGAAATAACTCACAATTAGTTGATCACATACGTAATTGTATTATGCTTACATGATTTGAACCTTGATTTAAAATTATTTTTATAATATATTTTTATTTGTTTTTAAACAGATTCTTAAAAAATTTGTGAAAATTTACATTTTACATCATTATATGACATATATTTTTTTCATTTTTATTTATTTTTAATAGTTTAAAATTGTATAGTAACTTCAAATATTCAACTTATAAATGAGATGAATTGAAACCTATGTCCCTTTTAAATTTTTCTCCAATTCTAACAATTAAAAAATTCAACAACTCTTTAAAAATCATATATCAATGACATAAAAATAATTTAATGTACATGTTTAATTTTTATCAAGCATGTAATAAATGTTTTTAAATATCTTAAATTTTATTGTGGAATATGTATATCATCTTATGCATAATTGTTTAAGTTAAAATACCAGTAAATGTGATTGTATTAAATATTTGACACGAGAATTTTGCTATTTATAATAATTTTGTTATATATTTGTAACAAAAATTATATTTCCAACTAATTAAATACACCATAGCTATAATTTTTACAATACATTCATTCATAATTGAGTCACAATATACAAAATTTTACATTATTAATCTGTTTAGCATTGCTTTTGAAGTCATGCTACTGTCTCTGATTAAGAGGTTTTTTTAACACGTGTCTATTGACTTAGCCAGCCCAACAAAAATGTTGTTAGTTTTATGCACAACAGAAACAAATTTCTTTAGCATGAGCTGTGCCGAACTTAGCCTACTTAATATGGGCATGGATATGGGCTGACTCTTTGCAAGGCTATTTTATTTAGAATGAAATTGGGCCCAAGTCTTTTTTTTTCTTTCTACTTTTCTGTGGAAGCATAACATCGTCATTACTATTAATTAATGGATTGTAAAAAAAATGGTTACAAAAAAACAAATTGTCCAACGTCCCTATCTTGCGTGGGTTATGGTCTTATGGACGTGAGTTAGGCAACTTTTTTTGCATTTATTTGGAAGTGCCGTTTTAACACAAACAAATTTAAGATAAAAACACAAATAATTCAGTTTTTTTGACATAATTAACTTTGAATTCATGATAATTTTTCTTTTTTTAAGATTGAATTTTATTTTGTGTCAACCTCTAGAGTACTGTTGCCCGACCACATTTTAAGCATGTTCGCATAAAAAAGAAAAGAAATAATAATAATAAAAAAGCCAACAACGTGCTTTGAAATGTAGCAAACAAACAATTAGATAAAATGAGCGTTTGGAAGAGTTTAAGTCTTCTAAAAAAAAAAATTAATGATTATATATATATATATATAAAGCCTTTTCTGTATAACTACTAAAATATATTTTTTAACTTCATCCAATAATTTTATAATCAAACTAATACTATAAGTGTTCATATAATAATTTTGTTTTTAAAACTATTTAATCAACATTCTTACTCAAACGCTGCCTAATTATGTGTATTATATTTTGCAAGAATGCTGCACTAAGTATTAGCGTCAATAAGAGGGTGATGATGTTCTGGGACGTTGGAAACTCTAACAAACATACAAGTTATACAAAATCATATAACAATTTATTGTTTAGTTTAATTTATTTTTTATAAATATACTTTTCCTTAAATTAAGTATTATAAGAACGTGAAAAAACCTCATGGAATGTTTTTGGATAATAAAACAATGTATCGGGACAAATTAAGCAGAAGTGTGTTTAGTGATAAAGTTGGCTTTGCTTATGTTATGTCCAAAATGAGGGTCGAAAAAGAGACGTTGAATTCAAAGCGCCACGCGGATACAAGGATGACTGGGAAACGTTCAATCGAAGTTTGAACAATGACAAAAAAAATATCATTCACCTAAATATACAGCACAAGATATATAGAATAAACTATTTTGGGTTGAAAGAGTTATTTACTTAATATATTTAAATATTGAAATGTGAAAGAAATATCGAGATAATTTGGATCGTCTAACTATTGAAATTGTTCTGACGTGAGAAACTTGGATTATTAAACTATAATTACGCACACTATTATTATTGTCCTAGTTAAACTTCAGTTAATATTTTACTATATATTTATAGTATAATTTTATATTTTATTCATAGACTTACGTGTTCACACTTGTAATAAGTTGATAGATATGCAAGAAAATAATTTCAATTTAAACATTAATATAATAACTTTTTAATTTATAGAAAATTTTTTATATAAATATTCATCCAATATTAAAGGAATATAACTCTTTTACTAAATTTTATTAACTTTAAAACTAAGTTTAAACATCTATAAATATTTTTTTTTTAAAATGTATATAATTATTGTACTAAAGTTATAAAAATATAATAAATATTTTTTAATAAAATTTTAATATTATTAATTATTTATTTTCAGTTTTTTAGTAAAGTTAAATTATTTTTTACTGTTCCACCGTTAAGACGCTTGAAAGGAAAAGTCACGAAAATTTGTGAAATCTCACTGTACTCTTTCTATTTTAGACAGAAAAGTCATAATTCAGACACATGGAGAACGTGACTACTTTGGGTAGAGAACTGTAAGAAATTTTATTTTTAAAGTATTTATGATATTAAAGAATATAGTTGGTAATTTATATATTTAATGATTTTAATAAATATAATATACATTTTTTAATAATTAAAATTAAAAAATATTCCATTTGATTTGTTATAAACAAGCCTGGAAGAAATAATTTACGAGTTCTTCGGCATTCACATTTACAGTGCCCCAAACAATTAGAAATGATTGCGATCGACGGCTCTTTTTCTTTTAGAGTCAACGAAAGTGCATTCAAATTAAGCAGAAATTACAAAGTCTCCTGCAAGCGCCAACAGAACTCGAAGGGGAGCTTGTAACTTGCGCTACCTGGTTTGTAATTCTACAGGTAAAACATATATTACAATAATAAAAATAAACACTCAAGCTAGAAATAATGAGAATGTATTTATTGTATGCTTGAAAATAAGTCCAAGATTTATAAATAAAATCTAATGCATAAGTTATAATCAATAATATTAAAATAAATATAAATTTATGAATATATAGACATAAAACTAAACACACTCTCAGTATAAGAAATGTATATCTTATTTTAAAATTTGTACATAACTTATTTCATCTTAACTTTATTTGATAATGTAAGTTTATGGCTTATCTTAAAGATTTGTAATTTTTCAAAGTCAATTATTTAAATTGTTTGGTAAACAAAATATATATATAAAAAAGCTTGCAACTTTTGAAATATGACTTATAAAAAATTAATCAAAATAATATTTGACACGAGTCTATACTTGGTTAACTTCTAAATTTTATAAGAGAACAGATAAGTATAAAAATAAATATATTTTTATAAAATAAAAAAAAATATATTTTTATAAATTAAAAATAATTTATATTTTTTATTTTTTAATTTTATTTAGTTTCTAAAATTTGAGACGACAAATTATTTGTGACTTACGTGAAAATTTTTATTTATCTGTGTATTAATTTTTTGTATAAGAACTTTCTAATAATTTATCTAAAATAGGCCTTATTGAAAGTTGACTATCGACAATTTTGTTTATTTTTATTTTTATTTTTCAAATAATTTATATTTACGTAAAATAACTTTAACTTTCCTTTTAAATGTTTGACATACTTCAACCAGATGTGGAATTAATTATACTAAATAATAACAATTCAATGTGTTAATTATAAACTATGAATTTTTAGTTACAAAAGCCTTTGAATGTTTCTAGTAACATAGGATTATATTTTTGTAGAGGAGCTTGTATTTTATTTTTCTTCAAAAAATTAGTAGAGTTATTAGTTAATAAAAAAATAAGAAAGTTTATAACTATTAAAAATTAACTTTGGAAGTTAATTGTTTTCATTTTAATTTTTAACTTTTAAAAGAATTTATACTAATAGAAAATAATTAATTTTTTAATCATTTAACACATTTTATCTAATTATACGTGTAACTATAAAACAAAATCAATTATAAGTTACAAGTTTGAAGTACCTTAATCATATGACATTTCTTTTAAAAAACTAGTTGAAATCTTTTAAACAATGTACACTCACATAACAAATATTTAATTGATTATATGATAATAATAATAATAAAAAAATTAGGATATAATAAATTAATTGATAATAAATAAAGCACACATATAATCTTATCACATGATTCTAATTTAATTAATTAGTTAGGTTTCACAGTTATAAGCTCTCGACTTTCAATTAATTTCACTAAAAACAAGCTTGAACTGTTAGAACCAAATGATCGAGGATGGCTTATTTCTACATCCCTGCACTGCCTTAAAATTGGAATAGTGTCTTTGAGATGCAAACATTTGTCAGGAACCAATAATGATTTACGTTATTTTAATTTTTATGATAAATCAGTGACTAAAATTTGAAAGTTGTTTAAGTAACATTAGTGATTTTTGTGTTTCGACATTTCATTTCAATGAAATTTTTTTCACAATTGATCCATGTTAATTAAGTGCCCCCACATATAGGGTGCGATCGCTTTATTTTTGCGAGTAGATGGTGATATTTTACAGTATAACTATCATAGGGGTTATTTTCAAAATTCCAATGTTAGGAAACAATAATACTTTATTTAATATTTAAATTTAGAGACATTATTGAAAGGTTAATATTTAACAGGTTCCAAATATAATTACAGGATCACAATCTTTTTTTTTTTTTGAGTATCAGTTACTGTGGTCAATATTTAGAGCGAACCTGAAATTTGTTTTAATACAGGCCTGTGCATTACAAGTAAGCATTATAACAGCAGTTTTTAAATTTACAACAAGGGTTTAGGTATAACAGTGAATAAAATGTATGACAAAAAAGGGACCAATTGTAAGCTCGTATTTATTTGCATATATTTTTTGTCCAAACTCTTTCGTATGTTCTGTCTTCGTAGGTGAGCCTAGTTGTTTGTTTAGGCCTATAATCGTCGCAACACAAAGCAACATATCATTAGAAAATAACATTAGCTTTTTTTTAAGTGCCTGTTAATTTAAATTTTAGGGTTAATTTTAAATATTTAAAAAGTAATATGATTTTATTAAAAAATGAATATCTATCATATTGCAAATATAAAAGTGCAATTAATGTTTTTAAAATAAAAAATATTATATCTACATATCAGTTAATCCTAAAGAACGATGTCGATAAAACCGTGTTTTATTATATGGTAATCTTAAAAATGAGATATGTTATCCATATAAACAAATATCACTAGTTTTGTCTTTAACCTAATATATCAAAATGAAGAATAGCATGATAATAATAAATGCACAATTCTAGAATAGCATTATAGGAGTTAACTAATTATCTTTTTTGTTTAATTTCATTGAAAAAATTGGAACATGACCAGTGGAGTTAAATCCTTCTTGGCAGATTTAAGTTACCTCAAATTAATATTTTTCATTTCACATAATTTCTTAGGCCATAAGTATGTGCACAACATGTTTAAAATATACAAGAAATCAAGGGATAAAGTCAGATAAATTATAATTATATTTTAAAGTTTAATATAACATCGACTTCGCTCCAAACGTTTTTAAAATCCTAAATTTAAATATAAATAGTTTCATTTTCACATGTAATTATCAGTGTAAATATTTTAACACCACTGACCAATATTACAGAATAAGGTTTAGATTCAAGTTTTGCACATTAAAAAATACTCGTAATCAAATATTAAAAAGAAAAACCATTGTACATTCAAAAAGAAGTTAGTTTATAGTAAGTTTTATAAGAGAATTTAAAATGAAGATAAGAAAAGAGAATAAAAATTGGAGTAAATGCATTAAAAGGGAAGTAAAGTCACGTATACTCCCAATTGATCTCGAAGTAAAATACCCCAAAATAAAAAAGAAAAAAAAAAGGGCTCTGAGTGGCTCCATCGATCAGTATCTATCTTATCAGGGCATTATGGCAGTGGAGTCAGACTCAGAGGGCATGCATATGGGAGGAACGTGTTTTCCAAAGTCAACTTAGGGATCAATGACTATATCAGGCCGTGTCGACTAATATGTAGAGTCGGTTGCCAAATTAAATAAAGAACCTTCACACTATCTACTAAGTAATATTCTTTTTCGCTATCTGATGTGATCTTAGACTCAGCCATGCACGCAGCAACAAGTAATTAACGCTCACTTAACATCTCAATGCCAATATGCAATGCCAGATGTATATAGTTTGTCTGGAAAACGACACATCTCAATCTTAATCTCGTTTCATTATGAAAATTTGTATCTGTATAATGTTTATAAAATAGAATGTACAATAAAAAGGAAAAGTATGATATAATAATTGATGTTATTAAGAGAGAGAAAAAAATTAAATATTATATATAAAGTGTGGTACTACGAATAACATAACTCTTACATTATTATTATTATATTCTATATTCCGTATATTAACTTCTTTCCATTATTATATTCCGTTGGGTGATAGATCCGTGCAGCTCGAGGAAGGCGACAATTACGCGTTTGATACGTTTGCTTACAACACTTAATGTTCTCAAGGTTGAACTTCTATATAAAGGTTCTTCTTGGCCACTCTCTCCCCATCCTTTATGCTTTTACTCATCCAACCAATCATCGAGATCAATCTTAATCACAAATATACAACTAGCTAGCCATTTTTCCCTCTACTACTCTTATTCTTCTCAATCCCCTCTATACTACTTACTTTCTTGGTTGATTGTTCGTGTTTTCCTTCAATATTTTCTCTGTTGTGAGTGAGAATTTTAGTCTTGATTTGAAGATGGTTTGTTTGGTATCTCGCACAGGAAGGGAGTTGCAGAGATACAACAACATGGGTGGCCGTCAAGTTGTGGGGTGAGTTTGGTTCGTTTTTGTTTTTAGTGTCTTATTGTGTCTGCGAAGCGTTCCTTTATTTTTCACATGGGTTAATTAACTTTCAATGGGAAATAATTGGTAGGTGCCTGGGGGGCACCCTTTTTCATATAGCACCCCGTTTTTGTTTGGTCATTGAAAGGGTACATCTGGGTCTTGATATATGAAAATTCATGACTTTAATTATCATATTCTTAAATATTGCCTCAGCTCAATTACTTCATAACTATTTTGTTTCACTCATTGACTCCGCTATTTAATGTCTATTTGTCCAGATGCATACCTTATAGGTATAAAGAAGATGTATATGGAAATATGAGCAACGAAGTGGAAGTACTAGTGGTTAGTTCACAGAAAGGTCAAGGATTGATGTTCCCCAAGGTACTTTTGTTGCTCATTGTTCGTTAATAATTTAGTTAAAGAGCATTTTAACTTCAGTTTTAGAGTTGTGTTAAAACAATTAAAATAATAAATTTTTATTTAAAAATGCATTTATTATATTTTTATAACTTTAATGTAATAAATAGGTCTTTTATAATAAAAAAAATTATTAGTTTTAAGTGTTTAAATTTAACTATAAAATTGAAGTTAACAAACTCTTTAGTTAGTTTTAATTTACTCAATTTGCAATTGGCATTCGTCTGTTCTGAACTCAGGGAGGATGGGAACTTGATGAATCTTTAGAAGAAGCAGCTTGCAGGGAATCCCTTGAAGAAGCAGGAGTCAAAGGAATCGTTGAGGTATTGTCTAATTAAATTCCATTATGCATTGCACTCTAGTAAAAAGATCTAAGCAAAGCTAAAAAGATTTGATTTCAAAAGAAACTGAAGTAATGTAACTTCCCCCTATATATCAATGTGCAGTGTGAATTGGGCCAATGGAGTTTCATTAGCAAGAGACATGGCATATACTATGAAGGGCACATGTTCCCTTTGTTTGTCAAGGAGCAACTTGATATGTGGCCGGAGAAAAATCTACGTAGAAGAATATGGGTATGTTTAGGCTCGATCTCTACTCATATTTTGCACATGTTGATTAATATAAAAATATGCAATGAGAAATTTTTCCTAATTTTCTTTGTGATCACTTTTGTAGATGACTGTCGCTCAAGCTAGAGAAGTTTGTCAACATTGGTGGATGAAGGAAGCATTGGATATATTGGTTCAACGACTCATGTCTTCACAACAAAATAAAGATATAGCATTGACCAGTTCTTTAAGTTTTTAAACAATAGCTTTAATCTTTAGGTAGGGAATGTCAATATTTTGTATCTTCATGAATTTGAGTTATAGAGAAGTGTTGATTAGAGAGGAACAGAATTAATTGTAGAGAAAAATGGAATTGCAATTTTTATACAACTTCATTCTTACGTACGTACTGTCAAAACTTACGAGTATACTTCCAAATTCCCTGTACTTGAGCAAGTTGAAAATGATTTCATTATTAAACAAGTTCATTTTGAGCCATTCTCTATCTCCGTGTCGTTTTTTGGTAAATAGACCCCAATTTTACAAACGCTATTGAGCAATGAAGAACAAAACCCTCATTACCTCTAGCTAGTTTCTATCTAAGAACAATTTCTCGAAAGTTTAAGACATAATAAGCAATGAAGCACAAAACCCTCACTCTAACCACCTTTATTTTGTTGTCTTATGAATGTAATGTAGTTATCCTGCTAGCTTTCTACCAAAGAACAGTTAATTCTCTCAAAAGTCAAAATTTTAAAATATAAGTTCAATTTAGATAAACTTCTAAATGTATAACTATTAATAGAAGAAAAAATAAATAATTTTTTATAAGTTTAAAAAATTATACATTTTAGATTTTTTAAAAAAATTTAGAATATAAGTTAATTTTAATTTATAAAAAATGATTGGATATCTATTTTATTTTTATCTTCTAAATGTTTATTAAAAAAATTATGCAATTAGGTCAAAAAATAAATGCTCTATATCAATCTTATATCTTTAATATGCTACTTGCACATAGGGTTTGAAGCAATAACAACTTATATATTTTGTCTGCATTAAATTTTGAACCAACGTTATTATTTATATAAGAATCTTTTCTTAAAAATAAAAGACAAACACAATTTTTATGTACTCTTAGGACCAATGTATTTTAATTAAAATTAACTCGTACTTATATTTTATTTTAATCTTTATAAATGTTAAGGTCTAATTTTCTTGTTATTGTTATTTTTTAAAAATTTGTGAGATAAATTATGTTTAAAGTTATATGATTCAAACTATATATTGAGTTAAAGATAATTGCCTAATTAAGGACATGCACTGGTGCTAGCGTGATGTTTGTTTTCATAAACTGGTATTCATATTCATATTTGAGCTTTTTCTTTTAAGACTTTTAAAACAATTTTCAAGAATTTCTCGTAGACATACATGACTACAGTAGTCGCCTATCTGGTTGAAGGATACTTTCACATTGTTAATAGGATGCAATTAATTATGACTCGTTAGAGTTAGCTACAAACACGCTTACCCTTTGAGGGCCCCACTTTTCTTTCCTTAATAATATTATTTTATAAATATAATTTAAATATATGATAAATACATTTTTTGAATGAATTATTAAAATATCAATAATATTTTTTAATATGGCAGTTTATTATTTGATAACAGTATGAAATATTTTTACACTGTTAATATATTAAATATTTTTTCACTTCGCATATATATGTTCTAAAATTAAATTCACAGGAAGATAGGACCTTTTAATTTGAATAGCAGTTATAAAGTAACAGTTGCGGTTTAATTGTAGGTAGTTGAAATTTATTATTATAAAATAAGTTATATTAAATACTCATTAGTGCTCAGTTATAAATAAAAGTTTGAAAAAAAATAACAAATTCTATTTGAACAGTGATATAACGATATTCTACAAAAGGCAATTAAGTTTTGGCAATGGGTCAAGTCCAGCACACGTGCATGATACTTTTGGCTCTTGAATTGTCGGGCATGATCAAGATCAACGTGAAAATGAATTTAATGATAAAAAAAAGGGAATTTATAATATTCTTTTAGAATTGGAGCACTCGGGTGAGAGGGATTGCATTTGATCTGGATGATGTACTGCACACACGCATACTCACATTCTGATATTTCTCACGATCACAGAACACCATCACTGGAGCTTCATGAGGCACCTTAAACATTAAATATTAAGTTGATGGCTATTCTTGAGTAACTTTTCCAGTGTAACAGAGAGGATACTCCATAGTTCTGCCATTAACAAAGAACTAACACCAACATCACCAACAATCCTCCAAACTATCGATCCATCCCTTAACAACCCACCCCACCCAGTGGGACCATCCTGATAAACAGCGCCATCAACGGTGGCTTTAGTTTAACCTCTTTGAGGAAAAGTCCATCCAATAGCCGCATATTTATCCGCAGCAGGCGGTGGGCACAGTGTGGCAGCAGTCAACCCCATAAAACGAATCTTCACTGTATATTACTTTAAAATAACGTATTTTAAGCATATTTAAGGTGAGATACATGACACTTTGACACATGTTATATTATGTTTGTTTCTTTGTCAAACTCTCTTTTTACGCTTTCAAAACACATAATTATAAACTTGAATTCTCTCTCTTTTTTAAAATTTATTTACATGAATAATTATTATTTATGGACATACAAATAGAAAAATATTAGAAAATTAAATTACTTATTAATATATTTAATTGTATTTACTATTATGCCGCGTATGATGTTGGTCTGCTTATTTAATCGCATACGATTTTGGAAACCTCTGCATCGATTGTGTACAGGTACCTGTGCAACGTAGATTGAAAGAATTGGGTCAGAAACAGGCAACGGTTGGAGAATCATATTCCATTATATTCCTAACATAAACGAACTACGAAGGTTCTTTTTTATTTATTTATTCCTTTTGTGTTGTGTGTGTGTCAACCAAAGCGAAGACTCTTTGAAACGCCTGAGATCCACTACTTGTCCAAGTGGTTTTGTGACCAAACTTGAAACTTATGTTATGAAATACATATTACTCCTGTACATTTGCTCTCTCTCTTTAATTAATTCATTATATTTTTTAATCATTTACAATCAATTTACTTTGTATATTGATATGCTAATCTTTAAAATTTAACTATAAATATATTAACAAAATCCTTTAGAGTTAAAACATTGGTTAAGGACATATATAAAAAATATATATTAAAAGTTACATTAAAGATACGTCGACTGATATAATAATTCATAATAAAGTAATAGCATAAACAATATTTATAATTTCAGTATATTTATATTAAATTGATTACACTTTAATATTAAATACTTTGTTTATTGAATAAAAAATATAAATAAAAATACTATTAAATATTATATTTATTATTTTAATATATTTATTAGGTATATAAATTTTTAGATCACTAAGATTTACTTGGAACATACAAAGGCACATAGTTTTATACTAATATAAATCTAAAAACTCTTACATTTAATTTGAGTCTTTTATTTAATTTATATCTAATGAGATATAATTTATTACTTCACTAATTATTAAATGTAAGTTAAATAAAATGTTTAAATTGATTTTAAGAGCTTTTAAATTTATACTAGTATAAAAATATGATATATATATATATATATATTATACTTTAAATTAAATATTACATTTATTGAATATATATAATTATAAAATAATATATAAGAAAATTAGTTTACAAACATGTTAAGAACTATATAAGATATAAATGTACATAAAAAATAATTTCTTAAATTTTAAGTTCAACTGTTATTTTAAACTGTACGTGCAAGAAAATTTGACTATATATATACTAATTGCTATGTTTGTTAATTGTGGTGTATATTTTACTATAATAATATTATTAAATGTTATGTATGTATGATAGTTATAGATACTATATGTATTAATAAAATATATTATTTGAATTATAAATTTAATAAGTGTTTAATGATATAAGTTGATGAAAAACTAATACTGACCGTAAAAAAGAAAAAAAACATAAAAGATAATGCTAAGTCAATATTTATACAAGCAGATGGGTTATTTATTCAAATTAATTATTTATAACACACAAAATTTCAATAATGAATGAAAAATATAATCTTCAATAATATTAAAAAATAATTAAAAATATTATTTATATATTTCATATATAATTAGTTATATATTAGATTTTCAAAAGTAACATCAATAAAAAAATTATTATTAAGTATAACGAGAATTATATAAACTATATTCTAAAATAGAATTTACAATAAAACACTTAATACATTATTTTAATATATATGTATATATATAGTATCGTAACTGTACAAATAAAAGTCGATAATTCATATTATTAATTTTTTTATAAAAAATATACGTGCTATATTAAAAAAATTTATCTACAATTAATTAAGTATAATAATTATTAATATATAAAAATAAATATTTTTATATTTTAATTTTTTTATTTGTCGTGCAAAATACGGTATTTTATCTAATTTAATATATTTTTGAAATAAAAGACCGAATCATGTAAGCCATATGTCATAAAGGGGTGCGTTACATAACACAATAAGCATATTATAATTTTTTTAATAAATTAAATAATTTTATTTTTATGATAAAAATGTAATTTTTTTTAGAACCTGACTATTTTTTTTGTTCTGTTTTCTTTCTTATTAAGATATATGATTTTATTATCATTAATGCTTTTAAAATATCAAACTATTAATTATTTTTTAAATTTATACATTAAATTAAGTTGCTTTTTTTCATTAAATTAAATTTAAGCAAGTTTTTTATTTTGTTATGTTATGTAATTGATTTTTTTTCTCATTAAAAAGTAATTTTAATTAAAAATACGATTTTAAGCACAGAGCTTCAAATTGAAGACGCTTTTTAGGATAAATTAAAAATTAAAAATTATTACAATTTTAGTATTTTAAAAATTTAGCATTTCATGTATAATCAGTAGATACATCATATAATCTAATTTTGTAATTTTTTTTATCTATTTTAAAATCTTATCTGTAATATTCATTTTTAAAATTGAACAAGTTTCTTATTATATTTTATTATTATTTAACACATTTAAATGTTATAATCAATTATACATTTTGCCTCCTTTAATTTTCAACTTCGTACGTTTGTTTATTTAAATTAATTATTTCTATCTTTATAAAATTTAAATTAATAATTTTATTTCTGCTATCTTAATTTTAAAAATCTCATAAAATAATTGCTAATATATATATATATAATAAAATTATTAAAATAAAATCTATGCAAATATCATCATTCAGAAAAGATGTAGCTAATCCATAAAAGGAAAAAAAGATGTAGATAAAACTGAGGGAAACAAATAACATTGATTTGATTTGATTTCATAACTTTCGTTTCCTTTTATAATAATCACGAAACAACGCGCTAACAGCAAATGGGTAAAAATAAAATAAAAATTAATATCACCCAACCCTCCTTCCTCGTAATTAGAATTTATTATGATATTTTCATAATAAATTTGTTAGTAATAATTTACTTATTATTATTATTATTAAAATCTTATTACTTTTTCTCTTTTTTATGTTGTAACAAAAAGTACGTGAATATTTTAGCATTTCTCAAATACAAAATTGCAATCAACCAAACAAATGTATCATTGTAATTGAATTATCTTGAAAACTAAAACAAGTAAATAGATAATCATGAATATTTATTAGGTTTTAAAAGAAAAGGAAAAGAAAAGAAGTCATAGTAACTAAAAAGCTACGCGCAGAATATTTATCAAATTACGGTTACCATTGAAACTAATTAATGATTTCACGGTGTTTGTAACTGGCAGGAAACCTCCATGAAGTAACAGTGAAATTATGCCATCTTCAACTTTGCCATTTCTGTTACCAATGGATTGCTTCACATTCAACCTTCACAATAATGTGCATAATATATTTTGATTTTAAAAATTTTAAATTTATTTTTTATGTAATGTAAAAAATTTATATTATTAATAAAACTTAATTAGCAATATCATCAATCAATTAAAATATATCATAAATATTATTTTTATTTTAAATATTATAAAAACTTAATGACTCTTAATGATACAATTTTAAATCAAATTATTATTTGTATTAGTACGATATATAAAAAAAGTAGAAAGTGAATTTTAAAAAAAAACTGATATTTCCACGAAATTTCCAATACAATGTTACCATAATTTCTATATGAAAAAAAAAAAAAAAACCCTTATATATAGCCATACCTGTAGACGTTGTTGCTTCAACCTCGTACTCATATCCTTAATTCCCAATCTTTCTTTGCTAGAAGTCCCAGGCGGTTGGAACTTCAAACACCATAGTCAGCATTTGTTTACTCTTCTTGAGTCTTGACCCCACCATTCTATCATGCTTGACTTAACACATAGCGCTACATGCAAAAAGAGGTGGCGAGTGGCTTTCACTGCCATCGCTTTCATCAAGCCTCTTCTTAAGTCCAAAGACATTAATGCTAGGAGCCTCACGCGCTCCTTCTCATTTGTAGCCATTGATGTGAACCATGACCCCAAACTGCTCATTGGAATCGTGAGGGAGAAAAACATGGAATCATTGACCCGATTTGGAGGCGTGAAAGAAGTGGTTACACTTCTTCAAACCGATGTGAAGAGTGGCGTCAGAGACAACCAGGTGGAAATTGATCACAGAAAGCATGTCTTTGGTGTCAACATGTTCCAGAAACCTCCAGCCAAAGGTTTTTTGTCCTTTGTACTTGAAGCTTTTAAGGATACCACAATTATTATCCTTTTGGTTTGTGCTGTGCTTTCCCTTGGCTTTGGTATAAAGCAACATGGGTGGAAGGATGGATGGTATGATGGAGGTAGCATCATATTGGCTGTTATTTTGGTTATTGTTGTCTCTTCTGTGAGCAACTTCAAGCAATCTAGACAATTTGAAAAACTTTCTGCCAAGAGTGACAACATAGGAGTTGAAGTTATTAGAGGAGGTAGACACCAAACCATATCAATCTTTGATGTGGTGGTTGGTGACATTGTTTACTTGAAGATTGGTGATCAGGTTCCAGCTGATGGGTTGTTTTTGGAAGGGCATTCATTGACGGTGGATGAATCTAGCATGACAGGAGAAAGTGATCATGTGAATGTAAACGGAAACACAAACCCTTTTTTGATCTCTGGGACAAAGGTTACTGATGGATTTGCAAACATGCTTGTTACTTCTGTGGGTATGAACACTGCATGGGGTGACATGATGAGTTCCGTAACTAGAGAGCTTAATGAGGAGACACCTTTGCAAGCACGTCTCAACAAGTTGACTTCTGGTATTGGCAAAGTTGGGTTGTTGGTGGCTGTTATTGTTCTTGTGGTCTCTATGATACGTTATTTCACAGGAAGCACAAGAGATGACATGGGGAACCGGGAATTCTTTGGAGGCAAGACTAGTTTTGGTGATGCTATGAATGCAATTGTGGGAATTGTTGGCGCAGCAGTGACAATTGTGGTGGTGGCAATTCCTGAGGGGTTGCCTTTAGCTGTTACTTTGACTCTGGCTTATTCTATGAAGAAAATGATGAGGGATAATGCCATGGTGAGGAAAATCTCTGCTTGTGAGACAATGGGATCAGCAACAACAATTTGCACTGATAAAACTGGTACCCTTACACTGAATGAAATGAAGGTGACAGAGGTTTGGGTTGGGAAAGAAGCAATAGCAGAAGATGGCTATTTGAATCCTAGATTGGTGCAATTGTTGAAAGAAGGAATTGCTTTAAATACCACTGGAAGCGTTTACCAACCCCATCAAAATTCTGTGCCTGAAATTTCAGGCAGTCCAACTGAGAAAGCATTGCTTTCTTGGGCTGTGTTGGGTTTGGGGATGGATATTGATGAAGTGAAGCGAGATTGTGAAATAATTCATGTGGAGACTTTCAACTCTGAGAAAAAGAGAAGTGGGATTCTGATGAAGGGGAATAGAGGAGGAAGCACACTTCATACACACTGGAAGGGAGCTGCTGAGATGATATTGGCAATGTGTTCATACTATTATGATCATAGAGGGAGAATCATGACCATGGGTGATGAAGAAAGGGTTCAAATTGAGGACATTATCAATGGCATGGCAACCAAAAGTTTGAGATGCATTGCCTTTGCGGAAAAGTGCTGCACAGAGAACAATGGGCAGGTATGTGAAAAGCTTGAAGAGAGGAGACTAACATTGCTGGGGATACTTGGATTGAAAGACCCTTGTAGGCCAGGAGTTGAAGCAGCAGTTGAATCTTGCAAGAATGCTGGAGTGAATATCAAGATGATTACAGGAGATAATGTGCACACAGCAAGGGCTATAGCTTCTGAATGTGGGATTCTTGATCCTAATGAAGAATTGGATAAAGAATCAGTGGTTGAAGGCTTTCAATTCAGAAACTACTCACCTGAGGAAAGAATGGACAAGCTTGACAAAATCAGGGTCATGGCCAGATCATCTCCACTTGACAAGCTTTTGATGGTTCAATGTTTAAAGCAGAAGGGTCATGTGGTGGCAGTCACAGGTGATGGCACAAATGATGCACCTGCTTTGAAAGAAGCAGATATTGGACTTTCTATGGGAATACAAGGCACTGAAGTGGCAAAAGAGAGTTCAGATATTGTGATCCTTGATGACAATTTTTCTTCTGTGGTAACAGTACTAAGATGGGGAAGAGGTGTGTACACAAACATTCAGAAGTTCATTCAGTTTCAGCTCACAGTCAATGTTGCTGCACTTGTCATCAACTTTGTAGCTGCAGTTTCTTCTGGTAAAGTGCCTCTTACAGCAGTGCAGCTTTTGTGGGTAAACCTCATAATGGACACTCTTGGTGCTTTGGCCTTGGCCACTGAGGAACCCACTAATGATCTCATGAAGATGCCGCCTGTAGGTCGACATGAGCCACTTATAACCAAAGTTATGTGGAGAAACCTCATTTCACAGGCACTGTATCAAGTGGCTGTCTTGTTGGTTTTACAATTCAAGGGAAGATCAATCTTTGATGTCAATGAGAAAGTGAAGAACACACTTATTTTCAATGCTTTTGTCTTATGCCAAGTCTTCAATGAGTTCAATGCTAGGAAACTGGAGAAGAAAAACATCTTTGAGGGACTAGGTAAAAATAAGTTGTTTATAGTAATCGTGGGCCTAACTATAGCTCTTCAGATATTTATGGTTGAGTTTCTGAAGAAGTTTGCTAACACTGAGAGATTGACTTGGGAACAGTGGGGTGTTTGCATTGGCATTGGTGCTTTGTCTTGGCCAATTGGACTCCTCGTGAAGTATATCCCAGTTGTTCCCAACTACCAGTAGTATTTTTCAGTGATTTAAATATTTTATTGTTCCATTGCTTTTGCATTTTACATTTTTTTGTACATAGTGCTTTATTTCATGGAATTTCTTCTGCTTAATGATCAATGATTCAGTGTTTATGCTAAAACATAGGCTTTGCCATTTTCCATCATTGATTTTACTAAATCAAAGCTACTCCATTCTGTAGGCTTTCGTGAGATATAGAAGAGAACTTTAAAATAAGAAACGGACAAACAAAAGAAATTCATCTAAATAATTTTTAATTGGGAAATAAATCACGGATTTTAAATATTTCATGGCGTAAATTTGAGAATATTTTGAGTTGAGAACCAGAAAGACAAAGTGACAAGAAAATGATTGACTTTCGTCAACGATTCTAATTATTCATAATACGAAAGTTTAGTCAATTTTGTCGTTGAACTTGTTTGTAAAGCTTGTAGAGAATTAAGAATACGAAAATGTTTTTTTAATTGAAATTGTTGAAGTATGAAGTTGATTTGTAAATTAATTTAAGTTTCCACTTTAGAAATGAGTTTTAAATATAAGAATTGATTAATCAATTCAATTCAAAAATTACCAAATGTCTAAATTAGTTCTTAAGAAAACATTCCAACTTAGAACTGATTACTGTTTTCTGTTTTTAAAAATAAATTATAGTATAAATTTATATTAAAATTTATTTTTAAAAGCAAAAAACTATTTTCAAAATAGTAATTAAACATACCCTTAATCTTTGGATTTTGAGTTTAAGTTTTCAAGGACATAGCTATCAAAAAGTTTACTGTCTATAATAGATGAGTTTAATATCATTTAAGATTTTCAGATACATGCACAAGTAGTATTAAAAATAATTAAGAAATAGTTGTTTTTAGGGATGTTTTTTAAATCGTTACTTGATTCTCCTAATATATGCTCTTGTGCATATGTTTAAACAATTTATTGTTGATAAATATTATAAATGTATTACTAATATTTTTGTTGATATAATTTAGTATATTGTTTTTTATTTTTTCAGTTTTAAATTTGTATAAAATTTTAGTTATCAAACACGTAACTCGATTAATAAGAGTTGTTTTAGTTTAATATGCAATAAATATTTTCTTTATTTTTAAGTAAATATTTATTATTATTTATTTTTATACTGTTGATGATCATTTGGAAGATTAGAAAAATAACACTAACTATTAAATATATTTTAAGACAAGGAATGAAATGGAAAAAGAGTAATGCTATTTTAATATTCAATTTTGGTTTCTATACCGAAGGGTTGCACTACACATTCATTTTGCAATTACATAGTCATCTCAACGTTATTATTTATTACTCGTTTTTTTGTGTTATTTTTTAATATTTTTTGAACAGTAAAAAAATAATTAAATAAATTTGATAAGTTAAAAATAGCTAGTACACTTAAGAGTACGGGGTTAGGAAATCTGAGATTTATGTGTTGAAGTTAAACATGGTTTTTGGTCAACTTTGGGTTTTGGTTTCGAGTAAACTAGGGCTTACGGTTTTAACATTATATTCTTGTTGGGCTAAAACGTCAAGTTCAATGGGCTCTTTAGGGAGTTAGTATCGGCCCATTCCACGAACACACGTGACTATATATACTTTAGGGTTAGGACGTTAGCGCCAATCCTTAACCTAAGCCGGCACTCTCATATTCGCTTCTTGTTCTCGAAAACCCTAGCGGCCGGCAACAATGGTGAGTTCTTCTCCGAGTACACTGACACGCATCTCTTCCGGCTATTGGTGTTTTCTGATCGTAGCATTTGCAACTGCATTTGAATTTGAATTTGAGTTTGCATTTGAATTTGTAGGCAGACGTTGAAGTTGATGTTGCAGCGGCAGGACAGCCGAAGAAGAGAACGTTCAAGAAGTTCAGTTTTAGAGGCGTTGATTTGGACGCGCTTCTCGACATGTCCACTGATGATCTTGTCAAACTGTTCAGCGCTCGTGCTCGCAGAAGGTTCCAGAGGGGTCTCACCAGAAAACCCATGGCCCTCATCAAGAAGCTCCGCAAAGCGGTACTTTCCTCTCCTATCCCCAATTCTCACTACTTTTAAGCTTAGATTAAATATTTGTTTAATTTAATTGCCCTGTGTTGTGTCTGTGAATTGTTGTTAAACGTGAGTTGTGTGTTTGGGTAAGTGTTAACAAACTTTAATTGGAACTAACTTTCTGCTAGAATTTATTTTGCGTAGAAGTTGGTTTGTAGTTATGATTTATTTATATAGATTTGGAACTCATCACGATATTCCAAACGTGAGATTAATGACAGTTTGTATTTGGAAATTAATCAAAATCACGTTAAATTTAACTTTTCAATGTGTAAGTTATAGCTTTCAGCAATGAGTTGGATTTACGTTTGAGTAGATTTGATGAAAATCCAAATACACAATCAATTTTAGTTGAAAGAAGCGCAACATCAAAGTTTTCTTCAGATTATGTTAACGATGAAATTAATGTAGAAGTATGTCACTTCAACATGGATACAAACTTGCTCTAGTTCTTTGACTGTTTGATTGCATCTGCTTAGGTTTGATTTTGGTGATTGATTTTATTGTCTTGTCTAATTGATTGTAGAAAAGGGAAGCACCACCAGGTGAGAAACCAGAACCAGTCCGCACCCACCTTCGAAACATGATTATTGTACCTGAGATGATCGGTAGCATTATTGGAGTGTACAATGGCAAGACATTCAACCAGGTTGAAATTAAACCTGAGATGATTGGGCATTACCTTGCAGAGTTCTCTATTTCATACAAGCCTGTTAAGCATGGTAGACCTGGTATTGGTGCTACTCACTCTTCCAGGTTCATTCCTCTTAAGTGAAAACTGTTATTTATTGGGAGACTGCACTTGTAGTTTATAGCGGTTATGAAGGAAACCCCAAACTCCTATCAGATTTTGTTTGTCATTTACCCGTTTGATTTTTTCAGTTGCCTATCAATGTTTTGACTTGAGGTTTATCTTGATTTGATTCCATAGTATCAACATTTTATTGTTTAATTTTGTGAGTTTTGTTTTATTTTGATAACTAAACGTGTTTACTTAGAACATGGAAGCTTCTATGCATCAATATCGAAATGGTGCTTCTAACTTATTTGGGGCTTGGGCAGTAGCGATGGCCATTTGCCATGGCTTGCGAACGTGTAGAACCTTAAGGTAGGATTTGGCGCATCGGTAATACAGAAGTTTTGGTTTTATCCTTTTCAGTGAAATTGATAATATCGGTATATATCCTCGTCTACCGTTCTATTTTCCAAACCTAAATGTAGAAAGCTTTATGTTACAGATGAGATGACTAGCACACAACTTTGTAATGACTCGTTTGAGTTTCCGAATTGTGAATGCTTGAAGTCTTGAATGATTATTTCTATCTGGTAGGTATACACGGTTATTGTGGTAGAAAATACATCATTGCATTTTAAATATAGAATTAAATTGGTCATGAAAATTGCGATTTTTTTTATTTTGATTGTGTAAAAAGGTGAAACTAGGGATGTCCAATGTGAACATAATTGTTTTATTATCTTTTAAGTAACTTCTTTATTATTTTTAATGTAACTTATTAATGGGAATTGTTTACTTTATTTTTAATACATTTTCAATAAGAAAATTGGTTTCCAACAAGCTAAGTAATTTTGGTAAAGCCTTTTGCAAATTAGCATTAAATTTATAAAGTGATTAATTAAAACGCATAATAGTTGTAATAGATTAAGAACTTTTTTTCATTAATTCTTGTGTTTGTTTTCTATATTGTTTCTGAATGAATTTTCATCTTTGTTCGCCTGTGAAAAAAAGGATCATATGTACCCTTTGGTTTCATATTTATATTAATTCGACCGCAACAAGCTCATTTTCTTCGCTCTAAATTTGTATGACGTAATATACTTTCTTACTCTATAACATTATTTGTTCTTAAACAAAAATCTGTCATGTAATCAAATATACGAGATGGGTAGTAATGTTATTAAATTTTTGGGAGTTGCTTCTGAAATATGACGAGTTAGATACAAATTTAACGAAAAATTATACTGATATTCCTCAAATTTGCTTCAACTGCGTATTGATATACACTTGCTTCTATTTAAACCACACAGCATAACTGCTCAGGTCAAATAGTACCACACTAATAACGCGCATTTGTCCGTTCAATGAATTGATGACAACCTTCCATTTGACTTGACGCATGATATATGATTACTTCATATGCTCAAGATACACATTCTACATATTAACTGAACAACAATTTCTCCCTTAAAATGTTACAATTTCCCCAAAAAATTATTGTATAGCAGTCTCTCTAAGAACCTCTCTAGAATGGCGTACATATGGAAATAGCAATGTCTTCTCAAGCGACGCGAAATGGTTTTTTTAATATTTCTCTCCAAACAAATCTTAGCCCTATAATCACAAGAATGAACCTATATAATTATCTAAAATTTCAAGTTTATTTGTACTTTTAATTTATATATATTTTTTATTTCGTTGATTAAGTATGTTCTAACTTGATGAAAGTTTTTTAAATAATAACATTTTGAATTAAATTATTTTACACGCTTTGCTATTCGATCAAATCACCAATAAAATCTCTATATCACTTGTGAATCACCTTTATTTAATCATCTTATTTTTGTTTGATTTTTCACCTTAGACTCTTAATAATTACCATAAAATCATTGTCATCGATCAAATTTTAAATCTTATTTTTACATCCGTTACCTAGCTTATTTTTTCGTTTCTTTATGTACATTAAGTAGAAAAATATTATTTAAAATAGATGTACAAAGGTCGAAGAAAATGTTAATGTGAGATTTAATATGAAACATTAAATTGAATTAAAAATTTAAAATAACCTTAATTTAGAATGTAATCTAAAAAATCAAATTTAAATAAAAAACTAGTTTAGTAACTCTTATAATGTACATATATTTTATTTTACATTATATATATATATATATAAATTAATGATTAAAAATATTTTTATATTATTGTAAATAATAATATGTATTAAAATGAGAAATATTTAATAAAAATAAATAATATTAAAATATAGTTTATTTTAAAATAATAATTTTATCATATAATGTTAAAAAATGTAAATAATTAATATATATTATGACTTAAATTTAAGAGACAAAACTCTTAAAAATTAGTTTTAAAATTAAGAATAAAGATAATTTTTATAAATAAAATATAAATTCATATTTAATAACATGATAAAGTTAAGTAATAATTTTAATTTTTAAAATTTAAAATAAAATTAATAAAAAATAAATAAAATTAAAAGTAAAATGAATTCATATATTATTGATCAATTTTAATCTTAAAATGCAACTATTTTAATGCTTTAGGAGACACTGATTTATGATATAAATAATAAATTCATATAGAATAATATTTATTATTGAAAATATAATAAATATTATTTAAATAAAAACGTAACCTAAAAATGAAATTAACATTTTTATGCAGACATAATATCATTCACTGTTAGTGCTGTTTGTCAATAAATAAATGATATTTTATTTTTGTCATGGTGATAAAAAAATACAAAATTTCTTACATTGACCGTGAGCAACTAAAATGAAAAACAAGGAGAAAGAAAGAGAATATGAGGGAAAAAAATAGATTCAGGAGAAAGTAAGCGGCAGCAGAGAAACCCTTGGCCCCTGAACTGAAGTTCAACTAAACCCTCTCTTTCTCTTCACTTGGCGCAAAGCTTGAGGCATCGAGCCATGGGGCAAGGTGAAGCATCTTCCGTAACGCTCGGTGCCAAGGCTTCTTCTCTCTCTTCATCTTCCGTTTACGCCGTTGCCACTTCCCGCGCACACGTGCGAATCGACTCATCCGCGCTCGATAGACTCTCCTCTAAGACGACGTCGTTTAAGCACACCATCACGCTCCCCGATTTCCTAACCATAGATGAATCCAGAGCCTATCTCCTCCTCCTCCTCAACAAGCTCCTCCTCTCCAACTCCAATGCCCGTATTCCCCTTCTCATCTCTGAAACCCTCAATTCGAACCCTCACACTTTCAAATTCCAAGATGTTGACGTCACCGAAGACGAACACTTGGTGCTCAACAACTCTTGTTGCACCTTGCTTGGGCTTTCAGCGATTCTCGACCACCAATCCTCGGCATTGTCTGCGTTTGCTGACGTGGCGGCCGCGTTCTCTTGCGAGGCGTTGAAGGCTGACGTGGCGGCCTTCAATTTGATGGATTCCGGCGACGGACACACTTCCAAGGAGGAAGTTGGCGTCGCCGGCGATATGAGGGTGTTGCTTAATGGATCCAAGTTGGTTGGTAAGGATAAGGTTCGATTAGTTTCAAGGATTCCGAAAGTTCATGGAACTATGAGGGAGCAGGCCAAAGCCGTGCATTCTAAGATGAGGGTTGAGTTGAATTCGGGGATTAAATTGGGGGAAATTGAGGCAGGGAGTGAACATGCTGTGTGTACTGTTCTGTTGCCGTTGGCGGTAGCGCTTCGTGAACTGGGTGAGGATAGTTTTGCTCGTGCGAAGAGTAATTTGGAGTGTGTTGGTGGTAATAATTTGAAATTGGGTCTTGGAGAAATGTTCGGAAGGGAATGCCCCAGTGATGTTAGTTTAAGCAGTGGTTTTAATGTGGCTTTGAACTTGTTTTTGGGAAAGGAGTATGATAAGTTTGCACATGAAGTCTGTGTGGTGATGGCACTTGTGTGGAAAATTGTGGCATGGGAATCTGTGACAGCGTTTGCGGTGCTCGAGGCTGCTGAGTTAAATGAGAAGATCCAAGGGGTTCAGGAAAATGGAGAGAGTTTAAAAGTGGAGAAGAAGAAGAAGAAGGTTGTTTTGGGGAAAGGAACTAGTTCGATTTTGGCGTTGATCAAGGAAAGGTTACTGAGTGAAAGACAGGTGGTGGCCTTAGAGAAATGGGTGGCGGATTTTCTATCATTTTTGGATTTGGCTAAACCTGAATTTAATGACTTTTTGTTGAAAGTAAAAGATATTGTAGAAAGCAATGAAAGCAGAAGACTACCCAAGATTCCTAAGGTAATATTACTTAAGCTTTTGTTAGTGATATGGTTAACTTTGTGTTGTTTTGGCATCTTGAAGTCTGCTTCACCTTTTTCTCTCCTTTGTTGACAATGAGAAATTATATTTAAGTGTTTTATTGGATGGTATATCTATGCTATGCTTTTGGCCACTGTTAAGAGAATTAAAGCGTCGCTGATTGCAAGAGCTGGTTGTTCGATCATTTGTAGCACGTTACATCCTTAGTGCTGACCTGAGAAATATTCAAGTTTGATAGAATATAAGCTAAGATAATTTAGTAACTGACTTGTTGACAGTTCGGTTATTGAATTATTGAAATGTGATTGAAAGTATGCACTCATTGGCAATTTTCAAAGGGATGGTTGATGCATTGCTTTGAATCATACATAATCCAATTCTTACAGCTTGAACTGCCGAACTAATATTTATTTGTTTACTTTAATGATGTTGTCTATAGATAATGGAATTATTTTTATGTTGGTTTCTGTTCCTGGATGGATAGTGTTTGTTTGTAGTCTTACCTTGAGTTTCACATTATAACATATTAGGGGACTCGTGATTTTGCTAAAGAACAAATGACAATTAGAAAGAGAGCTTTTTCAATAATAGAAGAAGTTTTTGAGAGGCATGGTGCCACAGCCTTGGATACCCCTGTTTTTGAATTGCGAGAAACTCTCATGGGAAAATATGGAGAAGATTCAAAGTTGATTTATGATCTTGCTGACCAGGTATATATGTTTATTACTTGTTCATTTTTTTACTAGTCAAGTTGATGCTATGACAAAACTTTTTCTTTTATCCGGGTAAGGATATTTTGTGAGAACAAACTTACAGTGTTCAAAATTCCGAGAAATGTAGATTTATTCTGTTTAGAATTTATCTTTTTTCTAGTTTTTTATCAGTTTGCCGGAGTCCAGACTTCTCTTTTTTTAAATGACTGCTATTGGGTTTCTATCCAGATTGGTGCCCCCCGCTGTGGTTTTAAATCTGTAGCTAGTTTGATAGATCCCCACATGAAAATATGTAAGGGGATATGGATGTAGGCCCATTATTTGGAAGGTCTGTTCTAGGAGAAAAAATGTCAATGTGGCAGGTAGTTAGAGGAGGTAGAAGAATTCTGTTATGCAGCAGGTTGGGGACTATAAGAATAGAAAAAGGGGAGAGAGAGGTAGGCGAGTATTTGATCACTTAGTAGTGAGGGGGGAACCTCTGGTATAGGATTTGTAACTTTGGAGGAGTTGTGCTTTCACTTGGGTACAATTTCCGTTATTCAAATAACACACTATCATTTGCATTAATCCATTTCTGTTTTCTCTCAAATCTGTTATGATGCTCTTTCAAGTTGAATTACAATTTCATGCTAACTTGTAATCAACTTGTTTGACAGGGTGGGGAGCTCTGTTCTTTGAGGTATGACCTGACAGTTCCGTTTGCTAGGTTTGTGGCTATGAATGGTCTGACATCTTTCAAAAGGTACCAAATAGCAAAGGTTTATAGAAGGGACAACCCTTCCAAGGGAAGATACCGCGAATTTTATCAATGTGACTTTGATATTGCTGGTCCAGCTGAAAAAATGGCTCCAGATTTTGAGGTTGTTAGGATTTTGACTGAACTACTTGATGAGCTGAACATTGGGGAATATGAGGTAATTTTTAATGTTCATTCTTTGAAAATATTGGTTTTCTGAAATTGTAGAACTGTCCATCGAGTTTATAAATTGAAATTGGCATGAACCATCATATTTCGTGGTCTGTTAATACTTATTTTGGTGATTAGTTATCCTTGTAACACATTATTCATGTTACTCCAAATCATACTGTTAGAAATCAAAATGTGTTTTAGTGTATGGGCTTATCAATTTGGGCTAGGATTAGTATTTGTGCCTGACCTATAGGATTCTTTACAATATGAAGTGTGAATTTTAGCATCATTATTGTCAACATCTGGTCTTTGCTACCTGCTGGCTGGTGCTTGTTTGCAAAACTCTTACTAAAACAGAATGTTTTGCAACTCACCCAACTCATGCTATAGTTTAACCTTATCAACTTTTTTTATGTTAATTATCAGATTACTTGCTAACTGAAGTGATTTTTGTCCTGCACTTGTTAAATCTCATCAGCTTACACATCCCAACTTATGTGCTACAATTTTTTAACCTTTCTAATATTATGTATTTTGATGTGGCTGGCAACTGACTGTGCTTTACCTACTTAATGGCTAAAAATCCTATTCAATATTATGTTCAAATAACAATGCATGTCTTTTTATGTTTGACCTTTTCTTGACTTCTTGTTTCTCAGATAAAGTTGAATCATAGGAAGTTGCTGGATGGCATGATGCAAATATGTGGTGTACCTTCTGAAAAGTTTAGGACTATATGTTCAAGCATTGACAAGTTAGACAAGCAGTCTTTTCAACAGATAAGAAAAGAAATGGTGAGCACATATGCTGCTTGTGTCTATTTCCATTATAATTTTATTTATTGGATGTTTATGAATTGTTTTTAATCTTATACTGTTCTTTCTATTGCACATTTTGAATGATGTAGGCTTAGTGGTTTTGGTATAGGGATTGATTTCAATTTGTTAACTTCATGTTTTTGGGTAAATCTTGTTGTTTGACTTATAGAGGAGGCAAACACCCTGTCATGGTTAGGTTACCTCATGAGACTTTTTTAAGTTGTGGTTTGTTCATCTCTGAGCAATGTCTGGATCTTAAGAAAAATGTTTTTCCCCCATCAATTTTCATTTCAGTAACAATTTTCTATTTTGCTTGAAAGCTAACTTACATCTCATCAAATTGTCAGGTCCTGGGATGGACTTGAATATTTGTTTGAGTTACATGATTATCCAGTCTCCATATATTCATTATTTTAAGAGCCAAACTTGTTTAATAGATTTGTGTTTAATGTGTTTCTAGTAGTTTGTTTGTATTTGATATTTGCTTTTGTGCTACTATGCTAATTCCTAGATGTCACACGTGTATGTTTGGACAGATACGTATAATTACATGTGTGCATATTGTGTTTGTAATTTACTTATTTTCTTAAAACCGAAAAGAGACTGTGTTTCTTGATTTGAATATCTGTAGAACTATACAAGTATTATACATTGCATTGGCTTAGGTCTTTGAGACTTATCATTATTGTCATCTTACTTTTAGGTATATGTCTAAAATTTTTGAGATATCAATATTCGTTAACTTTCAGTATCTGGAAGTTATTTTTTTTGGAACTTCATGATTGTGTTATGTTTGGTCATTTACTTTATACTGTGATGCTGTAGGTGGAAGAGAAAGGATTAACTGCTGAAACAGCTGACAGAATTGAAACATTTGTTAAAGAAAAAGGATCTCCTTTAGCATTATTATCTAAATTTAAACAAGAGGGAAGTGCTTTCTTAGAAAATGCTGGATCTGTTGATGCATTGAACGACCTGGAAATTTTATTTAAAGCTCTGGAAAAATCAAAACGCATTGATAAAGTGGTTTTTGACTTGAGTCTTGCCAGAGGTCTTGATTATTACACTGGAGTTATATTCGAAGCTGTTTTTAAAGGAGGCACACAGGTATTTTCATATCTTTTATGTTCTCTCCACTCTAGAATGTTTCTTCTTTCATCCCATCATCATTCAGGGGCACAATGCATTATGGCAGCCAAGGTATAGTGGATGTCCATTTTCTATTTCCTATAAAAACCTGGTTTTTTAGAACACAAGGTTAAAGTTAAGTCACCAACTGCATTTAAAATAAATAACACAAATGGCAAAAGCAATTTAAGGAAATTCCTTATCAAGCCAAATGTCACAGCTTCATCCATCTCTAATATTTAATAATTCCTTTCCTCTTTCTGTTTTGTTTGGCATATTTATTTTTATTTCTAGTGGTCTGAAACATGTGTGATCGATATATAGTGGTGAAACCTTTATTTCTCTGTCTGTTTACTAAATGAGAAACGTAATGCAAGGAATTACTTTTTGGGTGGTAGTAGTAATGGCATTGTAGTTCAGCTCACGTTTTTACGGATTTCGTTTACAGCTTTTGTTGAAAATTTTGGCTTTTATTTAGGGATGGAAATATGGTTTTTATGCAGGTTGGTTCAATTGCTGCTGGCGGCCGATATGATAACCTTATAGGAATGTTTGGATCAAAGCAAGTTCCGGCAGTTGGTGTAAGTCTGGGAATTGAGAGAGTATTTGCCATAATGGAGCAACAGCAGAAGGATCAAAACCAGGTGATCATAGCTTGATAAGTAACTTATTTAGTTGCTTCTGTTAAAGCAAATAAATATTCATTGTTTATTCTGGGTAGCAAACTGCTTTCCAACATCAAAGTTACTACAAAATTCAGTGAATTTTATTTAGGGTTATCATGGTTTTCAACTGTTGAGCAATCATGAAAAGTCCTTTTATAAAACTAATTATTTGAATATGAGCCAATGTTCCTAAATAAGTTGGATGGGTACATAGATGGGGAAATTATTGTAATTGTCTTTGCAGCTGCACGTGGTTCTGTTTGTTTAATTCAACTTCTACATTTTTTGACAATGACTAAAAACAACCAAATATATGAACCCAGGTAATTTGCATCTTGTCACTAGGGACATTTGTGATTCAAATGAATTGGAATCCTGGAGTTAAGCAATGTCGCTGTTAACTTTCCTGGTTTTCTGGATAATTGTTAAAGATTGTTGATGTAATTTGAATGCAGAACTTGAAGGCATTTGAATAAAGCAGTGAAGTAAAGATATTAGGCAAAGAGTAGAGTACAGGGTCAATAAGATAAAGAACAAGGCAATATGAATGGAGTCAGAGTCCGTAATAAGTTTATTTCAAAACCCAGTCTGATATAGTGTACCCTACATTCTAACTGTTGTATTACGCACATGTATGATACCCCAGTGAAGTATATATTTCAGAGTAGTGGGTCAAATTTAAAATACATAAATAAAGTCATCAGCACATGCATTTATGTACGTGTTCACCAGGATTTTGCTGTTTTATTGTGGCACGTATATATGTCTTCATGCATCTACTGAGAACTAATATTTTCTATTTACAGTGCAGTTCTGGATCTTAATACTTATTGACAGACTTCTACGTATTGCTAATTTTTCCGTTGTAGTGTGAAAACATGTTAATTCGCGTGTTCTGTGTCCCGTTGCACCACTTTACTGCATTTAACAATGATAAAACTAATATCCCTGTTATCTCCTTTTGTTTTTAATTTTTATTCAAAGTTTATAATTTATATGTTCTTATCAAGTTGTGAATGTCAGGGTTATTTCATGGCATAGAAAGATTGGACGATTGGTGGCATTGTCTTGCCACATTTGTTTTCCCTTTTATCCTTGCCTTTGCAGTATGTTTTATTTTTTTGTGTGTGGTTTTTCATAGATGACTCGACCAAACAAGACACAAGTCCTGGTGAGCATATTCGGGAATGACCTATCATTAGCTGCAGAGCTGGCTGGAGAATTGTGGGATGCTGGGGTGAAAGCAGAATTCTTGGTCAATAAAAGAAGACCTAAGCACTTCGACTATGCAAAAGAATCAAGGATCCCATGGATGGTAATTGTTGGTGAGCAGGAAATAGAAGAAGGCACGGTGCAATTGAAAGACCTCGAGGCCAGTAATGATATCAAAATTCCTAGAGGAGAATTTGTGGAGGAACTTCGGAGACGGTTATCCCCTTGAGGCCCAGTATACTTTCAACTTCATTGTCCAATTTATATTTCAACTTCAGATTCCAGGGAGTATAGGTTTTACTGACATTTCATGTTTGGCTAGCGACTTAGGCTGAAAATTAATTGCCCCTTTTATCCAATAGTTATAGCCTATAGCAGCATTACTTTTCAGCTATTCTTGTTTTATGAGCTTATTTTTTTTATTTTGTCTTCAAAACCTGTAGGGTTTCTTTTTTTCTGTTTCTTGTTAAATTGTAACGGTTTTGGTTATATAAAATGAAGAAAAGGATGATTTTTTATGTTATGGATGGCGGTATGATACACGTCAGAGGTGTTGGGTGTTGGGTGTTGGGTGTTGGGTGTTGGGTATGATACACTTGATCCATTAATCAATCCAACCATTAACTCGTAAATTATTTTTTATAATCTATATCAAATTTTATGTAATAGAAATGTTCTGTTGGAATATTATTTAAAATTTGATATGTATTTATATTTAAAAAATATATTATTTGTTAAAATAAGTATTCACTAATTTTATTTTTGTAATAAAATTTTATAAAGTTGGTTTATTTGACAAGAATTTTTAAACTAATTATTAGATTATTTAATTTTATATTTTATAAAAAATATTAAATAATGTAAATATGACATCTGACTGTAAAAATACTTCGAGCATAAATTATCACAACAAATTTTAATATGACAAAAAAGAAAAGTTGGAGGGAAAAATGTATAAAGACACGACAAGTTGGTCCTCAATGTAGATGGATTTAATATATTTATCAATACTGTAATCCTCTGCAAGTATTCGTTTAAACTTTTCAAATTAGTTTCGTTCAACATTTTCAATATTCCATTTTCTCTCACCTTGTGAAACAATTACAAGAATTCTTATTCCGTACGTTGCAAATTGAAAAATGTGAAAATTTATTTATTATTATTTTAAATTAAAGTATTTCGTAAACATAACTAACTTTAAAATAGTAATAAATAAAATATCACTTTTTCACTTTAAAATTCTTTTAACTCCAAATGAGTCAATTTCATAAACTAATACAGGCATTTTTAACTTAAAGCACCACAGATAAAATCCTCTGGGCATACATCCATTGATAATTAGGTAAACTCGTCTTAATCACAGGTCATAAGTAAATTTATTGGTCAAATTTGGTTACTCTTTCTATGTAAATGTGCTTTATATTAGTCAGTATATGCTTAAGCAAGTGCTTTAATATAAAATGACTTAAATTTCGCTTGAGGTTTTTTGTAATTTTTAAAATAAAAAATAAGAGAGCGCTTTTTTAAAAATAGGATACAAAATTGAAGAGTTTTTTTTTTTTAATTACATAAGCTTCAAGTGTTTTTATTAAAAAAAAAAAAGTTTTGAAGAGTAATAAATAAAAAAGAAAAATTAAGTAACCAGCGGACGTTAAAATATGGCCAAATAATAGTCTTAATATTACTATTATAATTAATTTTTTTAAATTCAAATTTTCAATCATAAAAAATATATCACACTATCATTATATGTAGAGAATATGACTATATCTAAACCAAATTTTGTATATATTTCAACGCACTTCATTAATGCGATGTAGAGGTGAGGATAGTAGTTTAATTAATTTAACTAGCTGGAATTTGGGGGTCAAATAAACGTTATACACGCATTTGGTAGGCACTACTATCCTTGACCATTACATATCCTGCTACGTGTAAATGTAACGGACCTTCTACTTTTGCCAACAGCTGTTGGACTATAGTCACAGTCATCATCAGGATCACGCTCTCTCTCTTTCCCTAACTTTGTTACTCTCTATCTCTACAATTCCAAACCCTAACTCTTTCAATTCACCGTCAAATATGGGTTCCGAAGGATCCAGTGTTGTTGGTCAGTATTCTAACCCTTCACGCTGTTGTTTATTTCCAATTATCTTTCTTTTTTTTTTTTTTTTGGTTCCTTCTCTCTATTACTATGTGCTTTTGTGGTTCTCTAATTGTGGGTTTTGGTTGTTCTGGGTATATAATCTAGAAATTCTACATGCTGTTCTTTTGTTTGATTTGTTCGAAACGGGTTCATTTGAACCTGGAGCTGTTGCATTCGGGTAATGTTGATGCGATTACTTTGCTTTTGGAGCTTTGATTGTATGAAGTATGGGCCATATCACTAGGCTAAACCAGAAACTAGTGGTATAAACAAAGGGGAAAGAAAAAAAATGCTTTGAATTTGAAGAGTAGGCAATGTAAGCTTTGAGGTCTTTTCTTTTTGGGTGTACGGTACTTAATCAATACTTCCTTTTCCGTTTGTTGCTTGCCGTGGTTATAAATGCTTGGTACTTTTTGTTGCTCTGTTAAACTGGTGTGTAAACTACAGGCACCGTGCTTTAGCATATTCCTTGTATATTTGACTGCATTTTGATGGATTGTTGTCCAGTCCTTCAACTATGTGACTTACTTTGTCTTGATTCCTTGACATTATATTAGAATGGGCTCACATATGTGTGCAAGGTTAGAAAATAATTTAAATACAAAGATTGAAAGTGTGGGAATAAAAACAGGAAAAGTGGGGGGAGTGGTGATGTAATTGTCTCCACTTATTTTGAAGTAAATTATGATTACATTTAGGAACTCATTATACCTGCTTATTTTGGGAGAGTGGTGCAGAGGCTTGAGGAGATTATGAAAAACTTTCGATTGTCTGGAGCAGGAGATGCTGGGAGGGATCATTAGTCTGCTAGGATATGTTGTAACTTGTGGATTTGTGAAGGAGGGTGGATCGGGCTGGCCCTGGGATCCTGGTATCTAAAAATATGTCCTTAGGCTGTGTGTTTGGGAGTTGGATTCTTGAAGGAAAAGGAGAGGGGGGCAAATATTTTGTTTTTAAATTAAGAGAGTTATATGATTATAAAAGTAAATAAAAGATCAACATCAAGTTTACATTAATCTATCATTTTATTCCTTTTACTTTAAAAAATTGTGAAATTGGAGAATGTTTATTGAAAATGAAAATTTACCCTACCCTGCAAAACCCAGCGTCCAAACATACCCTTGGTAGTTAATTGGTTGAGGTTTTTCTCTTTGGATCCTCATTGGTGATGAGGAACATGTGACATGTCAAGCTTCGGGTCTTTGATACTTGTGGGAGTTACTAGAATTTTTTTTGTTTCTACACCTCTCATTTTATCCTTTTTCTGGAGAATGGGTTCTGGTTTTGATTTTAAGATTGTGATTAGGGAAGTCCTCTTTCTTTGAAATCTTTCCTTTTCTTTTATCACTTTTACTGTGTACTAATTCATGAGTACTAAATTATGGAACTTCTGTAATCTCAAATTCAACCCTGATCTTGAAAGTGGTGAACCAACTTCTTGAAGGAAGCTGAATGAAAGACAGGAAAAAATGAAAGACAAATTGGCGAGTTGCAGAGATGAAAGAAGCAGGGAAAGAACTTACTGGCGCTGGTGGTGTGATGGGGAAAAGGATGAAACCTAATGAGTAACAATCCTATTAACAAAACGTGGTTTTATGTAACATCTTGGCAAAAATATGTGTGTCTTCTAAAGATCAATTAGTGGAATTTTTAAGGCTTGCGTGTTGGTCTTTTCTTTTATTCTATTTGAAGTAACAATAGAATTGAGCAGGCAAAAATCAGGCAATAGAACTGATATTTTTGACCTGTTATTAATAATCTGAAGTTGCGCCAGTTGCTTTTGGGCTGAAATCAGGCAAAGATAAACAACTGATTTTAATTGTACTCGTTCTCAAGATTCTAGTTTTCATCATTGACTGTGGATAAACGAACTTAGATATTATGATTCTATAATCAATAAACTCGAAGGTTAATCAAATACGTAACTGTATGCTTGTGATTTTATTTGCATATTCCCCCTTTTTTCAAACTTATTTGTAGATGTATCTTATTGTTGACTGTGTTCTTCTGTTATTGCAACTGTTCTTTGTTGTTCTTTTTTCTAGAGAGTATATTTGAAATTTGCATGTATGTTGTTAACATTTTTGGTCTATCTATGCAGTTCCTAGAAATTTTAGATTATTGGAAGAGCTGGAGAGAGGTGAGAAGGGAATTGGAGATGGAACTGTTAGCTATGGAATGGATGATGCTGATGATATATACATGCAGTCATGGACTGGGACTATTATTGGCCCCCCTGGTGTAAGCTGTTTTGTTCTTTGCGAAAATTCTGTTACATTTGATGCAATGAAAATCTCATTGCAAATTTGAAGATTTTATTATTTTTGTAAAAATTTATGATCTTGCTTCTCTCTATTTTTGCTTTTCTATTTTGATCAAATTAACACATCATCCTTGACTTATGCTAGCAAACTTTGGTGTTTGCGTCTCTCACTTTTAAACTGACTATATGTCAATCAGAATGAAGGGTGTGTGGGTATTCAGGGTTTGATTATTGAGAACGTCGCTTTGGCATTTAAATGGTTATGGGCCATGGCATTTTCCTTTGGAGTGAGTGGTACCATGTAATTCAGATTTAACATGGTTTAAAATATTTAAGTTAATATTTCATAGTAATTAAATCCACTTCCTCTTAACAAGCTCTGCTGTTTTCTGAGTTGCTATTATTGCCACTACTAGTATTATTTCTAATAAATTAATTCCATACAAAGGATATACGTATCACTTTTCAGTTGCTAAGTGGAGTTAGTGTCTACCAAATGATATACTGGTATGGGGAATTTTATTGTCCATGTTTTTCTTTTACCAGACTGTTCATGAAGGGCGTATCTATCAGCTGAAATTATTTTGTGGCAAGGATTATCCAGACAATCCACCATCTGTTAGATTTCAGACTAGGATTAACATGACTTGCGTCAACCAAGAAACTGGAGCGGTATGTCTCATTTCCACAAAGGATTTCTTGTACTGTTGTGATTGAACTTGAACTTATAAATATCTGAATTACCAGGTTGAGCCACATTTGTTTCCTATGCTTGCTAATTGGCAAAGAGAGTGCACAATGGAAGACATTTTGATGCAATTGAAGAAAGAAATGATGTCTCCACAAAATCGGAAGCTTGCTCAGCCTCCTGAAGGTGCGTCAGCCTTATTTCTGATTGTTATATGCCTTTTTATAATTTTATCAATATTATAGCTGTTGCTATATGCATGAGAAGTGTTATTGTGTAAATTTGTTTTACTCATAATATGGACTCTGAAAAGTTAGCTGGAAGTTATTGAATTTGTTTGTATGATAGTTGTCAGAGATTATTTTGATTGTTAATCTAGTTGTGGAAATGAGATATTTGAAAACATGAAAAAGACGTGACAAATTACTTATGAGCTATTCACTATTTAACTTAAAATCTTCTGATTTGTTGTTCTAAACTTGTTAAAAGTTTTGTTTGTATACACCTTCGTTACTTGAGAGTGCATTACATATTTGTGGGTATTCCCAGGATTTGATATTTATAGACTTGAATATTTGATTAGTATATTTTAATTATACTTTGGCAAAAAAAATTACAAATCCAGTGCCTAAATTATGACTAATATGTAACAGTAAATTTATTTAATTTAGTGATTTACAAAAGAACTATGCATCTTTTTTTGTTATATTACATAACAGAAAAGTGTTAAAAGAACACGGGCACACACACAGTATTGTGTGGTTATGTATTGTCAAATCTTGAAAGAAATTTACCACAAAAATGGTTGAGGGTGGTGTTAAGAAAGTCGCATTCTCAAAATGAGAACTAAAGTTCAAACCATAGAGAAGGCAAACTGTTGGGAGGGCTCGAATGTGGATCCACTTGATAATCTAATTATGTGTCAACAATGTAATGTAATATTAGTGTAAAAACCTTACATTGCCTGGATCGATTGTTAGAAGGTTTGGATTTCTATTATGAAATCTTATATTGTATGAGGAAGCTGAATCATGTATATATGACTTTTTTTTTAGGCAATGACGATGGCAGGATTGACCAAAAGGGTCTGGTGCTGAGATGCTCCATCGTTTAATTGAGGTGAGAATCCAACAATAATAATGTAAATAATTATATTGAATAGACAATCCCAGTTTATGGGTTAACGCATTTATAAATGTAATTATGACCCATTTGCGTATGTAACCTGGAGCAATTAAAGAGCGACTATCTATCCTTGAAATTTTATTGCGAATGGTAAGAAACTGATTTTACTGCGGACTTTAATTTGGTAGTGGGTATGTATTCATCTGTGTAGATTTGGGCTTTAAGCACACTGCCATCATAAAATTGTGGGATAACGTTGCATTTATATTATCATTAGCTTGATTGAAGGACAGGATGAGAAAATCACTAGGGCGGATATACTCTTATTTTATCATATCATACATTTAACAGATACTAGGATAACAATTTAAATAACATTATATTATCTTATCCTGGAATTCAAGTCGTTCTTACATGATAAAATTTACATGATAACATTATATATCTGACTAAACAAATATTGAAAATGAATATGAAAAAAATTTGTGTTGTATTTTGTCATTTTTCTTGTGCATCAAATAGGTTATTGTTTATTCAATTTTGTTTCCGAATTTTCAGTGAAAAATAAAAGGTTGCTCAATTTTTTGTTCATCATTTTTTATATAAATTTGAATTTTTATTGTTAAAATTAGGTCATCACAATTTTATTATTATATTTTGTGCCATTTATCTATCAAATTAATTGTTTATCTAATCTAATTCAGTTTTTAATTTTGTTATTTGAGTCAATATTTAATTTTCTTATCAGTATAAAGTATAACAATATTCTAGTAGTTCAATTAATTTTTCAAATTAAATTAATTAATAATTTGTTTTGATTTAAATTTTTTTAGTTTTAATTTTGATATATTTTTAGTACAAATGTGTATACTATCGATTAATTTATAAAATTCTTAAATAGTTAATTTATAAACTTTCTTTTAAATATTTTATACAATATACACACATACCATCTCATTGTAAAATATTTTAAAATAAAATGTCTTTTAATTCTTTCCTTAAATATCGAAAGCTTGGTAATCAACATTAATTATAAATCAAATAATGGAATCATGATTGTCGAAGGCCGTCGAGGCAATACCGACATCCGAGGAGCCATGGTTGAAGTCAGCCGGATGACATATTGTCAATTTTATTAACCAAGCATGAGTGGATGGGACGAGTGACATAAATATGGAGCTGTTTACCGCACTACTAATTTACACGAGAAAAATGCCCATTCATTCATTTTGTAAAGGTGCACCTTCCATTTGAGATAAAATTCGAGTGGAAGAATTTGAGTTATTAGCCAGGTTCAAGAGATAACTAACATTTAATTTGAGTTACGATATTAATTTAGAGTTAAAATTAATCAGAAGTAGCACCCAACTACCGTCGTTAGCGGCCAAAAGTAATTGAAGATACTTATCAATAACCTATTTCTCGTACCCATGCAAGTAAAACTTTGATGTGGGAATTTGCATTAAATAATGATCACAAAGATACAAATGGCACTTTCACGTGGATGTGGATACGCTATATCCAAAGTTATGTAGCTAGCAATAAGCAGTATGGGGGGTTCAATAATTTATCTATGTTTCCAATTCTTGTAGTTTGTGTGTATATAGCCTAATCATACAAAATGTGGTTGGCCACCTATATAATCTGGACAGATATTCAATCAACGCCAAATTCGGCAATGGGGTTGGTCGCATTTATGTAAAGGTAAAGCCATCGGTGCGATGGTATAACTCATGCAAAACCTTATCCTATGGAGCAAAATGAAATTGGCTTTTTGGTCGGAAGTTGAGGCAGAAAACCTAATGTAGAGTTGTAGTGATGTATTCTTGTGGTGGCACATCAAAAGGCAAAGACAAAAATCCTCATAACTTCTCACATAAACAGAATAATGTAAACAAAAAATTATATCAAAGACAGTGAAAGAATGCCTTCATTATTGAATGTGATGTGACCTTCCTTCCCTCTTGCAATGGTCTTTCGCTTTTCTTTTCTTTTGATGGAACACTCACTGCCCAGTGTTTACTCTTCTCCAATGTGGTACTGCACCTACCAACCATGTGTTGTGAGAGAGAAAGAAACTTCAACAACACGTCGAATGTTAAGGAGTGATATTAATAGTCAATCATAGAAACAAATTATAATTTTTTTCACCTTTTTTTTCACAATTTGAAGGGGTGTAATGCATTTAAAGTGTCATTTTTCATACAACGACTTGACTCTGTGTAAAGCTTGTGCTCAGACGTGTTTAAAGGAATTCTGTTTTTATTTAGTCAATTATAGGAGTTTCTTTGATACGTAGGCATCAATCAACTTCTATATAATATTAATTAAATATAAAACAAAAAAAAATTGTTAATTGGGGTTTATATTCAATCTGAAGCCTTTTTTTATATTCCAATGTATACAATTAGAAATCTTTCTATATATAGAGGGAAATGATCTCATTGTTTGAGCAAAATTTCTAATGATTTCACGGATTCATATGAAAGTAAGACGTAAGATACTTCTCCACTCCAAGTCATGCACTTGCGTAGTAAATAATTATCCTATAGTAGATGTTTGAATTAAGTTTGCAGAATTTATTACATCAACTATTTAAAGATGAAATTTCAAACTAAATAATACTTTAATGACACAGTATATTGCTTCACCATAGGGTTCATCAAGATGAATTTGGATCCTCTCAAAATCCAAGATGATCCTTGGGAGGCTGCTCACCCTTTGACGGTTGACTTGAGCCAAAGTTCCACTAAAGAAATATGGATTCTATTTTATGTGGGAAAGGGATACATATCAAACGCTTGAACTTCAATGAGAAATTATATCGTTTAGTTGTTCAATTTGATTATTGCAAAATGAATCTAATTAATACTTCTATAACTAAATGGAAATGCACGTGAAAAACAAATCAAAACAATCCTTTCAAATGTTGCTTGGAGTTTTAATGATATGGTTGTTTTAAAGTTTGATAAAATTGATGTTAAACCATTGACTATAATTAAAATTATTTTTAATCATAAAAAACTATTAAAACATGTCACAAGGAATTGATTTTAGATACAACAATGACAGGCCCTAAGTAGATAACAATATAAAATAACTATTAGGCCATCAATTGATCAACTTTTTTTCTTTGTTCTTATGTGAGAATAAACAGATTTACAAATTATTGCCAGACAAGTTAAAAGAAGCCAAATAATTGAAGTTGTTTGGGTGGTTCGGTTCACTTCTTTTCATGCTATTGAGACGTGGAATATGTTTGCTCCTCCATGAAACTTTTTCTTAGAACAGAGGCGGAGGGATGAGATTGAGATAGGGGAGCCATGTTTGCCTTTCATTTACTAAAACTCTCTCTTCTTTTATATACACACAAACAATAAATCAAATAAAAATAGTATAATTAAATAGAAAATTAATATATAACTAAAATTTTAGATTAAATATAAATTTCTCTTTATTTATGATAGAGTTACTGAGATATATTAAACAAACAAGAGTCTTATTATGTTAGATAGGTATGAATAGAGAAGTTGACAACAAAATATATATATAATAACAAAAATCTTCACCCTAATAGTTTTAAGTCCTATTATATGCCCCAACAAGAGTGGTTAATGGAATAATTTCACTGTTTAAATATCTCAGATAATTAATATCATATATATTATTATATATAATACTATATAGTTTTCATGTATATACATCTAAAAATATTTCTTCAAAATCAAATGGGATGATAGAATATACATTTTCAAGTTTATTCGGGGTGGTTCATTTGTCAATATAAAGGTGATGTGTTATTCTGTCTGTTTTACTGTTTTCTCTTCTCTCATTCCCTTTGATGGTAGGGTATCCTCGTCTTGTTGACCTTTTGTCCTTCTAAACTTTGCAACCAAAATACAGAAAACAATACCTTTTGCGGTTTATAATTAAATTGAAACTTTAATTCACCTTAATTATATCCATCAACGTATATATTCAACAATATTTCACGTATAAAAAAATATATATTGACCATACTCCGAGAGTCTTCTTTTCTTTTTAATTAATTCCCCCTATACTTGCGCAATAACATAAAGGCAAATGAGTCAATGCTCCACATAATATTCAAAAGCATGTCACATGCTTTAGGACCAAAAGCTTGAACTTAAAATGGTTTCATGTTTAAAATTTATTACCATTCTTGGTCAATTATAGTCAGTCATGGGAATTTCTAGCCAGTTTAATCCTTATCAATCAACTTCATTTGCTTTGCTTATGAAGTTTCTCTTGAATTGACTATTATGCAAATTACGAAGCTTCTCACTCTAGCATGTATTGGATGGACGGAGAAATGTCTTTGTCCAATCTTATTCAACAAATTGTAATAGTTTCTTTTGGTAAGAATTTGTCACTCTTAAGTTTGATGCCTTTTTTCTGTGCAATATCTTGGGTTGTTTCTTGCAAATTTTATATTTGTTTGTTTGATATCAATGATTATATGCTTTTTACAAACTAGGATTAACACAACCCACAATATCATATTCATATGCCACGACACAAAATGTTCGTTTTATTATTTTCTGTTAATCTCTCGTTAGTAAACATCAATCAATTGCAGTGCGTTCCATTAATTGTAAAACAAGTTATTGCCTTCTTTATTTCTTGTGCTACAAAAGAGTGTGATGATCGACATGACTATAAAATTTTCTCTAACTATACCAAAACATAAAATGCTTAAAAATATTCATTGAATATCTCTAATAGGAACTAACTAAACTATAATTTTTTTTCATTAATATTCTCTCAAAGAATAACCCATAGTAATTTTATTTTTTCAATTTCATTTTCATGTTCTCCTTTTAGTTTAAATATATTTTTCTTTCAATTTTTATTTTACTAAGTTAATATTATCTTAATTCAAAAAATGAAACACGTGGGATATTTACTAGTTTATTTATCCAAACACAACTTCTCCTTAATCTATAAAATTTATTAAAAAAAAACATATTTATCTTTTTGCATGTCCCATGTCCCCTTGCCAGTAAACCGAAAAAATGAATCTTTGAATTTTGTGAATAAATCTTCTGTTGATGTTCTTAGACTTATCAACTCTGTCTATGTGTTTGATTTTACTAAAACATGTTTGTACCAAACAAAAAATAAACAATAAAATTCAAACCTAGAAAATCTAACAGAAAATTAAAGTTCTTAAATTTAATATGATTAAGACTTGGCAAACGAATTGGGAATCATGAAAAGGATCAATGTATTTTAGAAATAAAATACTGAGTTGCACCTTTATCATAACTAAAAGTTGAAAGAAAAATAATGAATACTTGGAATTGAAGGATCTAAATGCATAGATGAACTAACACAACTAATCTCTAAGAGCTAGCTCTGTGAAAATGAGAATGGTGTAACAACGACATCTCCATCTACCTCAAATAATTTTCATCCATGACATGAGCCACTTTTCATCACTCACGGGCTGCATGTCTTATGGCCCAGCCTGACAACGAATTACAATTGCCAGCTAGCAAATGCGATGGGAAATGTAAGTTAATTTGTTTTAGTAATATAATCACAATTTCTTCTATATATATTAAATAAAACATTAACTTTCACTGCAATATTTTTAATGATTCAGGCTGTATACAACTTTAATTTTCTTAAAAAAAATTTTATTGTGCAATGTCTGTTTGTTTTATCGTTTAATTAATCCAATTGATAGTGTAAAAATGACATAAAAAGGCAATCGTTGTTGAATTTTCTTCCACTAGTTCTAAAACATTGAAATTTAATTTACTCATCTCTAGTTTAAGAAACCGATAACATATTTTTTTTTATTAAATTAAAACCACTGATTATGATTTTTTCTCTCTTTTCATAAAACACATGAATTAGGATTTATCTTTTAAAAAAATAAAATATAATACTAATAATAAAAATTGTATGTTATATGAATATACATTATACATTGTATAAAAAATAAAACAGTAGTGTCCGTAAGGTATAATAATTAGAGCATCATGAAGGCTGGTATTCTGCTGCCATGTCTTTGCTATACGAAGAAAATGACGTGTGACTTACAAGTTACTTCTATTTAAAGGTTAAAAATTATTTTTACTTTTGTCTAATAGAGTTTTAATAAGATAAAGCAAAGGTCTTGTTATTCAATAACGTCTTAAAAATGCTACTTAAATAATTAATAAATCAAATTTTTTATTAAAAATTATGTTAGAAGTCATGATAAAAATTGATATTTTTTAAAAAAGATTACCTCTAATTTCTAACTAGCCAGTGTGATTAGCATTTGTGATAGAGCAGAGCTAAAATGAAATGCAACGTAAGACCATCTTTATTAGCTTAACGATTTACTTATCTAGGAATTAGAAAAGATTGGCATACAACAAAATTGAACAAAGATTGGTATTAAGAAACATTGAATCGAAGAACCATCATTGAACAGAATATATATATTCTGCAAAAACAAAAAGTTTCCATGAAAAAGTGCCCAAATTAAGGGTTGAACGAACATGTGTGAATGGACCATATATTCATTCAATGTATTTTAATATTGACGCTAACCAAAATATTTTTAAAAATACAATCTGAGCATGCTACAGCGTAAGTTTGCTACTCATTACTTTAAATACTTCAAAAACAAGTTCTAGAGTTGGTCCACAGAGCTTAGGAAGATTGGAAACTCACCTTGTTTCTAACACGACTAGTATATTTTATTTTACAATAAACATAAATATAATTTATTAATTAAAATTAAAATTTTATAAATTTGTACATAGTTATATATAATAAAATAATATGTAAAAAAAAAAGAATGAAATTGTGACGTATAAAAAAGTTTGACAAAAACAGTCATAAGGTAAAAAAGTTTTGAATTGTATTAATAGGAATGAGAATAGGCTTGACTGAGTTAAGCTAGAAGTTAAATGGGCCTGACATACTGTATAAAACTAGAACTTAAGCCTATGACATGATATAAGTCAAATTTTTAGGTTTGGTTTCACTTTTTTAGAAGCATGACTTGGTCTAATAGCCTACTTAATAATAAGGCTTTCAAATAATACTAATAATTTAAATTTAACGAACTAATAGGCCAATAAACTAATAACTAAAGGGTTAGAAAACTGAAAAGCCTATTATTAGTAAAATAGAAAGTATATAATAAGTAATTATATTTAAATACTATGTTTAGCAAAAAAAAAAAAAAAACATAAATAGCTTCACAAATATCATATCTCAAAATGATCATATTCAATAATTCCATAAAATTTTATACTTCAAATAATCTAAAGAGCAACGTGTCCATATTATGTAATCTCAAATATCAAACTAACAATTAGAATATTTATTACAAAAAAAAATAAAAATAAGACTATAACGTATAATCCAAAATACTTGCCTAGCTATTGAATAAGATTTCAAATCTTCAATGTGATCAATTTAAGTTGTTCATCCACCTTGAATACTATAATAATATAATTATAATTATTATATTATTAAAGTATAAATATTAAACTATGTTATACATTACATATTATATATATATTTTATTTTTTTCTGGAAAATTATATTTATATTAAATTATTACAAATAAATAAATGAATATAAATTATAAAATAATATAATTATTTAATTGGGTTGACCTAATAAATTTTAAAAACTTTTTTAAAGTTTAAGTTTGACCTCTTTATTTAAATAGATTTTTTTTTTAAATCTAAGCCTAGTCTTTTTAATAAATGAGTCGAGTCAAGTTAGACTTTAAATAGGCTAAGCCATAGACTAAGACGAGCAGTTCAACTTATTCTTATCCCTAATTATATATATATAAAACAAAAGTATTATAGTACACATTTAAATAACAGGAAATGATATCAGTGTGTAATTTTTAATACACATTATTAAAAAAACCAGGAAATGTTTCACACCCTTTAAATTCAACCACGGGCATTTAATTTAATTTGCCATATTTTAAAAGGTTAGGTATCATTGAAAAGTTTCAACTGTAGCCAGTAGCCTCTTTAAATTTCCAATTGCAGACACAAGCTAGTTAACTTCATCCAAGTATAACAAATGAAAACTATATGTTAAGGAATTAAAATAAAATACAAAATATAAAGTAATATAATTTCAATATTTAATTTTTTTTAATATTTATGATTTTATACTTCTGCTAAAGCTCTTTAAGAGTAGGTATGTGGCGGATATTGATTCTAAATTTTCAGAGTGAACAAAATAATACTTTAAAACGCCCAAATAATTACGAGAATGAGTGGAAAGAAAAGGAATCAGATAAGCCAAAGATCACACACCATCGTGTTCAAACAAACTGTTTCTATCAACACCTCTATGGAAAAGTGTAGTTTTCTTATATATATCTGTCCTCAATTCAAACCGAACCAATTCGAATCACCAAGAATTTCACTAAATAACTCTCCTCTGTACAACTGATTGCGATGCCCACTAAGATTGCAACTTCACTATAAATACAGACAGGATCCATCTACCTAGTGCTATAATTTTTCTCTTAAATATTCATTTAGTGTCTTATTTCATTGGTAAAAATGAGTATTTTCATAAAATAAAATAAAACAAACACTTTTATTATTTATTTGTTCAACTATATATTTGTTTACAAGGCATTTATCATATATATAAGTTATGATATTCATCCAATATCTTTCTACAATATTATTTCTCTCTCTCTCTCTGTCTCTCTTACATCAATAATCTTATCTTATATTTTTTTCTCCTCTGTTTTTATACTTTTATTTGAGATACAAAATGTATACAAATACATAACTTTTTACACTCACTTCACTCTCAACTTCCACCTCAAGGATATGCGCCGGGAGTGTCAGAACAAACATTTCCCAACAGGATTTAGTCTGTCTGTCGTGCAAAATGAACTACATGACATGTTCCTCATCCAACCATTCATATTATAATCACTTAATTTTATAATATTTTCACATTATAGAATATAAAACATTTTTACGATGAAGACTGTATACATTAAAAAGCAAAAGAAAAAAAGGTAAACTATCAAAATCCTATTAAATAGTAATATTTCTATAAAGATGGCAATCATTTTAGAAGGCGAATTATTAGTGAGAAAGTAGATTAATATTTATAAATAGTAGCAGTAGTTGTTATAACTTTCTGAATGACCTTCCATCCATCTCATCTAATAAGTAATAATAGTAGTAGTAGGTAAAACCCAGACCCCCTTTTGGCCTTTGTAGTCAACCATCACCAGCCCCTCCTTAACCAGTTTTTGACTTCAACCTTAATTAGCATCTCAATACAATACTACCAATATACGTTGCCATTAACTCAACCCAACCGCCACTCCACCACCCCAAAAGTTCAAATCAAATTAAAAAAATTAAATAATATTGAATTATTATTATTAATATATTAAATTATATAATTTTCAATAAAAATTTACCATACATTCAAATTTTATTACACACTCTTAAAGGCACAATATAAAAATTAAAAAACAAATGCAAAATGTGAAGACAAAGATGATATAATAAAGGCATGTAGCCGTGAGTAGAAATACGTACACTTTATACATAGCATAGTATGTGTTACTTTAACCATTTAGCACTCGAGTCCAGTGTGGCTCTAGTTTCCACAATGATATATAGCTTCTCCTTACATCAACTTCCTCACTTCCTTACGTAAATTCTGGTCGAAGCAACCCTCACCATAAACAAAAGAAGGTAGAAACAACCCTCTCACCTATCACACTCCATAAACAAAAAACCTTCTCATAACTGATATTTTCATCTTCATCTCTACGCTCACCCGCACACCATGTCAAACACAAACATGTTTCTCTTTCTTCTCTTTTTTCTCACACTCCTTTCGGCCATGATAACGCCATCAACCTCCGCCGTCGACTCCTTCATCTTCGGCGGTTGCTCACAACCCAAGTACACGCCGGGTTCCGCCTACGAGACCAGCGTCAACTCGCTCCTCACCTCGCTAGTCAACTCCGCCGGGTTCACCAACTACAACAACTTCACCATCCAGGCCACCGCCGCCTCCGACACCCTCTACGGCCTATTCCAGTGCCGGGGTGACCTCGACAACGACCAGTGCTCGCGCTGCGTGGCGCGTGCGGTCAGTCAACTCGGCACCCTCTGCTCCGTTTCCTGCGGTGGCGCGTTGCAGCTGGACGGCTGTTTCGTCAAGTACGATAATGCCACGTTCATAGGGGTGGAGGACAAGACGGAGGTGATCAAGAAATGTGGACCGTCGATTGGCTTGACTTCGGATTCGTTGACTCGAAGGGATGCTGTGCTGGCGTATTTGCAGACGCTTGATGGGACTTACAAGACGTTCAGGAGGAGTGGGTCTGGGGACTTTCAGGGTGTGGCGCAGTGCACTGGAGATTTGAGTCCCAGCGAGTGTCAGGATTGCCTTTCTGATGCCATCCAACGGTTGAGGACTGAGTGTGGACCCACCACTTGGGGGGAGATCTATTTGGCCAAGTGCTACGCGCGGTACTCCGAAGGTGGTACTCACTCGCGTGGCAGTTACGGTAAGCGCCTTCTTCTCCACCGTGCCCGCTCCTGCTTTCTTCCTCATTATGCCTCTTCGTTACGCTATTGCTATTTGCCTGTGCATTACTGAATAACAACTCCCTCAACTCTTTTTTCTTTTCTTTTATTGTGTCTTTAAATATATATTACAAATTATGTATGATCTTTAGTATATATATATATTTTTTCATACGTATCTCTAACAAATATTATTTTTTCTATTTTTAATAATTAATATGATAATAAATTTTGACTTTAAAAAAGATAGCTTTAAAACAATAAAATTAATTTTCTACATTTTTTAATACTTGTGATTTAATTTAAAAGATTTTATAAATAAAGTTGGAAGGAGTAATATTTTTTAAATTTAATTCGTGTTGGATGGTAATAATTAGGGGGAATTAGCTTTGAATTTTGCTTACAAGCTGTTCTTAGTAAGTTTTTCTTTTAATTAATTTTTTTGTGTTCTGTGTGTACTGTGTCAGCATTATTGTTTGGATGTAAGGCGTCTTTTGTTTGGTTCCTATATTTTACGAGTGCTGAATCGGAAATTTCCATTACTTATACATTTTATACGTCATTGATAAATATCCCTGTTAAAATTATGCGTGTCAATGATGAGTCGCACTTCACTGAGTTAACTTCGATTTACGTGAGCTAATTATTTATTCGAAATTTGATGATTATGGTTTATTCTTTCTTGATGATTTGTATCTGAATTTTCAATTTTCTATCTTGCTTCAAGGCCCCTTTTAGATTCTTTATTAAAAGTTATTCTTTTAGCTCAGCAAACGAGGAGAATAAATGATAATTGGAATAAAATGGGGACAAAGGAGATATGCAAAATTTTGGTTGATATATGATTTTGCTCCGTCAAGTGTTTATAGATTATCTTTGTGCTAGGGTAAATAAATATACAGACATTCGAGTAACATCTGTTTGACAATGAATGTGCTGCTTTGACTTGACGAAGAATCCTATGTATGAAAAGAACAATCACGATCCATGAAATGAAGAAATGATATTATCATTTGTCCTAATGCCTCAAAAGCATGAATATATTTCACAAAATACATCTTTGGTCGATGTGATAGTAAAGCTCTTATGGTAGACTTCTCGTTGAAGATAGCTCGGGATCCTCAAAAGCTGAAATAAATGTTATTTTAAATTTAAATTATTTCAATAAATTAAATACATAAAACCTTTAATCTGCTAACATGAATTCTCAAAACATTAGACATAATTGCAATCACGCAAATAGGAAAATTGCATGTCAAAATGCAGGGTATTAATATCCCGTGACAGAACTGAATTTCATCGTCTCTACTATTACAACACACAGTTTAAACATTGACAATTGACTTGAGATTTCTAATTTTGTAACTTAATTTGAACAATGCAGATGATAGCAATCACAATGATGATGAGATTGAGAAAACACTCGCCATACTAATTGGACTCATTGCCGGGGTTGCTCTAATCATAGTTTTCCTTTCCTTCTTGTCCAAGGTGTGCGAAAAGCACAAAGGTATGGTCTTTCTGGTACATATATATTATATATACACATCTATAACTACGTACCCCATTGAAACATTTAATTAAGGTGTCATTGTTACAATGCATTTCTTTTTCTGAATAATGCAGGTGGTAAATAAAGAATAATATGTGCATAGTACTGGGATTGAACTTTTGTCCATGCTTTTCTCTGGTAAATTACTTGTCTTGCGGTGGCTCTTTCGCTACTCCTAGTTTTTCAGTCTCAACTTTACCTTTTTTTTATCCAATCCATCTTATTCTTATCTTTGTAAGTTTCCTGCATAGTTCCCTTTACAAAGAATACCAGTGAAGGTATAGATAGAAAGATCTTACGGAAAAAGAAGTTCCACGAAACAAGTTACACAATGGGTTGCAATAAGGGGAAAAGGCTCAAAGATTCCACTCTATGACCATTTATTTACTTGCCTAGTGTCCACCAATGTGTACAAATAGTGACCACTAAAGTGAAAAGTGCAGCATGTTATGTAATAGCCTTTGATGGGTATGATTAGAGTTTTTGCTTACTTTTATATTAGATCACGATGAAGAACTTTACTTTCCGTCCGAAAAGTGAGATTATGAAAAGTTTGATAACATTTCTGTCAAATTGGTGTCTCAATTTTGTTATCATTTACGATTTATGACCTGGTTATTGGTCAATCGCTATATTTCTTTACCCTGTTTGGACAATTATAATTATACCAAATGCTACGTGCTCATGCAGGTGTTAATTAATGAATTCGGTTTTGACGAGAAATATAGCGATTTGGTATAATTATAATTTATAACACCTGCATGAGAAAGTACTTTGTTCCTGAAATTTCTATCAAGTTTAATTACGAAAGTAAACACTATTGAGTACCAGATCCTTCTCAAAATATATGTTTGACACTCAAAGCAAATTAAGAATATTGCAGTTATAAAAAATGTACATACTTAACAGCTTAATGACTTGGAGCAACTTACCAACTCATGTTTGACCAAGTGCTAGACACTGTAATTTTGACGAGAAATGTTTTTTTTTCTTATAAAAAGAGAAAACATGGAATATTAACGATGCCAAATATAATCTTGCAATGATTAAGTAAGTATCGTCATCACTCTATTATATTATGAAAAGAAAAGGGCCAACGTGCCATTAATTTAAGAGAAAGGGAGGATTAGATATTGGTAAAGTACTAATAATTATAGGACAATGGTTTTTGTAAGTAAACAATGTTCAAGAAATCCCTCCAGAATCTTCGTTCTTCCCACCTTTATCTATCCTCTCCATCATCAATTACTTTTTTTGTTCGCTTTTAATACTGTTAATTGTTTTTGTCCTAGTCTATGACGGTGTCTTGGCACCACTTAGCATCATTACTTTCTACTTATTTATTTTCAATAATCTTAATTGTTGAAACATTCTTTGTCTCTTTTTCGTTAAACAGAATATAGGACATACGATGCATACTTGATAATATAAATCCCTTTCGTGTTCGTAGTTCATTGTATACTCTTGCATTAACGAATTCTTAAGGAATTAGAAATGATGGCATTGAACAAAGATATATATAAAAGTAAAGATAAGTGTAAGCAAGCAGGATCATAAAAAAATGAACAGGAGGAAGATTATAGAATGATATTAACTGAAGGGACCAACCTTTGATAACTTTGTGCAGCCAAAGAAAATAATCTAGAACTTAATTAGTTCTGCATATATAGCTTGTTTTATATCTACTTTTATAAACTAGAATTATATTGCCAGTACGATTAAAAAATAAGTAAAAAATGTGAATAGGATTCACATTCGCAAAAAAAGATATGAATAAATTTAAAAATAAATAAAAACGTTCAAGCTTAAAGGAAAAGGAAAAGAAAACGATATATGGTCCATAGATTGTGTCCACAGATCTAAGCACGATCAAAGATTTATATATGGTTTTGTTTATAGGTTGAGTGAAGTAAAATTGACCAGTCGTTTGAAAAATGTGGGTGCATTAAGGTGAAAGTAACTTTAATATCTATCCACCTTCGTCCCCCATTTTTTTTTAACCAGTGGAAGTCATTTTCATGAACCTAGTGAATTCCCAAGCAAAGACAGCTAGTCATTAAGATTAAATATTTGGTATAGGAGGAATTGCTTTGTTGAATGTGTGAAGGGTTTAACCCTTCAGTGTTATTAATGGACAAATTTGAATTAAAAAAGTTAAGCTATGAACATTTTGAAGAAGATTGTTATTCCATGTAGAATTCAGCGTCACACTCATATTCTTGTCTTCTGCCTGCAAAAATTTCAATAAAACTACTAAAAATAAGTTTGAAAACAAATATAATAGTATAGTGGAAACCATAAAAAAGATTTCCTCACCCTAGTAAATTCAGTTTTCCTTACGCTGAAATTTTTATTAGTGTTTAAGACATTCGACGATTTATCATTAATATTAAAATATTTTTTGAATTAATTCCAGCCACAGTAGAAAATATATAATATTTATGAAAACATTTTCAACAAATTATATCTTATATTAAGAATAAAGACTTAAATTAATAAAAAAAATGTTAATTGTCTTTGAAAAACAAACAATATTTCATTATATAGCTCTCAAACATTGACTCTTTTTATTATATGAACTAAATTTAATGTCAATAAATATTACCTTTGCACAATATGTAAAATGGATATTATTAAATACTAAATTAATATAATAAATTTTCAAGTATCAAATTAACGTTGTTAAAATATTTCCATAAACAAACCTGAAAATTACTTTTCCTCTATCATGTGGTTTTCTTTTTAAAAAGGTGAAAACAAGCGTAAATTTTTAGGAAGTTAAAAAATAAGGTTCTAAAAGCTTGAACTGAAATCCCTCACTTTAATCAATTAGATCATAAATAAATAAAAAATTCTAGCTTAAATAATTTGATATTATATTATCGAACTGAATAGTAGTTAAAGTGTTTAATATAATCAATTAAACTAATCAATGATCAATAAGGGAAGAATGAAATAGACGAAGAAACTACCAAAAGTGACTCTACTATAATAGCTTTTATATACACTGAATGACGGAACAACTAGTTTTGGCTCGATATACCTTTTAAAAAGTTTAATGAGCAAAGGCGTGTAAAGCAACAGTAGCTTACCCTGATTCTTCGTTTTGCAAGATGGATCTATTGGAAAAGGTAAGATTCTACTTTCGACCAGTTGTTATCTTCTCTAAGCCGTGGAATGTGTAATGCAGGAAGCTTCTTTTGTTAGCTCCTTCTGGATAATGATAATTAATGGGGGTGAAAGGGAAGAAATGGGAATCCAGGATTAATTATTAATTCATTAAATTTCGTCTTCATCTCCAAAAAAAGGTTAAAATTTTAATAAGAGATAGATCACTCGTTTAAAAGGGTAAGCAGCATGGCAGATTAAGGTTATGATTGGATCAATCGAAACAAGTTGAGTAGATAGAGTTTTTTTTTTTTTTTCTTCAATTTCTTATTTCATTATAAAAACGTTGAAATCATAAAATACAAGTGTATTGGTTTTGGTCATAATCATAATGATGGATTAAAAAACCTTGGGAGTAAAAACAGTGAGGCGCATGCATGACTTGTTTGTAGGGATAGAAATCATGACCCACGACAACGATAAAAATTGATGGTTAGGTTAGGTCCCCATGAAAGTTCGACATTTGTCCTCGTTGCAATAAAAATAAAGCTTTGAAGGATTCTCCCCATATAATGAGCGGTTCTGAGGTTGCACATTTGTCTGCACTCGCTCCTTCTCGCCCACTCTAGACCTTAGTAACAGTTTTCGTAAATATGAAGACTATTTCTTAATTAATAGTTGGGGACTATTTTTCAGGCATGAAGATTATGGGCTTAAATTTTTGTCTTTTTTAATAGAGAGAAAACATTTAAGAGATGCAATTAATATCAACTGTGGCAAAATTCAAATGAAGTAACAATTTATTTGTTGATTTTTTATCCTATGTTTAAGGATATATGATAAAAATAATAATAAAATATTTTTTATAAGAAAATTATACACGTTATTGATTTGAACTCAAGCCTTAAATCTTATCATTCAAGTTTGAACTTGATTTGTCAACTCTAATTGCGGATTATTTTCACCCATCAAGTTTGAAGAAAAAGTAGAGCAACATGAGACGAATAAGAAAGGATATATTAATTCAGCCCATCTCTTTTTGCTAAGATAATCAACCCATATTTACATTACTATTTTCAATTCGGGCCATCTAACTTAACAGTAAGATAGGACCAGCCTACAGCATAGCCCAAATATTTATGAAACGGGCCTAACCGTTCAATTTGGGCTTAAGGGGTTAGTGTAAACCCAAAAATATAAAAACAGAGTTGTTACTTAGCCTAGGGAAGTGTGCGACGTGTGCAGCACGCGTCGGTTCAGCGTTACATGCAAATACCAAACGGTTCGCTATTAAAACCCTTCATTTCCGGGTCTTGAAAACAAGAGAGAGAATAGAAGAAGCACTCCTTGTCATCCAAGCAAAGAAGCATTCACTCACACCGCAAAAGGAGATCCGATGGCGCTTGAATGGGTTGTGCTAGGTTACGCCGCGGCCGCAGAGGCGATAATGGTGGTGCTGCTTACGATCCCAGGACTCGACGGTCTGCGGAAGGGTTTGATCGCTGTTACTCGGAACCTTCTGAAACCGTTCATGTCGGTGGTGCCATTTTGCCTGTTCCTTCTGATGGACATATATTGGAAATACGAGACCCGTCCAAGTTGTGAGGGAGATTCTTGCACTCCTTCCGAACACCTTCGCCACCAGAAATCCATCATGAAGAGCCAACGCAACGCTCTTCTCATCGCTGCCGCTCTTCTCTTCTACTGGCTCCTTTACTCCGTCACCAATCTCGTCGTCAGGATTGAACAGCTCAACCAGCGTCTCGAACGTATGAAGAGTCGCGATTGAGAAGTCAGAACTCTTACTTCTAGATAAGTCCTTCACTGGATAGCTTTCTGTTTTCGGATATATCAACTTTACTTTTTGTTGTTGCGCTAGGAAGGAACCATTTGTGTCCATTTGTTTTTTCCTTTTGTGTTTTTTTAATCGATGTTCGAATCATGAGGATTATTGAGTTCATTTAGTTTTATTGTTGAACTTATACAACTAGGGTTCCTTTTGGGGATTTTCTCAATATTGCGGTATTTGCGGTACGGGATCCAATTACATGTTTCTCATTAAAAGTCATATGAAATGCGCGTTTTACATTATATAATTGCTGCCTCCCCATTGTGCATTATGATTTGTTATTGCCGTAGATTCTCGTAGTAATGAGAGAATGTTCGTTTGTAAGCAAAATCAGTTGGATTCTGATGAAACCTGACATGATATTCAGAGAATTGTCAAATTTTGAAATTTATTTGTTGAATCAAAATCATTCAAGTTAAATTTTGATTGAATTAAGTTATTTATAAGGTCTTCAACCATCTTGATATAGAATTCTCTCTTTTCAATTATTGAGAGCTTTGAAATTAGGGAAAGGAATTCTAACATTGGATATGCTTTTGGAGATTGGATTGTCTTTGGTCTTGTTACATGGTTGTTCTTTGCCTATCTTTCCCTTATTTACCAAGTCAGATATATTCAAAGCATGAAGGTATGGCAACAAGAAGAATCTTGTTCTCTCAACTGCTTTGTCCTGTTAAATGTGATGCTAGCTGGTTTTTTGTGAAATAAACCAAGGAATTAGTTACAAACACTATTTACTCAACTGAGAAATGTAGATAATTTTATCTGAAAGAAATTTGCAACAAATTCATTTCATGTGAGAGTTCATGAAATCTGAATTTGATCAGATAACCTTGAATTGGACACTAAATTTATTTAAAAGTAATGTTTTGATTAATCCAAACGGGATTCTTTTTGAAAATAAATTAATCAAAACACATAAAATTGATTGCAAACTGCTCTTATACTAATTTTTTTAACTTGTGATTGTTGTCTGAACTTGCATCATTCGGGCTTGGGATCCAATGCTCCATTCTGTTGACTACTACTATGTCTATTTTCATGCACATGGTTTGCACAGAATCTACTATTTGATATACCTGGATTTGAAGGAAATTTCTTACAACATTGATGTCACCTAGTATAAGAGGCATGTACATATCTGTCATACTATCGAGATCTCTCATCAAATAGCCAACCAAAGAGACATTGCCAAGGTGCAGGACTAGTGAAACCAATCAAAGACTTTCTTGAATGTCATATAAATTGTGCTTCTTCGGAACCAGTTTTGCAGTTCTTTGGGACTGCAACTGCCAACGCCCTCTAATCAGTGTCTGCATTGTAACAACTAATAGGGATATGAGTTTCGTGCAACTCTCTTTCACCTAAAAATCAATCAACTTAAAGCACAATTGGAATTGAGGTGCGCCTCAAGTAGCCGACAATCACACATGCCTTATTGGGTAAGTTAAGTGGACAATCACACGTACCTTATTGGATAAGTTAAATATAAATGAATTACATCAGACTTGAGTTCAAATAATAAACTGAATGATTTTTATTTCTTATTCTCGGTTTAGGTTGTGCAATTACGTGCACATTGCATAATAATTAGCGCACTTATAATTCATGCTTGAAACGCAAGCTGCAAGATTATATGATTACACCTTTTTTTGGATTAAACTGTTATTTTGAATGATAAATTCTTACATGATTTTTAACGGAAGGATTCAAAATAACTATCAATAAGTACCTCAACACTTTAATATGAAAAATACATTCTCTATTTCCTTACAAAATAATTAACATTAAGTAGCTCAACACTTTAATATAAAAAAATTCATTCTCTATTCAATTGAATTGACGCTCAATTCAGTCAAATTAAATTAGCGCTATTTCAATTCACAAAAATGAAAAAGAAACAGAACATCTATTTAGTACGAATCACCAAAAGACTTCAAAAAAATACGCAGAGTGGCATGACGATCCATGGTAGTTGCTAAATAAATAATGGTAATTTCTTTGTTTATTCTAAAAAAAGTGTAAATATTATTTAATTTTTAAAATATTAAAATTATAATTGTCAATTTTAAAATGGTATATATTGTCTTTTTGTTTATGGCAAAATCTATTGTACTCTTTCTATTAAGGGGGCATATAATGCTATGGTTAAATGTACAAATTTAATTTTATATATAAAAGATTTAAGAAAATAATATTTGCTCATTAATCTTTCACGATAGTTATATTAATTTATTAAATGATTTTTTAATTTAAACTTTAAAAATTAATATTATTCACTATCTTCTCTAAATCTTAAATCAACTCTAAGAATATAAATTCTATCTTCAATATAATACTGTCCATTAATTTTTTGGTGTGATAAGCCTTAAATCATGTAATGCAAAACTATGACTCTATTTAACATTTGATGCTAGAACTCTTCTTGGCCCAACTTATGAAGGAATGATATTTTCTGCCTCATAATCATAATTTGTCACAATCTTTGCTTCTTTTTGTAAGTTCATTTCTATTTTTAGCTCCTCAAATTCTAAAACATCATCACATAGAATTTGCAATATCATTAATTTCTTACTTACCGGCATCAAATAATATTCGCCATTAAAAACCTCATCATAAAACTCTTTTCCAGTAAAGTTTGTTTGTGTATCCATTAACTACTAAATATTGAATCACAAAGAACAAGTCATGTCAATGTATCAAACTAGCTCCAATCATTGCACTTGCAAATACATCAAATATAAAATATTTTCAACTATAAAAGATCTTGTTGAAAAAGATTAATATCATTAGGTATAAACAAATTGCTTATTCTCGCAATCTTACAGCAACATAGGAATAAATATGAGCACCTAAAACATTGTGATGCAAGCTCAGAACATTCAAACAAGACGGTTTCAAGATGATATTGCAATATCCACAATAGCAAAATGTGAATAGCATCAAACAAAATGTTTAAAATCTAGCAATTAAGGCAACCAACAAATTCATCAAAGTAAAAAAGTAATAGAAACAAACGAATGTTGAATGATCTCAAGAATCCATAAGCAGCAAATAGATGTGAAACACGTGGCTAAGGCACACCAATAGTTTCAGATGAAGACAACAACTGCAATGGTAGATATAAAAAGAATGGAACATGAGATAGGGTTGAAAGAGTGGTGAAGATAAAAATAATCCTTGAATCTCGTGTTGTTCTTTCTTCAAAAATTTCTCATCCTTAAAACCATAAAAATTTTGGAAACTTTGATTAATAAAATTAAGTTATATTTCAATATTTTTAGGGAACTTAAGAAGAAAATTATTAATAAAGAACAAAATATTTATTCAAAATCTTGAGCACAAAATGAAACATTTTCTTAGTTCTAGTTAGAAAAAATAAATGATAGATTCAAAATGTATTAATTATTAATTTTTTTTATATCATTCTTTTATTAGTATTATTAAATATATAAAATACTAACTACACGTTATTTAATATCATGAATATTTTTGAAATAAAATATATTTATAAAAAAATATTGCTGATTTAATTGCATTCCTTAATCTTAGTAATTTAATCTTTTATTTCTTATAAAAAGGATCAGAATAAGTATTTTTTTAAGGATATTTTTATAATAAAAAAATATTAAAAACTTAATGTCTAAAGGGGAACACGAAGTGACTCTTTTATAGCTATTACATAGATACGCTTAAAGATTAAGATGATTTTGCTCAAAGTGTAAAAATGATAGAAATATAGACTCTGAGATTTATTTTTATTTTTGGGAGGTATGTGCATTTTATTCTATAAACCTAAATCATTTTTGTTCTTTAAAAGTTTGAGCGTCATAATATTTTATTTATAAAATTTTGCTAACTTTAATTTTAAAGATAAACAGTTAATAATAATAAAATTTTATTATAAGAGAAGTATTTATTATATTTTTATAATTTTAATATTTTTAAAAAAACTATTTGTAAATACTTATCTTTAACTGTCCTTAAAATTGAAATTAACAATATTTTTATTTTTATTTTTATTTTTACTTTTACTTTTCTTTTTCTTCTTGTTATAAATACCCACCCAAGTTCGCAAAAGCCTATGGAAAAAATAACCCAAAAATAAAAATGAATACTAACATTCAAATACACAAAACTACAAAAGGACTAGCACCAGTGTGAGATAATACTACCCACGGGAAATTGGAATTCGAGCTGTGAGAAGTGTGCTAGTAAATGTTATCATCAAAAGGTACTACTCTCATCAAATTCATAATGTTTTTTTTCCTAATTTGAATTATATTTAAACTTAAAAATAACTTTATCTTCACAAGCTACTACTCATCAAATTCATATTTTCTTTCTTAATTTGAATTATATTTAAACTTAAAAATAACTCTATCTTAAAATTCAAATTTACCCATAAATGTCGCTAAATTTTTGTGTTTGTAAATTTTGAAATATCTATAATTTTAAAAATTAAAACTAATTATTTTTGAAAATATTCAAACTCTTTTAAATATCAATTGGTTACTAAATTATGGTCCAAATTAGTTAAAAAAATACATTGATAATTTTTTTTATAATAAATAAGATTTAATAGAAAAAAAAGATCTCAGTAATTTATATCTAATTTTCTCTTCTTCTTTTTTTTTGGTACAAAGCATGATTTTCTCTTAAAAATACTTTAAGTAAGGATAAAAAAATTCACTAAATAACTCAATTTATAAGAAAAATAAATAAATAAATAACGTAATGTATGTCTAAGAATATATATATATATATATATATATATATATATATAATATGTAATTTTTATTATTATAAATTACATAATATTAACATGATAAATATCTTAATAATAATAACTATTATAATTTTTAATGAAAATAATTATTTGATAATTTTTTATTATTCATCTTTGCACATTTTACATTGATTTCTGAGAAATTGAGATTTGATGAGGTGGCATAATTTTATTGGACATGTTTCCTCATAAGATACAAAAGACAATGCTGTGAAGTCAACCCCCGAGCTTCTGGACATTCTTCTCTTCTGAGCTTTCGAGATTTATTTTTCTTATTTTCTTTTTCTGTATTCTATTTCTCATCTTTGTCCTTTACACCCAAAAGAATTTTCTTTACGCTTTTTGGCTTTTCAATTCAATCTCCCCCAAAACCATAAATTTATGTGATTCCAACCAATTATATTCTAAATTCCGATCTTTTATTATTTTCAATAGAATTTTGGTTTTCAACAATGGGTGACATGAAAGATAAGGTGAAGGGGTTCATGAAGAAAGTCAACAACCCTTTCTCTTCTTCATCATCTGGTAAATTCAAGGGCCAAGGTAGAGTCTTGGGATCTGCTTCTTCTTCTCAACCCGCTAATTCCACTCCTACCGTTCGCCCCACTCCTACGCAGAACCCTAATTCGAAACCCACTTCATCTGCAACCAATCCCAGACCCATGCCACAGAAAACGGAGCATGACAGAACTACCGAGAAGCCTCGCAAAGATGATGGGTTTGACCCTTTTGATTCTTTGGTCACTTCATCAAAGAGATCTCAAAATGGGTATTCACTGAATGTGTATGAATGCCCGATTTGTAAACAGCCCTTTGGATCTGAAGATGAGGTGTCTGTACACGTGGATAGTTGTTTGAGTGAGCGTGGAAGTGATGATCAAAACGGGGTCTTAGAGAGTGAAGCTGGATCTAATAGTGAAATTGAATTAGATGTTTGTGTTGGTTCTTACATTTCAGGGAAGCCATCTGAAGGATCAGTTGATGTTGTTCTTAAATTGTTGAGGAACATTGGTAGGGAACCCGAGAATGTCAAGTTTAGGAAGATTAGGATGAATAATCCTAAGATAAAAGAGACTGTTGGTGAGGTTACCGGTGGAGTTGAGTTGCTGAGCTTCATTGGATTTGAACTTCGGGAGGAAAATGGAGAGACGTGGGCGGTGATGGAGGTTCCGACTGAGGAGCAAATAAAATTGATTAAGAAAGCAATAGTGTTACTAGAATCACAACTGGTACAAGGACCTACAAAGAGTGGGAATTCGGTGTCTGCAACGAATGCTGAGATAGATGCAAAGGTTGAACCCAAGCCGGTTGACAGACAGGTAGGAATCGTATTGATGATGCTTCTGAAAGGGGGCTGCGGAGAAAATATTTGCATGATCTGATTGTCATTTGCTTTTAAGAGTGTGTCTTGTATGTGTTTAATCTAAGTATAGCCACACTGCATTTTGCTGTTATAGGAAGCTTCTGCGTTTTGTGAATTGATATTCTGGCTGGAAACTATGCTTGTGAATAAGTAACTAATGTGTTAAAGATCTAGAAAGTCACTGTTTGGTTCTAATCTTCAGTAGCATGTATTACAGGATGAACATAAAAGATGTCTTAACTCCTGCACAGCAGAGCTAAGAATAGGGTATGAAGCCTATAATGTCATTAGTTAATCAATGCAATTGGGTTTGGTGCCTAATTGAACTTGAATACATAATGTGTGAAGTCTAAGATATTTTTATTATCCTAATATCATTGCTTTTGTTTCTAGACGTAAAAGTTAGGGGTATAGTAAATTGCAGGTTCTTCTGGGCAGTGGTCTAGGATTGTATGGACATTGTGAAATTTGGTGATAGGACAACACTTTTGCAAGGGTTGATAACTAGAGCTGGGATATGCTACTTTAAATCTGGTTGTCGCATGAGGTTAATAGAAGCAGAAAGCAGTGAACAATAATCCAAAATCCTCTTTTTAATTTTTCTCGAGCTTTACAAACAGAAAATAAAATCAGTCATAGAATTCAAATATTTTACTTTTGTGTCAACATTGTTCTTCAGAAATGCTAACAACTGTTTCTATGCGTGTAAGGTTGGAATTATCTGTGTAAATCTGAGCCATCTAAGTCCAAATTTTGTGTGACTACTACATTCTATATTTATTATTTGCTTAAGTTACCAATGGATTTACGAAATGTTTCTAGGCATGCAAAAGTTGTTGCCTTATATAGTTTATATTTATGTACAGCCGTTATTATTCTTTTGTATTACAATAAATAGAATAGAATCAGCCATTAATAGTATAGATTAGAATCACCTAATAATAGTTTAGAAATTCCTGTAATTTAGCCTAGATTTCAGTATAATATTCTCTATACCTAGCTTTATATATTGAATGAAAACGCAGACAATACACATCTTTTGCCACTCAAAGTAAGATTTGATATGGTATCACAGCCTAAATTCTAGGTTTTCATTTTTTTTCTTTGATATTCGAGTGCAGGAAATTTTTTTTCCTGTTCTAGCGTCTTGTTTGACATCTTGATCTTGCCTTTGATCTTCTTAGATTCTCTTAGTTCTGCGCCTTTGAGGCTACATCAGAGTTTTTTTCTCTACTTTTTTCTGGTGTGCTCATATCGTTTCTTTCCCATCATAGCTGGTTCCACATCTGAGTTGTGTCAAATTTACTGGGAAGAATTATTCCCTATGGGAATTTTAATTCAGGTTGTTTGTTACTGGAAAGGAATTATGGGGTCATATAAATGGTACTGTACCTGCCCCTCGGGACCCTACACAACTGCCTCAATGGCGTGTCAAGGGTGCTAAAGTGATGTCTTGGATCACTAGGTCTTGTGATCAACAAATTGTTCATCTATGCTCCCATAACACTGCCTAGACTATGTGGTAGTATTTGAAGAAGGTTTACCATCAAACTAATTCAGTTAAAAGATTTCAATTGGCGTGTGAAATTGCTAACTACACTCAGGGCAGCTTGTCTTTTCAGCAGTATTACTCTGGTTTTCAAAATTCTTGGGCTGACTTTTCTGATATTTTGTGTGCTTCTGTTTCTAAAAAGTCTCTCCCTGCTGTGTTGGAAGTCCATGCGATCAGCCAGCGTGATCAATTTCTGATGAAACTAAGTTCATAATTTGAAAATGTGCTTTCTAATCTAATGAGTCGTGACCTTACTTCATCCCTGGATACCTGTTTTACTGAATTGTTTCGTGAAGAACAACGTCTTTTCGGCCAAGCCACTCTTGAACAAGACACTTTGACTACTTTATAGGTGGCTTTTGCAGCTCAAGGAAGAGGCAACAATAGGGATATGAGTAAGGTTCAGTGCTTCAATTGTAAGAACTATGGCTATATTGCTGCAAACTGTACAAAAAAATTCTGCAATTACTGTAAAAGCCAAGTCATATAAGCAAAAATTGCTCCATTCGCCCACCAAGACGTTAGCCCACTACCTGTCAAGCCAATGTTGTCCCTTCCTCTGCTGGTTAGCATGAAAATGTGGCCACACCTGAACCTGCTCTTCATATTCCTACACCTGCTGCTCTTACACCTGAAATGGTGCAACAAATTATTATCTCAGCCTTTTCAGCATTGGGGATTCAAGGTAAAAGTCTTCCACACACTAAGTCTTGGCTCCTTGATTTTGCTGCATCCAATCATATGACCAGTTCCAACAGTTTCCTTAAAAATGTTCGTCCATATCATGGTTCTGACCATATTTAGGTTGCTAACGGTAATATCATTCCAATTTCTGCTGTTGGAGATATTATTCCTACTTTCAACAATATTCTTGTTTCACCTGGATTCTCACGTATTCTTCTTTTTGTTGGTCAATTGGTAGACAATCACTATGATGTCTATTTTTCTCGTGATGGTTGTTCTATGCAAGATCATGTGTTCAGGACAGTGATTGCGAAGGGCCCTAATGTTGGACGACTATTTTTGCTGCATCTTCCTAGTCATGTTGCGTTATCTTCTTCAGTTACAAATAAAGGTGGAGTGTGGCATAAATGCTTGGGGCATCCTGATCTCCATCAGTTTCTTGTGGGCGAATTGATGCTTCTCGATAAACCAGCATTAATTTGAGGGGGGATGTTGTCTTATATAGTTTATATTTATGTACAGCTGTTATTATTCTTTTGTATTATTGTATACAGCTGTTATTATTCTATTGTATTACCATAAATAAGATAGAATCAGCCATTAATAGTATAGATTAGAATCATCTAATAATAGTCTAGAAATCCCTGTGATTTAGCTTAGATTTCAGCATAATATTCTCTGTACCTAGCTTTATATATTGAATGAAAACTCAGACGATACACATCTTTTGCCACTCAAAGTAAGACCCAAAATGTTGCTATGAAACAAAAAAAAATTCAAATTGTCGGGCGCATATAAATCAACTGCAAAAACAGTTAGTAATAGTGAGTCAATGACTGCATGAGAGATATCAGTGTAGTCTCCAGTATTTCTTACTTCTTTGGTGAAATCTCCATATTGTTTGAGTGATTCTGTTTGATGCTTTGATTATTATTCTGCGGAGCTCAAATTATGTGTGTCACTGCTTTCTTATCAGTTTGGTGCTTCAGTACTTTTCAAAAATAAGTAACCAACTAATTCTTTAGATTGAATTTGTCTATTTTTTCCCATTTAAAATGGCTCTTATAGGTGAAGGTCTTCTTTGCCGTCCCTGAAAGTATCGCAGCTAAAATTGAGCTACCAGATTCCTTCTATAACCTTTCAGTCGAAGAGGTGAGGAGAGAAGCTGAATTGAGGAGAAAAAAAATTGCACACTCTCAGCTATTAATCCCTAAATCATTTAAAGAAAAGCAAGCAAAAGCTGCCAGGAAGAGATACACAAAAGCAATTATCAGGATTCAGTTTCCAGATGGAGTTGTACTTCAAGGTGTATTTGCTCCATGGGAACCAACTACTGCTCTCTATGAGGTTTGTCCTTTGCTACTTAATTTTATGTTCAATCTAATTAATTTATCATGTTTTTGGACAAAAGACTTTGTTTATGTTCAATCTAAATGGTTCATCCATACTGGTATCTAAATGTCACTTAGCTGCTCAACAATGGTAACGATCAAGCGGTTTTGCAAGTGCCATGTGTAAATTGATTACGTTTAACAATTTATGCTCGGCCTTATGGTGATGATAAGTCTCAATGTCATCAAATAACTAACCCATATGATAAACGCATATTATAGCAAAATACCAGTAATATCTTTGAAGCTTTGTTTTGAAGAAAAATAGAACTTTATTCAATTATCGAAACTATTCATTCGGACATAGAAGTCCCCCAATTAACAAACTCTTGTGACACATTTTGAATGGATTTGACCATTTGTCTGTTCTTCATACCCATAATCTTATTGCCTTTATGGTGTATTCTAAGTTAGCAACTAAGTACTGTTCTTGTTTGCATGTTGACAAAACAGTTTGTCAGCTCTGCATTAAAAGAACCAGGTTTGGAATTTGAGCTAATGCATCCTGTACTCGTCCAACGGCGCGTGATCCCTCATTTTCCAAAAGCAGGGGAAAATGCTAGAACAATAGAGGAAGAAGACCTGGTACCTTCTGCTTTAATCAAGTTCAAGCCCATGGAAACAGATTCTGTTGTTTTCTCTGGTCTCAAAAATGAATTGCTTGAAATCAGTGAACCCCTCGTAAATGGTTAGGCAATTGCTTCTAATTGAACTCTATTGGTTCGTTCTTTTCATATTATTATTTTATTTTTATTGTTGTGGATATAGATACAGTTTATTATACTCATCTTTAATTTATAATTTCTAAGAAACTATATAATAGTCTGATACATGTTAATTCAAATAAATCACTATAATGAAGCATTTATTTCTGAGCTCCATTAATGTGGCAGTATCTGCTAAACATCGGTCTAATAGGTGGAAAATACCAATGTCTTCCTGTGTTTTAAGGTCCATTAATATCTACTTAATACCTGTTTAATTCAGTTTATTTTGAAGAAATAAACATTTTTCCAACTTTTTGAGAGATTTTAAAAAAAATTGATTATTTCTTAAAAATTAAATGATTTCAAACACACGCTTAGTGACTGTTAGTCTCTATGTCCACAATCTGATAATTAACATTGTTCCTTCATAACCTGAGCTCCACTCGTAGAACTGCTGGAGACTAAGCAAGGGTTTTCACATTTTGGTATGAATTAATTTTGATGAAAAAATCATCTGAACCATTTATAAATAAAACTTGTGGGTTCAATTTGAATTGGGTCGAAAATGATATCAAAATTAAACTAATCAAAACTGATATTTTGCGGTCAGAATTAGATTTATTTATTTTTAGCCTTTTTCATTTGTTTATGAGACAACTTTAATTTCTTTAGTTAGTAAATAAATGAAACTTTATTAATTTATAAATGAAGTCTCAAATTAGAACATAAATTTTTTAGTAAATTTTTTATTTAAGAAGTAATGTTTATTAAATGGAAGGTCAAATATACAATAAATATGAAAAAATATAGTCACAATTATTCAATCTTATCATAAATCACAATTTAGTTTAAATTATAAATCATAAATTAAAATAATTTCAAATTTAAAAAACTAGAAATATATTTAATAAGACATTTTAAATCACTTTCTATATATATGTAGAATAATAAAATTAATATGCTCCCAATTTAGTTTGATTCAATTAAATATAAGAATTGAAAAATAAATCAAATTGCAAAAGTAAGCAATTTTTTTATTTTTTATTAACATTTACTCAATTTATTATATATATATTGCTTTTTTATTGGTTTAACAATCAAGAATGGTGTTTCTTTAGTCCAAGGGAGGACAAATGGTTTGAATCATGAATAATCTTATAAGCAAGCCTACCTACTCAACTTCTACTTTTTCATGAATGAGTTAAGGAAAGTCTAGATGCGAAGCTTGAACTTTTTTCAAAAATGGGTTGATTATTTTGTTTTTGGCTCAACATGAGTTGAGTTGAGTTAGGGTTTGGTATAAAATCTGCATCAATTTGATTGCCCAATTTTTATTTTTTGGTCTCAGGGCTGCCCAAATTGAAACCCATTTCTTTTCCTTGTGGACCACCTTTAATTAAAAAGAAAAAGAGAGGCCCAGTGACCTGAGTTTGCTTTACCATTATTCTGATTTAAATTTTAGAATTAATTCTGATTGGGGGATGTAGGTGGGATGCAACTCGTGGCTTGTGATTTACCATTATACTTTAATTTTGAATAAATTTTAATAAGTATTTATAGAATTTACAAATTTAGTAAAAAAAATTAAATCAAATTATTTTCATATATTAAAATCAAATTATATTTCTCTAAAATTAAGTTGTTTCTAACTTCTCTACAGTTATGTTATTTTATAATAATAATAATAATAAAATAGTAATATTTTGATATATATTAATTTATTTTTAAAATTAATTTCACTAATTTATATATAAACTTAGATTAATTAACATATTTAAAAAATCATTTTTACCTATTTAATAATTTTACTACAATGAAAGGTTAATATAAATTTTTAAATCATACAAAAAAATTTCGTCCATAGCTTTTAATAGAATTGTCATTAGTCATCGGAAGGTACCTATGGTTTAAAAAAATATATACAAAACTTATTTTAAATGTGAAATTAAACCATTACAAGAAAGTTAAATTCAAAACTTAAACTTGAAAAAAACAAGTCACACCTATGCGTTAATCTAATCCAATATATCTTCATCCTGAACAGAATTAGGATAAAAGCAAATGTCAATGCGACATTGATGTGAAGTGTAAATTCATTAAAATATGTAATTTTTGCATGACAAATCTATAAGAATAAAAGTGTCTTTAATATGACATTTTCAATATATATTTACATTAAAAACAAAATAAGCAATTTTTGTGTGGAGACACTTAATTACTTGAGTGATCGTATGAATGATCAATATTTTAACCATATGTGGTTTGTTTATCTTCAACAATCTTGTCATGGAACATTTTGCATGCATATATTATATGCTTCCATGCATATTCATGGACGAAGTACATGTTAGACCATTTTGAAGGTTCATTCAGCATCCTTTCTTGCCATTTTTCTTTCTTTTTGCATAATTTGTTATGACGGTGAAGTTGTCTTCGTCATCCCAAATGTATCTTTCATGAAAATATCAAATTCCTTTAAAGCCACTTTTTATTCACTATTTGATAGCGTATTTGATGCATATGATGATGGGTATTCCCTCAAAGCAAAAATCTATATTCTTTTTCAAGAATTTTTGTGTCACTCTAAATTTTATTTTGGATTGTCTTTCAATAATTATGATATATATTCAATAAGATTTGAGTGCAATTATAATAGTTTTATATTAATCATTCTTGTTTTGGTCAATCCGCATAACTAGGTCCTTCAAAACATTCAACCATGATTGAATAAGATCTCTATCCATTGCAAATCTTACTTTAAAATTTGTTTGAGTTATTGGGAGAAATTTAAGAATTTAGAGAATTTTTATTATTTGAAGGTTGAGAATTTTGCATATTATTGATGAAATTATCATTAGTGTGTATCATTGTAGCATTGCAAGCCCACTTTACCGTGCTTTTTCATTCCCATTGACTATACCCTTAGCTTGTTGAATGCAAACCCATTACTATCCATTAAAACAAAACAATAAAATAAAATAATGGTTCTTGAAGGTTGTGGGATCTTCTAATGGGGAAAGCACATGAGTTCTTTCCAACACTAGACAAATGCTATTTGAGTTCTCTTTCATTTTTTATGTTATTTAATTTTATCAAGAAATCGTTACGACAAATAAGAAAGAAAAATGATAATTTAAAAATTTTGTTAGAGGGAATAAAATTGAATGTAAATTTTAATATTTATCTTATCAAGATTTACATGATGTCATTTTAAGATATGACATGTCGTGTATTAAGCTGAAACTTAGCGTGTCAAATTAATGAATAATTTTATTAATTTTGACTAGTTATCATGGAGACTAACTTAATAAAGTTAGATATTAAATCGAAAAGAGTTTATAAATTTTAGGATTAAAGTAATAATTTACTTATTATTTTATCAAACTAAAAACTAAAAAGCATGAATTCTATTAAGATATTTTACTTCGGCAAGAACATGTTCATAATACTCTTTATAATGCTTAGATTTTTATTTTATTTTTTTCAATTTCTTTTTGTGACTAGATTAAGCTCAATGTTCTAACATACTATCTACTTCTACACAGCTCTGAGGTACCCACAAGAATTTAATATTTCAATTTTTATGCATTAAATATTTACTCTCTGAACGTGAGTAAGGTGATAAAATATATCACCTTAATTTTAATAATATAATCAAAATATTCTTTATAAACCATGCAGTAAAAAATAACAAAATGATATTCTCTCTCAATTACTTTTTTATATTAAAAAAAGTTGAATTTTTTTATTAAAATATATGTTTACTATGTTTTTAATATAAAATTTTTATTCTTAATGATAAAACTTCTTACTGCTATACAAAATTTAGTTTATTTTTCAATCGTATTAATTCCTTTCTTAATTAGGAACACATTCTTAAATATGATTAAATTCGAAGAGTTGCATCTGTTCTCATGACTCAATTCTACCCCACAATTTCCCCACTGCACTTCTCTTCTCAATTAAATCTCTGCTACAAACTTTCAAATGAGACAGTTCCAAAACCTCTGCTTCTGCTTTGTTTGTTCCCTTATTTTTTCTTTTCTGCATCCGCAGACATACAAATCATAGCCCATACATGCATCTCCATAATTTTTAATTATTTCTCAACATTCACGTGGATGGTGGGACACACTCCCCGAAATTATAAATTTTTATCAAGGATAAATATTGTATAATAACAACATTTTAAGTCTTCGTGACAAGGTCTTTCTACAAAGATTTTTTTAAATATGTACATAAGAATACATGTTTTAGAATACATTAAATATATCATATGAGATACATGTTTTAAATATTTTTAAGATAATAAATCATTTTGTTTTGAATTTGAATTTTTTTAATACACGCCAAAAAAATAGTTAGTAAAAGAAAATGATTGGGGTTAGTGCCCTTTATTAACGTAGCACCATAAAGAATGATGAAAATGAATGCATGTGATATGCATGGCGTGTTTAATCTAAAAGAGTGTGAGGCCGAAAAAGGCCTAGCAGACAAACCATCCCATTGGCTACTGCTAGCTGTTGGTATGGTCTTCATACCAATTTTATTGAATATTCTCCAAATTTTGCTGTTAATTTTTAATTCCCTTTCTCTGTACCAATACCAAATTAAATTTTGATTTAAAAACTCCCAACTGCCATTTTCACAATGAACCAACCTTCAAAAAAGACAATGAACAAACAGTTTTGGCACGGAAAATCCCTATTGGATCCGAGAACCAAAAAAACATACCTAAAAAGTCATGTTTGCTTCCCATGTGAACCCCCCAAAGAAAAAGTTCTGATTTCAAGACTCTACGAACGTGATTGTGATAGCTACACTAGCGTCTATATTGAAACACATGTAGACTTAATTACCCTATGAACATCACCCCCTTGTAAAAGCAAGATAGAACCCTGTCAGTTAATGTAATCCAATTAAACTAAGAAACATATATCACCTAACCTATAGAGATTACACATCACTTTCTGCCAACCTGAATATCACAAAATTGATTGAAAATTACAGAAAAACATTTATCTTGGCTCAGAAAACAACAATAATATTCACTAATTTTATTATTATTTTTGAGGTTTTTTTTATTATGATATTATAAAGATGTGTGGCTCTTTTTTAAAAAAGATATATAATTTAAAAAATGTTGATATTGACTCATTAAACAAACTAT